GCCCTTAGTTTTTAGTCACTTGTAGATAAAACGTAAGATTTTTGCATCCCTGGGTTCAAAGAATCTTGATTTCTGTGTTCTGTGGTAAGTTAGAATTTAGCTTTTCCATCTCAAATTGTTATGATAAAAATTGGCGCTTCCCAAACAGATTTTTATCGCAAAATTACGTGATGAAACAAAAAACCTATTGCATTTTTATCCTTATGGTGAATACAAATAAGTTCTATTTTATATTTAACTGTAAGTCTTACATCTCATTAGTTTATATACATGTTACATGTCAATCTCACGGAAATTCTCACAAAATTCTTCTCAATTAATACTTAATCAAAGGATGTGGCTCGGGATGTTGGCTAACGTTCGAGGCTACTTCGATTTTACATTGAATACTAATATTTAAAATAGAATACAATTTTGTAATGTAATGTACAACTGGAACGCATGTGTATATTACTGGATTTTTAATAATTTTGGCGTTGTGGGATTTCAGTTTATAAAAGTATAGTATAGCACTGATGCTAGATGCTAACAAGATTTAATAGAGTTAAAAGAGATAATAAAAGTTATATAATTCGGTGAATCTTAATTCCCAAAAGTAGATAGCTTCTAAGAGGACCTATGTGAAACTGTAGGCTTAAATCTCATGTTATTTTACACACTCCCCTTGCACGAATATTCTATTAATTCTATATAGTCATAGATTATAGACAAATGCCTCTTTCTATAACAATTAGGTTAGTTTGAAAAAGAAAAATCCGCACTTCATATTGTTCAAACGCCCCAGAAGCTACGGCCTAGATCCCAGACACTTACATAATACGTTTAATTACTAAAGAAATTATTGAGCCATTGCTTTTGCCAACTATGTCATAATGGAGCCTTAAAGCAAAAAGATGTATTGGAACCGGTTCCTCAGCTGTTGGCATATTTACTGGCTTTTACTAAATGCCATTACTATTTTAGAATTACTGTTATGCTGAAATACTTGGGTTTTATATTAGATTGTATTCTCAGATTCGTATGTTATTAGAATTAAATATGATATAAATTTCTCCCTGACTTTTTTAAATTTTAATACACATCATAACCCGTATTAATTACTGATGTGTGATGTGCCTCTGTAAAATGCATTCATAAGATATATGGACAGTATATGCGTCGTTGACAGTACCTGAAGTGTGCGTTCATAACCGGGTCCTAACAGAGAGATGAGCGGGAAATACATTTTTTTTTAAATTCATAGACAAAATACAGATGTAAATCACTTTTATACTTTTCACATTAACGCCTCAATAGTTGTAGTTTTAGAAAAAAAACTAACATACTTTATTGCTGACGCACCAATGTATACGAGAATATACCTGTTATTCAACGAGCATAAACTATACAGTTTCCAACAATGATTTAAGAACCTGCTGTTCTTAAACTTTTAAAAGGTCGAATTTGAATGGGTTTCGAAGTTGAATGCATGGTCAAGGCTATTTCGTAACGTTGGCCGCACCCAAAGTGAAATTAATGAGAAATACGAGATATGTAATTGGTCATTGTTTCACTTTCCCTAACATTTACACGAACAATCATAGATGTCGCTTTACGTAAGCTATTTCTATTAATTGGTGTGTCCGATTTAATGAAATTAAATAACTGTTTCGATTAATCCTTGATTTTATCGCGTTACGTTCGTTCTACGAATTAACATTAAAACGACATTTTTCGTGTAAATTCACGACTTTATTTGTTTTTTTATCTGCCAGTCATCACATTTAAATCAACAATTTTCTGTACCAGTAACTTTTAATGGGAGAATAAGCCGGCTTCGGCGTCGAGGTTAATAATACAAAAGAATATAATTATTATTGAAAACTATATCACATCAACTAAGAAATAAATAGGGTCGTATAGGTTTCACATATAATAATTTTAATACATATGTTTTGATCAGGATATACTTTCAAAAATGTTTCCAATCAATTTTGCATCGTTTTCGTCACACGAATATCAAATCACACGCAGCTTTAAATCGAAATTGGCAATACGTAAAAGATAAAAACTTTTCTGTATGTAAAAAATATATTAAGACTTTTTACAACGACAAAAAGTCAATTGGGTTACGTGTAAAATCGGAGTCAATTATTATGTACGACTGTGTACTGTAATATTTCTAAGTAATTTTGGACGTCTTATTTTATTAATTTCGTGATGAATTTGAATATAATTTAGGTTTTTATTAATAATATAACTTAGGATATAATAGTATGGAATCGTAAACAAGCTGTTTATAAAAAATAATAAATAAAACACAATTTTGTAAAATATAAATAATATAAAAAGACACAGCATGTAGCTACGGCTTTTAAATTTTATAGTGTTATGTCCTATTTATATATAAAAAAAATGTTTGATGAATTGAATATATTTTCTCAATGTTGTGTAAGATTTAAAAAGCTGTTAAGCGTTACGCGTGGTTGGTGAAACTGTAATCGTTTTATCACGGTCTTTTTACCTCTATTATCTGCTTATTGACCTTTTGCTGTATAATTGACACCCAAATTTACTTTCGATTTGGTAACATACGCGGTAATGTCGCTGGCTTCGTAAATCTTTAAACGTATCATATTCAGTTCTAACCCAAACCATGGCTGTTTTAATAATTCATATAACCAAGTCTTCGATTATAGGAGAAACAATAATTGTATCTGGTAAAAAATACAGAAATATGATTTAGAATTAATAAGCTTCAGCGTGAAAGCGTTCTAAATACTCTTTGTTTCGCATTCATAATATGCTACAATTGAATATTCATGAAAATACAGATTTTTAATTTTGCGAATACGTGTTTAATGTCAGCGGTAGTAATTACATAATACAAGAAAACGAAAAAGACAGAAAATATAGCCTTCTTACCGATAAACACATCAAATTTTTAAATAGAAATATGTTTTCACTTATAAACCAAATTTAGCGTTGAGAGGAGTTTAATCAAATTTAAACATTTCGGAAGCTATTGACAGACAAGATGGCGGATGTCTATGATCAGCTGTTAAAATATAATTACATAATAAATTTAAATTTAATTATATTTCGATGGACATAATTTAAAATGTAACAATTGTCATTACAATATTATCTTTATTAAAGCTTTACTAATTAATCAATTTGTTACTGATTTATTTAAATAATATAAGAAAATTGTAAATACAAATTATACGTATGTAGATTAATAAAAACATATATTTATTTATTAATCTAAATAGAAAATATGTTAGAACTATTATATCAAAAAGAACGTTTCAAAGAAAACAATAATAACGCAACAGGACAAACTTTTGCGTATCATATGAAAACGAACGCAAAACAAAGCGAACAAAAACGAACATACATGTAGTAGACGGGAGTAGATATTATATTTAAATAAATCGATTGCGTACATTAATCCCAACAGACTGCCCGTATAAGCTTAGAAAGTAGTTAAGGCCGTGCATACAAAACACCTTGACGGGCCGGCCGCATGCTAACGGCCAGCAACTTTTAACAGACAATCACATTTCACTCCGAGGCTATGAATTTGTATGCGAAGTAGTTGCTTCCACATCTTCGGCGGAAGTGTCATTGTTTACCGGATTCAATGAACCCTATGTGGGTTGACAATTAATCGATGTTCCCTCTATTATATATGACAAAATTTGTGTACCACCTTCACTGTATGGATACACTCACTGCACGTCATACTCTGAAACGCGCGAAGAAAGTATTTCCAACTTCTGGATATATTCTCTTCTTCTTGAGGGCTTTGGGTTTTATTTCAGAGAAAGGACAGCACCTTATTCCTGTTTTCTCAAGGAAATTGTATATTTCAATTTGTTTCAAGGAATTTTTTTAGAATTTTAAACAAAGTCCCTTGCGAGCAATGTTTATAAATAAAAACAGTTCACAAGCCTTCTTGTACCTAAGAGCATATAGGTATGAATACAGTGTTTGATGTGAACAACAATTTCCGATGCTAAGAATGAATTTCCGGATTGTTTTGGTTTGTTTTTCTATTTAAATGATAATATTTATTTTCAACACAGAAATATAAAGTATTTGTAATAGTAATCTTGTTAACCTACATTATAATAATTAAAAAATAATAAATAGAAACTTAAAAAACATTTAAAAAGTTTGGTCCCTGTGGCACCTTTAAGCTGGCAGCATTTCCTCTCTATATTGCGATATTTATTCGTTGACGGAGGAAGGCACCAGCTGTGGGGTCACCACTACCTACCAGGGGTACTATCTACCAGGCGCCAACTTAAATCTTTAAATAGCGCTTGTGCACTTGATCCCCACGGCCCAAGTCTCCAAAGGGAACAAAATCGAATTCGTCTCTTTCATAATTTTATGTAGGTAATTTATTAGATAAGTCCCATTATTTAATTTCTTTTGCGAACTAGTGAACTGTGAAATCGGCTCCCAGTGGAGGTCTTCCATGGAAGATACGACTTGTATAAAAAGGGACAATACTCCTCCCTCAAAGGCCGGCAACGCATCCACTAAAATGGTTGTCCATGGCCTGTGGTGCCTGCCCTTTTTGGTCGTTTGAGGGTCTATTGCGCCCCTATACCATAATAATATATCTCCACGTTTTAAGTGCCTTTTAATAGTTGTGTTTAGATAGATAATCAGAAGGTACTTACGGAAACCAAAAAATATATTAAAACTTTTTGGGCATCTTACCATTCCCAGTCTTGCGTCTAATATCGCAAATAATTATTTGATTCATAATTTTAAACAAAGGCATTGCCTATAATGAACATGAAATTACCTTCATTTTTGTCTATAATAAATCTATTTTAAACTTGCCATCACCGTACGTGTGTTATCGTGTTACTTCATAGAATTGCAATTTCGATAAATGCAACGAATTATTCCGATAATATTTGTCAACCGTTACTGTAATATTTTGTATATATATGTAGGGTATGAAGTCATTTGGGCAAGTCACTGACCAGGTGGCCACCATGATTCTTCTGTTTATAACAACGATTTTATACGTAAGTACACTTTAAGATTACATTAGTACTAAGTATATTCAATTAAATCAATGTAATTATAATAATATACTGTTTTCTAAGTAACATTAATATATATTACTAGCTGACCCGTCAAAGGTCGTTTTGCCATGTATATTATTTCTAGGAAACATTTTTTTAGTTCAATAAAAATAACTATCTACTATAATAAACATAGGGGTTTATGATAGAGGGTAGATGAAAATTAAGGGTTATATGTATTTTTGTATGCTGTATCATAAAAAAAAAAACAAAATTGTTATCTAAAAAACAGAAATTTAGGGGTGGACCACATTTAGATTGATAGTAGCCGATTCTCAGACTTACTGAAAATGCATAAAAAAATTCATAAAAATCGGTCGAACCGTTTCGGAGGAGTATGGGAACGAACATTGTGACACGAGAATTTTATATAAGAGATTATTTTAATTAACATTACTATACTATTTTTGATGTTCGTTTTTCAGGCACATGTGAATTGCCAGTACTATGCTTCGCCATACGTGGTTCAATCACCATCTTACGGATGCAGCTGCTGCTCACCACCAGTCACCTTACAGGCGCCTCCGTCTCCCCCTATCTACGTGTCCCTTCCCGCCCCATCTCCATTTACCGTTACCCCACCGCCACTCCCGCCAATGCTGATAGAATTGCCAATGCCGCCACCGATAACGCTAACGCCACCCCCAGGGCCGCCAATGTGCATAACCCCGCCCGCATCGCCCCCTATAACGATAAACCCACCTCCATCTCCCCCCATTAACAATCAACCCCCCACCATTACCACCTATGTGTGTAACACCGCCTCAGCAACCACCAGTATTTGTCAGTCCACCGATTCCTCCGCCAATCTTCTTGGAACTACCGCTTCCTCCTCCATTTGTGATTGAGCTTCCTGCTCCCCCACCGATCGTAGTACAACCGCCACCTTTGCCTCCTGTGATGGTTCAGCCACCTCCGCTACCACCCATGCCAGTGCAACCGCCGCCGCCACCTCCAATGATGATAACACCTCCCAATCCGCCTCCAATATGTGTGCAACCACCTCCGCCAGGCCCTATAACCTTTCAACCTCCACCGCCGGAGCCGATGTATGTGCAACCGCCGTCTCCTTGTCCGATCAACGTGCAGCCACCTCCGCTGCCCCCACTCTGCGTCCAGCCTCCATCGCCACCACCCATGTGTATTCAACCACCACCACTAGAACCCTTCTGCCTGCAGCCGCCTCCTCCGGCACCTATCTGCTTCCAGTCTGGACCGCCTTGCTCGTGCGGTCAGCCCTTCTCAGCGCAACCGACGCCTATATACTTATAAATTACATAAAACAACTGTTAATTAAGAATTGTAATACAATAAAAATAAATTATTGATACACGATTTCATTATTTTTTTTCAAATCCACTTCGCATTAAATCATTAAGTAATTGAATATTACTTAATCACAATTGGCTAAGTGAATATCAGTCACCATTAATTAGTTTTCAAGACACTTAACAACAACTGGAATCAACGTAATCTCCCATTACGATTCAAAATGGACGGGTGTTAAAAATGCATTAAAAGTATGTATAATACATTAGACGTAATTATGTGTTAAATATAACCTGAAATAGTATAAACTTGTTTAAAGCTATTCGAGAGTATTAATCGTAATTGTCGTACTCGGTGTCGTTTTATACCAGTTAAAAATTACGCGTTCATAATTAGTCACATTCAAAAAATAAACAGGTATGTTGTAGTTGCGTATATCTAAAGGACGAACCTTTAGATATACAATCATAATAAATCCAATTTTTAATCCAATAGTGTAGTCAAATTGTACTCGTAGATAATAATATGTCATAAGTAATCGTGGAATATTCAATTTACTGTTGTGTTGCAGCATGGCGGGCTCCGGGGGGTCGGAGTGGAGCGAGGGCGCTGCGGTGTGGTTCCAGCCACCCGGGGCCTCTGCCCCATTGCCCGGAGAGCTTATTGAGATCCACCGAGCTGCCCGCGTCCTGCTCGTCAGCGCTATCGTCAATGGACAGGTAAAGTAAACAATTAAATTACTATGGAGATTTACCCGAATTCACATTTATTTTTATTTGAAGAACGTACTTTTAAAACCAAACAAGAAAGCGGAATAGTTTTATAAATGATTACTTTACGTTATAAAGAATTAAAAGGGCTCGCAAGGCCGCCTCCGGAATGCTGATAGAGAGTGGCTGTTGTTGATACTTGATTCATCATTGATTAGCTATTTATATGCCGACACTGATTTTATGAAGTTTTTATTGCTCTTTGATATATGACTCAAATATGTACTATATATGAAAATGATTTTATGATTTGTATATACTAATGATTAAATATTACAAATTAAAATTAATAATGTTTGAATACATTAATGTTAGCAAAGAGGTGATTAACAAAAACTACTCACCGACCGAGTGTTAAAAAAATATTCTAAATAATAACTTTTATAACTTTCTCCTTATGCATACCTGAGCTTACAGAGATTCCTGGATCACCCATTATTTTCGATAAATTATAAGATCAATAATCCCTGGAACCCTCTAGGCCAGACAAGACCATTGTTGTTATTTGTTCAATACGTATTGTAGTTCAGGGTTGCGAACCCCAAACTTAACCAATAGGCGTAACTGTAGTTCTTTAATAAGTTATCTAACCTATCAAGTATGTAGTGAGAAATTTTCACCGTGTCATGCGCAATACAAAAATTAAACGAAGCGCGTGTGATTTCTAACAATTGCTTAAATTATGTAACGTGAAGTGATAGTTATGAATGGGAATAGAAAACGATATTAAAATTTTTTAGGCTCATACTTTCCGTTCAAAATGTAATATTAGGAACCCTAAGGTCGTGTGTTCGAATCACGGCTGTGTAACAATGAAATTATCTATATATACTTTCTATGCGCGGTAGGGTGACGGAAAGCGGATTTTAAGGAAAACGGCATACGTACTAAAAATCGTCAGTCATGATGACCTCAAAAGGCGTATCAGTTACTTGTTACTATTAAGAGAAATAATTATCACGAAACAGATATAAAGGGCCATGGTTGTAGCGCGCAAATAATCCTTCTGGTAATCAAGTTTATAAATAAAATAAAAATGTGTTTATTCATTTGACAAATGCATTATAATATGTAAGATTTGGGAACCCTTTTAAGTAAAAAATACATGTGTCAGAGTTCCCAGCTCTTCCATAACAAACTTACGTTAAATTAATCCGAGAAACCAAGATATCAAGAATTATAAAATATAAAATAAATCAGTGGCGCCACAATCTCTTCAGGTCTTCTATTCAGATTTCTGAATCTATTTCATTATAATTTTTTAAATCTAATAGGCAAGTAGGTGATCAGCCTCAAGTGGCTGACACACGCCGTCTACTTTGTGGGTCTAAGACATGTCGGTTTCCTCACGATGTTTTCCTTCACCGTCGCGCACATGAAAAAGTCCATTGGTGCACAGCCGGGGATCGAACCTACGACATCAGGTATGAGTGTCGCACGCTGAAGCCACTGGGCCAACACTGCTAAAGAATTATAATAAATCCAAAAGAATTTAGAAGATCAATCCTCGCTGTATTAAAAACATAACTCACAAAATATCCGTCACTAACACAACTTATCGGGCCTTTAAAGTTTCTTGAAAGTTTAAAAAATATATGTACATTAATCCATTCAATAAAAGTAATATATAAAATAAAACAATGTGTAATAGAGGACATACCAACGTCTTGTTTCCTGTATACTTTGTAGGTTACGTAATTGATAGATATATAATCAGTAATAATATTCATCGCATATCGAGTCAGCCGTAAACGTATGGATAAATGGGGGTCACTTAACAGTATCGGTATAATCGTAGCACGCTGGTCGGTCGTGTCTTTCTGGTTTGCAAATTATCTAGTAGGACGGGTGCCTCGTCTATTATTTAGAAACATGTTTGCATATACTCAGAATTTAGATGGATGTCGACGCATCTTTGGCTTAGTGTTTAAGGTGTGTATAACATGACAATCTTTTCGACTCCAGACGAATGGTAAGGGTATATATAGAAGGGCCTTTTGCCCTAAAAAGTATACTCTATAAATGAACTTTTTCTGTAATTTTAGCCGAGCTTAGATAATTAATTTGTATGTATATTTGAAAGATTGTTAAAATTGGGATCACGATCACGATAGGCGTGTGTAAAAATAGCGAAAAACATAGGACTAGCTCGTTTTAAACGGTAGTTAAGAAAAAGAAAGGAGCGCGTCCAACCAGCAGTTAAATGCAAATCGGAGTGATCTCGATAGCGAATCTTCAGGTCACAGCTACAGATGGGCAGATATCATTGTTATGCGGAGTTATGTCAGATCATTACATGACGTCAGTTCCATCCCGCTGCTCACGCGCACCCCGCGTACTCATGAAAGTATATAGATTAATAATAAACAGATAAAAAATAGCTTTATATGAGAAATACTATATCATCGCGTGAATGCTGAGCGAATACAACTCCTTGATACGACGGGAACAAGACGCTTTTGACAATTATGTAGTGTAGTGAATATAAGTGCAAGTGCGGTACCTAGGACACACGTTCATAATGAATTACAGAACAGGCTGTTAATGAACAGTATATTATTCAAAGCTTTTTACTAGTATTGTAGATTTAGTCAGAATAATATTACTTATTAGCCATAATTATTGTATAGGCTAGATTGTAATTCACATAATATATTGAATTTATAGTTAGAAGAATATAAAAGTCAATAAACACGAATATATTATAAATTAATTTATAGGATATTTTAGTATGGCTAATTCGTTTCAAGGTAGTTGTATCGATATAGTATAACTGTCTTCAGTATATTCCCCAGAGGAGTGACTATATGCTTAATATACTCACCAATTTAAAAATAACAGCTACTTACTAAGGTCTGAAGGAAAATTTCTGTGATCCTAGTACTTGTAACGACAAATTTAGAAGATGACCCAGCGTCAACTCTTATTATAAATAACTTTCTTAAGACGTATTTATTGTCTTTAATAAATAAAGAATTTCCTAATTGTTCTCCTAGTTTGTTAAAAGTTTTTTGTTTCATTCTGAAAATTATCTCTCTTTCCAGGCTCAAACATTCGCCCTGCAAATGAGCAATGGCGATGAGGAGGGTGACCCAGTATGGCCGAGGGAGGAGCTCGGGCCTACAGGGGTTGACGACATGACCCGCCTTCATGATTTGCACGAAGCTGCCCTGCTATGGAACCTGAAACTTAGATACGAGCAGGGACTGATATATACATACGCTGGCTCCATTTTAGTAGCCGTAAACCCGTATCGACCTGTCGATGCTTTGTATGGCTTACAGACTGCTAGAAGGTAAAATCTTAAATTCTTACCCCCTTATTCATATTACAATAAATTAGTCTAATTCATCCGTATATTCTAAAGTACCTATAAAAAGATTGTTTTAGTATTGAAATTAAACTAAAATAAATAAAAACTTTATTCATGACAGAAATATGGTTGTGACAAAATTCATCCCGGAGGGATTTACATTGAAGTTTTCAAAGTATAGGCTGTGAAGTTTTTGCCGCCTTTGCCTCTACAATTGTCATGTCCTAGATTATTTTTACAATCCAACAATTCCGTTGAAATTGTACGCAAAAAAATTGGATTGGATTGGATTTGGATCTGATTTTGAGCACAAAATTATACACAAACCATCCAGTTCGCAGTCTCCAACCAGAGGTTAGGAATGATATATATGGGTTGATAGGGGGAAGTGGGAAATACATTTTCTGCAATTTGGTTTTTTTCACTTATAAAAAGTGGGAGCTAAGGGCGCAGAGGTCGATTACTGGTTAAGGGGCTCGAACTAGCTGTTAACTCTAGAATATTGAAGTTTGCCACACCGAATCTACAATTCCGGTTTCCAAACTTGCCGCCCCGAAAATCTGCCGCCGTAGGCTCCAGCCTACTCAGCCTGCAGGTAAATCCGCCACTTGCTAGTCCTCACACTAGGGAGTCCCTGTATTGTGGATATTTATATAACAATTACTCCGTGGTACATGGTGCATATTAAAACGATTTTTAAAGAAAAAGTATGTATTTGAGAGTGTAGCTGAGAGTTATATACGTGCGCTGTCTGTGTTAGTTTTTGTAACCTCACGAGTTAAAATACGTAGTAAGGCCTCTGTAGATTCGACATCCAATTCGGCTATCATGTGTTTTGTGAGTTTGCATCTGGACGACTATTCAGATACAAACTCACAGTTTGACTTCCTCAGAATCCATAGATTGGGTGATGTTATTTTAAAGGAAGGGGCCCTAAATGCAAAGAACTGAAGTTTTTATAAGAATAATGAGTTTGTTTAGAGTTATTTTTGTTTAGAGTTGCATGCGTGAAGAAGAAATGTACCTATAGTATATATTCATTGCTGTTCTTCAAGTACAAGATTCCAAATTGTTTTGTATTTAAATAAATAAGCCTAATGAACGTGTATTGTGCGATTTTTCGATGCTTATACAATAACACAATCAAAATCTAATTCCAACGTCGTGATTAGACATTTGCATAAGTTTTACTTGAATTTCTAGTTCGCGAGTATGTTTCTATGTAAATGTTTCGATAATAACATCGTGTTGGAATTAATCAGATCGTAATCATTGCGTGTATGTATCAATTTGTAATATTAATTAACGATGAAGTAAGCATAGGTAATATTATATACATCACATATTTATACGTATATCTGAAAAGCAATAGATTTATCTAATTATATTTATTATATGAGTTGTAAAGAGAGAAAATATTTTAAGCACTCCCAAAAATACTAATTTTGTCACCTAGGTACAGTATTATTTATGATGTACGACTGAATTAATAATTATAGGCCATATAGTGTTTTCTATTTATTAATTATTTATCATAATTTCAGATATCACGCAGCTGAAGCTCTGGGCGACTTGCCACCGCATCTGTTCGCCATAGCTGCTGCCGCGCGTGCATCTCTACCTCAGCCTCAAGCCATATTGATATCCGGAGAGTCAGGAGCGGGGAAAACCGAGTCAACAAAATTAGCCGTCCAATTTCTCGCAGCAGTCGCCCCAGCACCCCCGGGGAGAGCGCCCGTATCTGAACAGATATTAGAAGCCGCGCCATTGTTGGAGGCCTTTGGCAACGCACGCACGCCAAAAAATCACAACTCTAGTCGCTTTGGAAAATTGCTTGAATTATACTTTAAGGATGGCGCTTTAGCCGGTGCCAGAGTTGCTCATTATTTATTAGAAAAATCGCGAATAGTCACACAATCGCCCGGAGAACGAAATTATCATGTATTCTACGAACTCTTGGCTGGTTTGGATGAGGAACAGAGGAGATCTAGAGGTCTATTGTCAGCAGAGCATTATTTCTATTTAAATCAAGGTGGAGATTCGGCCGGTGCCGGCGCGGGGGCTGATTGGTCCGCGCTTTGTGGTGCCATGCAAGTGTTGGGTATTGGCGATGCGGAGCGTGAGGATATAATAAGAGTACTAGCAGCTGTGTTACATTTAGGTAATGTCTACTTTCATAGACGACAACTTCGTCATGGTCAAGAGGGGGTGCAATTAGGGGGAGGTGCTGAAGTGCGATGGGCGGCGCACTTATTGAAGCTACCAGCAGAGGAACTGGCTAGAGCTTTAACTACTAGAGTAACAGCGGCTCGAGCAGAGAAAATGAGATCGCCGCTGCCGATAGACCAAGCATTAGATGCAAGAGATGCGTTTGCCAAAGCCCTGTATTCGTCATTATTCAATTGGCTTGTGATGAGAATTAATTCAATAGTACATAGAGGGGGACTGCATGATGCACACCGAATATCTCTCCTAGACATCTTCGGCTTCGAAGACTTGGAAGAGAATTCGTTTGAACAACTTTGTATAAACTATGCGAATGAAACGCTGCAACATTACTTTAATAAGCATATATTTAAGTTAGAACAGCAAGAGTACCAAAAGGAAAGGCTTGAATGGTCTCATCTCACTTGGAATGATAATTCACCAGGTAGGTGTTATCAGTTCATGTATTATTTCATTTATTAAACGTCATAAATTTTAAATATATGTGAATATGTCGGGGTTTTTTAATATTTATTTTCGAATCTGTTTAATTGTTTTCCAGTTATCCAACTTCTCAGCAAGAAACCGGTGGGTATTTTGCACCTGCTGGATGATGAGAGTAACTTCCCTTCGAGCTTCGGATGTATCGTTCCTTGAGAAATGCCATTACAACCATGCTTTAAACGAGCTTTACTCTCGGCCCCGATTAGGAGCCAACGAATTTGGGGTAACTATCGAAATATAGAGATACCGTTACTCACGTAATGCAAACGCATATGGTAGTGTGGGTAACACTTTGTGATTCGCTAATCATTTAATGATCAACCATTCCAGGTTAAACACTATGCAGGACAAGTTTGGTATAATGTGGATGGGTTCTTAGACAAAAACCGGGATGCTCTTCGTGGTGACGTCTTGGAACTCCTATGCAGCAGCGAGGTGCCCCTTGTTGCTGAAATGTCTGCCCAGTTGAGGGCCCACCATGACGCGAATAAAACTCTGCCACGGGGTGCTAATGGAAGATTTGTTACTATGAAACCTAGGACACCCACTGTAGCTGCTAGGTAATTTACATAACATATCTTTTAATACATATTATCAAATTATAGGGAAGAGCCATTAATTCTTCTAGTAAAAACTGAAATCTGTCTAAGAACAGCAATTCGGACGGCTTGGGCTGATGTATCTGTCGCAGCCATCTAGCCTAATTAGCCCTTCAATTAACAGCCTTGCCGTTAAAATAAACGGCGCCGTTTAACTAGAGGCCTGAAAGATGTATCAGTTAGTTAGTTAGTTGATCAAACAGCTAGGCAAATGACTTGGATCGATGACGTTTCATTACTTGCCTTTCCAGTTGACTGTTAATTTAAATTTAATTCCACTTTCTGCCACTCTCAAACACGAAACGAAACTCTTCAAACTGTCAATAAAAAATGGCGTCGGCAAACCACAAGTTTGATGGTGTTTTCCAAAGTTTCATGAAAAACAACAAGTAGGTACAATGGAAGAGTGTAGTGACAATAATAATGTGAATTTGACTCAAGCAATTTAAAAAATATTTTTTTTGTCATATGTTTCATCTTTTGCATTTCTACTAAATAATGACTATGGTCTAAGGGCCTAAGCATTTAAAGGTTGCAACAGACGGTACGGCTGAATATCTTTCAGGCCGCTAGTTAAACAGCGCCGTTTAGTTAAAGGGCTAGCCTGTTAATTTAACGGCTAATTAAGCTGACTGGCAAGTTGGCTGCAACATATCGATAATAATAGTGAGATAATAATTTTACTTAATTTTACAAAACTGTATAATGCTAGGTTCCATACTACCGCAGAATACTAGCTAAATGTTCTCTATTTTAGGTTTTCAGACAGTCTGCAACAACTACTAGAATCAATGTCACGGTGCAACCCCTGGTTCGTTCGATGCATCAAACCTAACTCCGAGAAGTCACCGATGAAATTTGACATGCCCTGTGTCCTTGCTCAACTCCGGTATACAGGCATGTTGGATACCATTAGAATCAGACAGATGGGATATCCCATACGTATTCCCTTCCAAGTGTTTGTGGAAAGATACAGGTTAGTAAAATTTAAGTTTAATAAGGTTTTATGTTAAAAAGATATTTGTTACATAATTAAAATAGTAGGTATTTATGTTAAATAAAAATATGTATTACCTATCTTTTATACCAATGGCGCTACAACCGTCTTTGCAGGACTCAGATTTATGTGATATATGAAATTTGCATTTTCAATCAATAGATAGAAAGTCCATTGGTGCACAGCCTGTGATCGAACCTACGACCTCAGTGATGAAAGGCCCTCAGTAATGACGCAGTCGCACGCTGAATCCACTAGGCCATCACTGCTCTCAGCACCACACAGTTATCTTAATTAGACTATTATTTTGTTCGATTCATACTACGATACCCAGTGTTACCTAACTTTAATATTAAACATTGATTTAAAAACGTGTTCGGTTTCATAATGTAGAAGCATAGTCCGCAATAAGTCGCGTTTCTGAATTATGATTCTTAGAACAACTATATCTTAAAATATCATTAAGTGCCTATCTCTTACCTAATCCGCTGCTTTGATGGTAATTTTTATGCTTAAAAAATGTGTAGTATTAAAATTTTTAGTAACATTTATGTTTACCATAATGTCAATGTCATATGTTGTAGAAAAGATAGCTTGTAACATATACTGTAAATATAGCGTATGTATGATGTCATGAACTTTAATAATTACATAAAAATACAATATTTTTAAACGTTAATTATAAAAAGTATTTTTCGATTTTGATTATGTTCCTAATATCTCAACAGGTACCTCCTGAAGTCAATGCCAACTCGTTCAACTCCGTATCGTGAAATCTGTAACTCCATTCTCGCCGAGATGCCTCCAACCGGAGCAGGTAATTTTACATAAGTAATTTTTATATACATTTGTATATACCACATATAATGTTGATTTGATTCTCATTTTCTTCAAGTCAATTTTATCTATAGATGCTTAATTATTAGAACTTTTAATTGATGTGATTTGGTACATAAAGGATTAAGTATAAAAGGTAGGCAGATCGCATTTTCTTGCGGCGGGATATTCGGTAACTAAGAATCGAATTCTTAATTCAACATTTCGATAAAACATTTTTTGCTAAAGTTTTATAAAATTAATAAATCATTGGCGCTACAACATTTGTAGTTCAGATTTCTGTATCTGTGTCATGATCATTTGTCAATCTAACAGGTAAGTAGGTGATCAGGCTCCTGCGCCTGACACACGCCGTCGACTTTTTGGGTCACCGTTCGTGCGAATATTAAAATGCGCATGTAGAAAGAAAGTCCATTGGTGCACAGCCGGGAATCGAACCTACGACCTCAGGGATAGAGTATTAGATAGATTGAGTCGCATGCTGAAGCCACTAGGCCAACACTGCTCGCTAGAGTTTTATGGAATCGTATATTACCGCTTTGTAGTCCCATTAAATAAAGAAAGCGAATTAACTCATTTGTTGAATGCATAACACAAATGGGGCAATTATCAGGTGCATAATATTACAGATCGCCGTTATATGTTATCTAACCGAACCGCAGTTAGGTATGATTTGAATTTAATTGTTTGCCTAATTACCAACTTTCATCAAATATGTAATGCTATCGAATTGAATTAGTGTGACATAGCCTTTATACAGAATGGACGAAACTGAGGATGAGATTTACGAAAGAATGGATGAACAGCAAGATACAGATGAAATTGTAGATGAAGATTGGGATACTGGTTCGGGGGATGAAAAGATAGAGAAACAATGCGAGACAGAAGAAGACATAAGTGATGTGACTTCAATCGTAAAGGAGGAAGTAGAAAAAGATGAACCGATAGAGATAGAGAGAAAACCAACGTGGCAATTAAAATTTGTGGACAAAATAAAAATAAATAAAACAAAAGAAACTTGCAAACAAAACATAAAATGGAGCAGGATTGTAAAAATACTAGCTAAGAAATCAAAAATAGATTCATATTCGGAGAACGTATCTGAAGTTATAAATCAGTCCGAAACAAAGTCTAAAGTGACTAGTCAAACATTATCACTCAAACATAGTCAAGAAGAAAAAACATCAACGGAGGATGATGAAAAAAAAAAATTTACTAAAAATATTCAGAAAAAATCTGAAGAAAAAATCGAACAACTATAAAGCTATGGTTTTAAGTGAGTTTAATTAATATAAACAAAGTACGTGTATGTAAAATTGTGGATTGAGATTGTCACAGTGAACTGTATTTTTTAATGGCCGTTTCATGTTAATTTGAATAGCGCATTTAGGAGATTAATTGCCGTGTAACAGTTGTATGTAAAGAGTTTGATAGTGAAAGTATCATATTTCTTTACAGTGGGTGCAGATTTCCAATTAGGCGCGGCGCGTGTTTTTATACGCGAAGCCCTTCACCGAGCGTTGGAGCGGGCTCGGGCTGACAAGTTGCGAGCCGCCGCCACCAAGCTTCAGGCCCAAATTAGAGGGTTCCTTGCCAGGTATACTATTCAAGCACTTTTGATGATGGTGTTTTATTAAAATATATTGCTTTAGTGTCATTGCACTATTACACAATCATGACACAACACATTGCTATCGAAATAATTCTTAACGTATTGGAAGTCATGGAATACTTTTAGGACCTATTGGACCTGTACATTTTTTACTACAGATATTTAATATAGATTTAGGCTTCCAAGTAGGTATGTGTGCTAAATTTCGTAAGCGTTTTGTTTGTATTAGAAGTTATTTGTAGGTTTGTCGACGAATTTCTTGGGAATGATTAAAATCCGGTATACTTCAACATTGGGAACAGTTCCGTTTCATCAAAATACGATCAGTAGTTTTTGATATTTCCACGCTTTTTAATTTTCCTTTCGGTCAACATTATTTTAATTAAATCGATGTATATTTTCTAAACAGAACAGAAACAATCAGAGGAACATAAAATTAGAAAGAGCTAAACTAAATCGCGTAAAATTAATTATTCTTCAGTCAATTATTACATCCCTAACCAAATCACTCTTTTCCTCAGGAAACGCTATTACCAACTACGTCACTCAGCAGTCCGGATTCAGTCATGGTGGAAGGGTTCACGAGACCGGCGAACGTTCCTTGTAGCACGGCATGGAGTTGTGAAGGCGCAGGCTCTAGTCAGAGGTCGGCAGGCGAGAAAACGAGTGACGGCCATGAAGGAACAGATGCGAAGGCGACAAGAAGCCCAACAGGCCGCAGCTAAGTAAGTATTTCATTACTTTAAGTTTTATTTATATTTGAAAAACCACGATAAAAATTTAACATCTACGCTACCCTAACGACTTATCGCTCACATTCGGTAAAATAGTATTATCTGTTAAATATAAAGCATTATTGAATGTGTTTCACGAGATTATGGTAAGAAAATGAATAAAGTGTCCCGTCGAATGGGCATCAAAAGTACAATCATGAGATATTTCTATGCTAGTGGAAGCAAACGGGAAAAAATATTTCCGTATGTTCCATAATAATCATTTTGAATTCATAGACGGCGTGCTGCAGAGCAGAAGGCAAAGGCTGAAAGTCTGCAAGTTCTGGAGGTGCCAGCGGAATTGGCGTTTATACTATCCAAGATTGAGGAGTGGCAGCCGCCTCATTCTGACAGAAATATTACCAAGGTACGACAAATCACATTATATCACATAGGTGTCTTGTTTTTGTATAGCTCTAGGTGAATAATAAATATTCAGGTTACCTAGTTGGTTTTTAACCGTTATCCATAATCATCATAAAATTACAAATTGTAAAAGCAATGTCGTACTTTAAATACACAAAATTCTAGTATTTTTAATTTCATTAATAATACCTCATATTCACTACATTCATAATCAAATGTTTCAATCTAACTTCTTTTAATCTGATGAAGGAATTTGTTCTAGATTCTTCTGAACGTATTATTGATCTATTTCATACGGATTTATAATTTTAGATATCAGACGTATACTGTGAAGAGGAACGCATCCAATTGCCTAAAGATCTCCAGCAATTTGCGTTCTCAAAGTTCAGTTCTGTGTACTTCGCTGATGGCGGGCACCTCAGCCCGAGAAAACTCCCCATTACCAAACCATTCTTATCTAAAGCTGCTGTAAGGTGAGTATTACTATTAAAAGATGGAGACTCATAAAATTTTAACTGAATGGTTCACATGCAACATGTACCAAATTACTACCTTCCTTGAAACTGAAGAATGCCTAAATATTTTTTGCAGAGATCAAGATTTCAATGATGCTGTAGCAGTATTTAAATTGATTTTAAGATGGTGTGACGATTCGAATTCTGGAAATGAAATAAGGCAAAAGGTAATTCATTGAAATATACATTTGTCATAGTTTTAGGCTTAAGATCCCAGGTTACTTTCCCAGAAATACACCAGACTGTTATATTTATCTGTTAAGGAAACCGGTTAAACTTTGCTACAAATGGAATTAAAATCAAGAAAGATTTTTTGACATATACCAATTAAAAAGGTGCCCAAAGTCCTAATTATATAAATTACTATCTGCCCCCGCGAACTTCGTTCCTCCTTAATGTGATTTTACTTAGCCTACCTTTTTAGTACATACCATGGAACATTTTGCTATGCTACCCCAGAGACTGTTCGGTACTCCGGAATGAAAACTTTTTAGGTTTTTCTGTGAATTTTTCTCTATATAAACCTCAGAGTTCAAGTCATAAGTTTTTAATTAACAAATGAAAAATAGGGGTTGATCGTAAAGGGGTCAAAGTTAAGGGTTGTATGTATTTTTGTATGATGTATCATAAAAAATAAAAACAATTTTGTCGATTTTTTTTTTGTATGGACAACCCTTCTTATCACTTAAGGGTTAAAGATAGTAGCCGATTTTCAGACTACTGAATAAGCATAAAAATTCCATAAGAATCGGTCGAGCCGTTTCGGAGGAGTATGGGAACGAACATTGTGACACGAGAACTTTATATATTAGATACAATATTTCTGATCTAGAAACTAATTCCAGATGATAGCTGACTACATAGCCTCCCGTGGGATCAGCTCTCGTGGCCTGCGTGATGAGGTGCTAGTACAACTATGTAACCAAGCCAGCGAACGAAACGGAAGCGCGCGCGTATTACCACTTCTTGCGCACTGCCTGGCTGCTTTTCAACCTGGGGCTGCGTTACACAAGTATGTTTTTTCGTCAATATACATATATATAATGTAGTGCAATTAGGCAGCCTTATTCCTTTCAAGGGAACCCGAACTAAATGTAATAAACATTGTTAAAGTAACTGTACGTGCCAAGGCTGTACATTTTGCTCACTCAGGCTTTCTAAGTTTTATAAGCGTGCTATTTACTAAGTCGTCGGAGTTACGTCCCGAGGGTTTAGCCAGACGTAGGCACTCTCTTCAACGGAGACATCGTATTCATTCGTTACATAGCAATTAACATTTCATTATTTCGCTTATATTGTTGCACGCGATTGGTTGAGTAAAACTAAAGTCCTCTATTATTTATAGCAACCCGATTACCCAGGAACCGTACAGTAACGTATATATTTAAGTTGGCGTTGAATATTAGAAAATATTAAGTATACCAGAAGGAAAGTGTTTGTCCAATATTTAAGAATTTCACAGAATCTTAAGCAGACATATTTAATGTATCAAAGTTTGTACAGTTCATATTAGAGTTGCTGGTTGACCTTTTCCAGTACACCATAATATTCATGATGTTGAGGCTGTTTTATATAGCATTAATATTTAAACTAAAACACGTTTATTATTACATACTGGCTTCTTTTTACAGATACCTGGTACGGTTCATATCAGAGCATTGGGAAGGCCCTGATAAGGCGCGTGTTTTACGCCTGGCGTGCGGTAGCGAAGCGAACTCAGCTCGGGCAAGTGGTCTTGCTCGACGCGCCCCGCCCACTCTTCTCGAATGGAAGGCAGCAAGTGAGCAGGCCAGACCAGCGCTAGCATTGCATCTGCCTACTGGTAAGTAGAAGAGTTGAAGTAGCTAAATAATATTTAAATTCATTTCGTTGGTCTAGAATTTCCTATAATTTGTCGTAACAATAAAACAGTTCATGTTTGTTTTGGATGATTAAGTTCACTTAAAATGTACCGTTTTTTTTAATTACTTATTATGTATTACTTAATTTATTAGGAACGCGACAAATGCATATGATAGCTTTTCAATTTACTTTTTTTTGTTGGTTAACGTTAAGCTATCCACTAACTGACTGGATAGTCCATTTATTAGCCGCGTTATCGCTCGCCATAGACGTTGTTTGCTCTACAACGGGTCTATACGTCATGCTCAACTCGTTTTTTTATGTTATCTCGAAAACCTAAAATCAAGACAACAATTATTAATATTTACATGATTGACGCTCTTTGTTGAAACGGGATCTATAGCTTTAAAAGTATATATATTATATATATATATATATATTTGTGTTTAGGATCGTCCATAAATAATGTTTTTTCTTATTTATAGATCGTGTAGAGAAAGTATGTGTAGAGGCGTGGACAACATGTGAGCGCGCCGCAGCCAACGCTCTTGCAGCAGCGGGTGTAGCTCATGACGCAACCGGCTGGTCTGTCACCATGGAACATAATGGACAACTTACTGGTGAGATTTCATTTAAATTAATATATATAACAGACGCTAAACATATTGTTAGATTAAAATATTGTACTATTATTTTGTTAGCAATAAGTAATTCCAACTTTCATGTTGTAGTATATGATAAATAATTTGCTCAAGTAATTAATTCATTCGTAACTTGTCTGATTAACATATAGATTTAGTGCCGATGTGAAAAACTGAAAACATAAAGTATAACATCTTTAAACAAAAAAATTGTATTTATTATAGCTATACGATTATAAAAAAAATTAGTTCAGAACCATCAAAACACGCTTTACAAATAGCCCAATAATCTATAACCCAAAGATTTATTTATTTATTCCATATCATTATTCTATTTTTACAGTAATTACTAATTCGATAGAACGACACAATATTTATACCCACACCCATTAACCTAGATAAAAAACATTAAAAAAAATATATTTATATACCTAAATCTTATAAATAACTAATAATATAGGAAGCAACTCTTGTGAACTCAGCCAGTGTACGTTTGTACATATAGGATTTCTGTTAAGGTAGACCTATTTGTTTAAATAGGTCTACCTTAACAGAAATCCTATTTATTATAAGTATTGCTCGCGTGAGTGGTGCTTCGCTAACCAAGTTGGAATGTGCGCGCGGTACATCCAAAAGATAGCATTAAGGTGTTAATGTTTAAACATTCTGTTCAGAATGGGCAGGATGCGAATACGTACTGGACGCTGTGGGTGAGATGGAGACATTTTCCTCCCTCTGTGCTGGTCGTTCGTCTCCCTTACGAGCGAATACGCCATCTACCCCACCACCCTCGCACGTTCTAACGCATGCCCACACGCTCACACGCACTCGTACGCCTGAATCGCCGCGGGAACGTACGCTTACAGTCCCGCGTCAGACGCCACCAGCACCCCCTCCGAGAGCTTCTTCTATTGATACCGAGAGGCAACACCGACCACAAGTAAGTTTTTGATTAAAGTGTCTGTGTTAGACTTTACAGTAATTTTAAACGTTTTATAAATATCTATTTAGATCGCGGTCATTTATTTACACTTACTTATTCATTTATATTTAACAGGTGCCACCGCCAGAGCCTCCAAAATCTCGTTCACCAAGTATCCAAAGGATCCTCCAAGAATCCATTGAAGAGAATATTTCCGAATATAACTGGAAAATGGAAGAACCGCGCAAACATAATGAATATTCCAGAAAAGTATCCCATGATATTCTGTCACGGGAATCAGCGCTTAATGAGCGTTACTTTGAACAACAGTCTGATAAAGTCCGCAGTAGATCCCTTGACAATTTATTAGGAGATAACCCGGTTCCTCCGCCATCAAAGCTAATGGATTTAGGATTGTCGCAATCACGGTTAAACGACAGATACCACTCAGTGGAGAGGCTGGGGGGAGCCCCGAGTGTTTCAAGTAGTAAAGGAGGAGATGACTATGGAACAGGCTCGCGTGTGTTGCCCTCCCGGTATATTAAGTCACAATATGCAGGAAAAAGAGCGCCCGCTGGTTCGCAGTCGAGTCGTGCGTATATTGAAAAGAGCTCGGAGTTTGGTGGTGTGCGGTTAGTATATTGATTTTTTCACAATTAAAACTGCAATAATCCTGCACGCCACTGCGTCTGTAGCTTGATTAGTAACGCATATAAAGCTTATAAACCCGAGATCCTTCCTCAATTTAAAAATTATTTCAGGATAAAATGTAACAGAAAAAAATGGTATTTTATTGAATAAACCAATCCTATAAATAAACATGATTCTCGCAGATTGTATTATTTCGGTATTAAAAAAATAGAAGTCTTATTTAAAAATTATTTCATTAAATAGTAATTAAATTTGAACAGATCATCAGCAATGTCGGACACATCAGAAGCGCCGAGCTTAGCGTCCCACGTGCGTCGAGTCCGCGTGCCCAGTCAGGCGTCAGATGTTGATCAGTTCCTCGACGACCTCTTCTCGCCCGTACTTGACCCTAACATTGATGAACTATCGGATGCCAGGTTAGAAATTTTTCTATAAATTTTTACTGGTATTTTCGCAAGGTGAAAACATTTTCTGGTTTTCACTTCACTTGTAGATATTAAGTCACTAAGATGCTTTTACTGCTTTATGTTGATACGTAACTAAAGGAGTGAAAGAGAGTGAAGGACTGAAAGCATCATGAAAGTTTAATAAAATTACTTTTGGTAAATTAACAATTTGTTATAGATCACTTGCTGCAAGCATCAAAGGTGGAAAGGACTACGACAATTTCATAGATAACATTCTTAATTGCTCCTATAATGAGCAATTGGAAATTCTAAATTCAGAAGAAAAGCTAGAGCGGGCCATAAAAGGTGGAGGAAAGGAAGATACACAACCGAGCAGAAAAGAATCTAATGTAGATTCTGTTGACGATTACATAACCAACCTTTTCGACCCAATATTCTTAAACGATAGTTTAAAAAGACTCAATGATGGAGAAAGTTTATCTGGTGCAATTAAAGGCGGTGGAGCCACGCCAAGATCTGCTTCAGCGAATACGTCAGCCCTCAGTTATGGATCAATGTCCATGCCCCCTTCAATGCCATCAATGCCAGCCACTCCTGAAGCGTTAGCCGCGGCACTTGGTCTTCACCTTCCTCCGCCGGGAACGGTAGATATTAATGCGTATCATCAAAATTTGCAAAGGGCATTCCTTCAAAATGCAATGGCTCAAAATTTACAAATACAACAACAACTACTTGCTCAAAATCAGGCATTACAATCATTGTTAGCTGGACAAGTGGTAGAATCTGAATCTACTCCGACATCCCCAGTTCGGTCTTCCACTGTTGTGCATGCTCAAGTACATTCGCCACCGAGGAATTCGATGAAAATGAGGCGTGAATCAAACGAAAGCGGATCTGGTGGAGCTCCTCCACCCCCACCACCCCCCATGCCACCTCCACTACATGAAATGGACCCTTCCGAAGCAAGACCATTCTTAGATCCTTATGGAAGAGCTAAAACAGTTCGAATTGGAAAATGGAGATGGCCACCGCCTAAAGACGCAGTTCCGCAAGATACCACACAAGATTTTACTAAATTCAAAATGCGACAGATTCAGAGAAGACATACCCCACAATCACAGACTAATGGAGAGCACCACCCTGAGCCACCGAGAGGTAGATCAAGATCAGAAGCATCACCAAGCATTGAGTGGGAAGAATTTGAAGTTGACGGACAACCACCCTCCAACAGAGAACCACCGTCACAAAGAACGGCCAGACGTAGCTTTGAAATTGGTGCACAAAGACCATCGCCAGGTAGTGTTGGAAAATTAAAGCTCAGCTCAGAAATGCGACAGAGGTTGGAACGGGTTACTGCTAGCCATTCTGTCCGAAGCTCGTCTTCAGCTGCAGAAACACCCAGAGCAGTTAACAAATTAGAAGACACCAGGAAATTAATGCTAGAGAGGCAGTTAGGGGGTGGGCCTCGGTGGGATGCCCCACCACCTCCATTACCCCCAGCTCCTCCTGGCCCAGCCCCCCCTCCGCCAAATTCACCCCCATCGCCACCTGATAAGCCAGCCCCACCACCACCATCGGTGACAGACACGTCCTCGACATTTGCGCAATTACGTCGCGACAGAGATACGTTTGGCGTTCATCAGAATCGGGAAGTGGACGATCGTCATAACTTCTTAGCCAACTGGAACTCACGTAGAAAAGATGACAACGAATCGCAAGCAGACGACCTAGCAGCACGATTTTTAACAGCAGATCGACGCGAAAAACGTCGTGATGACTGGGGCGATGAGTCGGAGACTAGAAGTTACGATGATAAAGGTCGTGATGAATGGGACTCAGAAATTGGTGATAGAAGTAGAAACCATGATAATTTCTCGGGACGAGATGCATCAGAGATATACGAAATGTCACCAACGCGAACGGAAAGAAAGAGCGACACGTTCGATCGCGCTATGTTTGATGATTTTGAACGGTTTGATGGTAGGAAAAATTCACGTGACATGCTGATGGGAAGATCAAGAGAAAGCCCGAGAAGAGATGTTATGTTTCCGCCAGATAATGGGGACACGTTAAAACGCCACGATCGACCCACATTTAAAACCCACATGGCTCAGAAGGAAAGAGACCGAAAACTAGAAGCCGAGAGGAGACAATCCGTATCAACACATGTTACAGATAAAACTGAACATCTAGAAAGTAAGTAATAACTCCATATATGTTCCAAAACAATATGCTTAAACTACTAGAAATAACTTTTCAACCCTACTTTTATACAAATTATTTATATATATGGGCCTCAGATTTGTTTGTCTCGTGATAATTAGTAATTTCATATATTGGTTGTCAGCCATCTGTGCCTGCCACTTGCTGTCAGGTTTTGGGTCTAGGGCATAGCGATCCTACAATGGTGGGGATGAAGCTAACAATAACTAATAGTAAATTAATAAATTTCCAAAATAATCATAAAAATACTTTGTCTAGATATACCAGCTCCGGCAGCCTTTCTGCCAGCATCCGATCGCAGTTTTCTTACCTACCAACGCGTGCCGTGGAAGTTGCGCGTGCGCAAGGAAGTATTTTCACCATTGGAAACATATAGCGAGCCTGCCATATTAGATTTATTATATGCACAGGTTAGTTTTAAAGCTTTATATAATCGCTCCGTTGACATCTTAATACAATTTCAATTTATAATTTGTAACGATTTATTTATTTTCCTATAGTTATAAGGAATCATTACGTACTTTCTTTAAATAAACATAGCAATGTAGCTTTTTATTCGCCAACTATCTTTCCTTAGCTATAATTGTAGTAATATTAAAATAATTTAAGCATTAAATGATATATGGCTTAAATATAAGACTCTTGCCTCCAACTTTGATTTTGTTCCCTTTGGAGTAGAGACTCTTGGCCGGTGGGGATCAAGTACACAGGCGCTAATTAAGATTTAAGTTGGCGCTAGGTAGATAGTACCGTTGACCCTAAAGCTATTGCGTTCCTCGCTCAACGAATAAGTATCCCAATACAGCGATGAAATGCTGCCAGTTAAAGGTATCTTGCCATAGGGACCTTTTAATTTTGTTTTAAATATTAAAGTACTATATTTTTCTTAATTAGTAAATAAATAATAAATCACTCTTTCTTTAATAAACAAAGTCATACTTCTGTAGATCGTAAGCGACATAACATCGACATTGCCATCTCTACGCATCAGTACAGCTGATCGGCGAGCTGGCAACACTTGGTTACGATCTCAAAATGGGCCAGTAAGGGTAGCTTCTAAACGCCAGGCCGTTGAAATGGCTCGAGAGTGGCCTTTCTACTTTGCCAGATTATATTCTGCCAGAATACAGCCAGGAGAGAATGCGGTGCTAGCTGTGTCACACAGTGGAGTATTTATTGGAGTTAAAGGTGAGTGGAGTAATCATAAAAAATTTCGATTTAGAAATTATATATAATTAAGTAAAAAAAAAACAGTATCGCTACAAGTGCAGATTTTAGGTCTGGGCCTCAGGTTTTTGTATCTGAAGGTGATTGGCCTTCTGCGCTTAACACACGCCGTCAACTTTTTGGGTAACCTTTATTTCCTGATAAATTCCACCCGTATCACCTCGACGTCTGCCGTTCCACGACTGAGCGTTTTTTAAGGCAATTTTAGCCGCGCATCACTGCTATGTGGAACCAGCTGCCCACTGAAGTATTTCCGAACCAATTCGACTTAGAGCCCTTTATGAAATAAGCGTACCTATTCTTAAAAGGCTGGCAACGCACTTGCGAGCCCTCTGGCATTTAGAGAGTCCATGGGCGGCAGTATCACTCAACATCAGGTGAGCCTCCTGCCCATTTGCACCCAGTTCTCTAAAAAAACTATTAATTGCATAATTTTAAAGAAAGTGGCGATACAACCTTTTAGGACCTGGTATCTGTTCGCGATCTTTTGTTTTTTCTAATAAGCAAGTAGGTGATCAGTCTTCTGTGCCTGCCCCAGGCGGTCAACTATTTTTAGTTTGAGTTTGATTTTTCTTGCTTTTGTATTACAATAATAATTATTAAAACACACACACTTTGTCCACTTATGACTAATTCACACTACACAAATCCTTCTTGCTCAGTAGATCATGACGACGGTACGGATGTATTTTTTTTAATGTTGACATCGCTGTTCTTCAAATATAAGCTTCATTCCCAGGTCCCGGCGGTCTCATAGTGCGTCGGTCATTATCGTTTTCGGGTCTACGCGCATCGTCGCCTGCACCTAGTACTTTGCAGTTGACACCTTCGCGCGACGCCCCGCTCACGCTGCACGTCCCCCTCGCACACAGCGCACACTCGCTCATCGCTGAATTCGCGCTTCAGTACTCACAGGTTAGTTAAAATTATAATTTCAATTTTGTTAAAGAAGAAACTGGGACTGAGTTATACTATTCTAATATCGTATAACTACGTTAGAGGTAAGTAAAAAAAGTAAATATAAATAATTAGAATACATGTCGAAATATGCATAATAGTGATAATGAAACATGTTCTAAGCGAGTAAATTGCTTTTCTTCGCTCTTCGTGATACGTAAAATAAGACTTTTTTATCCCAAATAGGAGACTACCAATTTTATCGATGTATTTCCGGAACCTATTTTTCATTTCTCGCTCTGCGATTATTAATGAAATAAGAAATCCCTTACTCTCTAACCTCAGGGTTGCTGCTCAACCATTATTTATTTAATTCAAACAGGCAAAAGATAACCTTATCTGAAATTTGATACTTTGTAAAGTAAGGTAATGTGCAGATCTATTTTAATTTTTTCTCGTAAATTGCTAATCTTTATATATATAATTCTTCTGTGAGTGTGTATGTCACTGAACTTCTCTCAAACGACTGGACCGATTTTGATGAAATTTTTTGTGTGTGTTCAAGGGGATCTGGGAATGGTTTAGATTCACAAATCAGCCCGGCAGATGGCACTGCAGTCGGTACTTTCATACTTTGCTTAATATCCTAATCGCTTTAAATATCATGCAGGACAACGTCTGTGGGGTCCACTAGTAAATAAATAAATCAATGGCGCTACAACCTTTTTTAGGTTTGGGCTTCAGATTTCTGTATCTGTTTCATGACCATTTTAATCTGATAGACAAGTAGGTGATCAGCCTTCTGTGCCTGACGAACGCCGTCGACTTTTTGGGCAAGCCGGTTTCCTCACGATGTTTTCCTTCAACGTTTGAGTGAATGTTAAATACGCACATAGAAAGAAAGTCCATTGGTACACAGCCGGGGATCGAACCTACGACCTCAGGGATGAGAGTCGCACGCTGAAGCCACTAGGCCAACACTGCTCTCGTGAATTGCTAATAGGGAAAAATTCTTCATTACTAGCAGTCCCCATTTTATTTACGATTTCATAAATAATTTGGCAATTATAGTACAATCTTTACATAATCTTTGAATAACATCCTACATTTCACAAACAGCAGAATACAGACAAACTTAAGTACATACATAATGACTAAAGTTCATATCTTTGTCAATATTCATAGAAACACTTTCCTACTGAACGTGTAAAGAACTTCCTACTTCCTTTGACATATGAATTTAAATTATGCAATATAGATTTAAGTCTGACCTCGATTTGTGATCTCAAGATGATATTAAAATATTACCTAACACAGATTTAAAATTCTATTGATTTTAGAAATGTTGCCATTTTAGTTTCATAAATATTTTGCATTTCGTTTAGTTTAGTTTCGTGAGTTTTTTAAGGCCACCCCATTGAAATATCGAACTTCAAGAAATGTACGAATTTTTAAAAGGCCGGCGCATACAGTATATATACCATTGTTTTTGTTTTACATTACACGAAAAAAATCATCTATTATTTCTGAAATTACCACAAGCGGTTCAACGATCTCAGCAATGCGATTATCTAGTAATTGATACAGTTATAATCGCGTAAATCTCTGCAACAACGGTCAGCTTCAAGCTCGAGATTTTTAATCATTCAATTTGTACATACAATAAGCTGTTTTATGTAAATCTCACTATATATAATCACATATACAAACCAGCTATGAAATAAATTAATTTAAAATGTAAAACGAAAACGATGGCGCGTTTCGTATTGTTGACAAAACATTCACTACGCGTTGACACGCAATATTATACTTCATGATATTTGGGGGCAAAATCAGTTACGACATGTTCAGTATTCTATATATATGTATTTACATAACAAATGCTTTTAGATTTAAAGGAGTTTATACACAAGTTATATGACATACAATATAAAATATATTAAATATAGATGTGAAATTCGACCTTGACAATATAACGTATATAAGTATTAAGCAGAAAAGCTATTAAAGATCAGTATCTCTCCCGTTAGAGTCCGTTAGTGACCGCTTCGTCGTTACGAGTTACGACTCATCCACTTACAACTATTTCCTTGTCACAACAGTCCCAAGTTTTATTTTCTCATACATTCTATAATCCAAAACATAATTCTGTTGTATTCTTGTCTTACTCAATGAATCTATGGCAGGCTAAGATGCAGCAGAATCCATCCAAACTGTATGTTCCATACTTATTATAATGTAGTTTATTTACGAATAATATATTTAATGCGAAGTCTAGATTCTGAATACAGCAGTATCGGATTGCCCGGAACAGATCGCTTATTAGCCTTATCCAAATAAGGAAGTAAATTTTGCTATAATAAAAAAAAATATCGAAGAAGTATCGGAAATGATGCCAGCATTAAAGGTACAATGCCACAGGAATCAAATATTTGTTTTATTTTTCTATTTATTTATATTTAAATTATTATTAATATGTAGATAAAGAATATTGTATACTATACACGACCAACCAGGCTCCAGAAGACAAACCACTCCTTATATGGAAATTGTATTCGTTTTTACAACAAACTCCCAAGCGAAATTAGAGAATTATCACTGACTAAATTCAAATTCTCGTTAAACGTAAATTAATCAAGAAAGCTTTTTATAAATTTGACGATTATTAAAATGATCCTAATCCTTGGGATTGATTTGCTTCAGCTAAAACAATTTGTATGACTCAAAACTTGGCGATTAAAAATAATGGCGGAGAGTTTCTTGCCAGTTCTTCTTGCCCGCTTTACGCCCTTGACTTGCGAACTGGTAGTAAATGTAAATTTAGAATTAAGTTAACATATTTTCTGTTGACGGTTATAAGTGTACTTGGTTACCTATATGAATAAAGTAATTTTGAGTTTGAGTTATATATGTGTTATTATATAAATCAAATTAATTGATAAGAAACGAAATTTGCCCCACTTTTCTAATCCAATCAATAGCGATGACATTTTTTATAATGTTTAAGTTTAATAGTTTGTACTTATGTTCTTAAATATTTGTAACTTAACCTATTTGCGTATTACATAAAAACAATAAACAAATCGTAAACCATAAATTGAAACCGGACTTAATCGTATAATACTTTCACCGCAAAATTGGATCGTTTTGATAAAATTTCTCAGACATAAGTACTAATATTTTTGCATTTTATGCGTGTATAAAGCTTAAATTAGACGCTTCAGAATTTAAATTTAATTTAATTTATCCCTTCATACCTACCTTGCTTGCTTCATACCTATTTGTATAAAGATGAAAACTGTAATTTTCCCGGTTTTTAATAGTTCTATAAATGCCAAAATGGAATTTATATGTAATTCCTTTCAATCCCTTTCTTCTTCACTTCACTCTCTAAAATTCAGTCTGACTTATGTCAAAAACAGGAGGATATACGGGAGGAGCCCGCGATAAGTTTCGACTATTGTCCCTTGTCAGAGGTTTAAGATCGATTTTATACCTTATTATACCTTATACCTTATAAAAATATCTTGTTTTTAAAAGTGAATCAAAAATACTTAGCAAAAGATTGAGAGAATTATGTTAATAGCCCATTGTTAAAATACTTCTGTGATTTCCCACAAATTAAATAACGATGTTTTGCTGAAATAGAATGGAAAAAAATGTAATTTGGTTTAATTATATAATAAGCTCACATCTGAAAAACACTGCGTGATATTTATAGCTGTTATACAAAGAATAATAAGTTCAATCCATTGACATATGTAAATAATAAAAATTACGTCCGGTCAAACAATCTAAGCGCGAACCTATCAACTATACCTGCGCACGCGCAGTCACCCGGCGACCGCGCCTGCGCGCGCACCATGCACCGACCTCGCTTTAACACTGCGATGCGCGATAATTGGCGGCAATTGCAGCGCGAGTTTGACGACGATGTCATCAAACGTGCACCTAGTTTGGATTCCCTCATCAACTCCTCAGAAGCCTCCAGCCTTGATGCCTCGGCTGACGATTCAGACTCAGGAGCCGATACACGTGATCCTGAGCCCAGGAGGAAAAAGTGCCCCCAAAGTTATTCATCCTCATCCAGTGGTCATATGGAAACAATTCATGAGGAGACAACCGAGCCCAAAGTGTCTGTGAAAGCAATTCTAGCAAGATTCGAGAATTTGACGGAAAAAACTGATTTTCTTCAGGTATTTAACTGACGTAGCAAGTTTGAGCTAATTCCGTAATTTTTTCATGGAATATTCAGACAAAAGTCCTCTGGTAATTGATATACTATGATAATATATTGAGCGATATTTTACCAAGCGTAATTTATCAATATGATATGTATTTAAATTCGTGACGCAAATATTACGCAAAAAACGAGGTCGAAAACTGTTACAAAAAATTTATAAATTATTGAAACCAATGAATATATTTGAAACATAATATTGTATATGAGAATATATTTAATATTTAAGCCGCCTTTATAGCTGAAAGCCCAAATTCTAAAATAAAATCTGAATACTCATGAAAGTATTTGCACCTCGCCTCCTGCTGTTTCGAGACTACAATTCTGAATATAAATTAATACGTAAAAACACGGATGAAAGGGCAATCAACTCTTCATTGTTAATGTTACTAAGCTTTCGCAATTCGCAATGTTGTTTTGTTTTTTTGATAAACTCATTAGATTTCCTTGTATTTGTGGCATAAATCGCAACAACTAAATACGTAGGCAAAGGTCCAAATTTACGAATAATATAAATTGTTTATATGTGGATAATCAAAACAAGTACTAAATATTACACACCATTTCAATACTTATTGATAATACTTGAACACCCCGAGCTGAAAATTCTATTGAAATTTACGCGGAAAAAAATTCATGCTTTAGACATTAATTCCGTCATGGTTTAATTATTAACCATGAAATAACTTTTCCCTAATTAACGATGAGAAATCGAGCCTAAAAATTACTATTAACGCCGATTTAAATAGCAAAAAATTAGGCCATTCCTTTGTCAAGGTACAAGTTGTACGCTTATTTGCATATAAGAAATAAAATACGTTAATAACTCTAAAGGCCCAGTGCAGCAAGCAGCCTTATCGCTTATAAGCGGTCAACCCGTATAAGAGAATTAAAATTAACACGTAGTGCGAACCGTATACGTTCAAATCTTAGTCATAAAAACATTACCAACATTGAGCTATATTCCGTGAACTACAACAAATGCAGGGCTAAGTAGATGGATAAGAAATAGACATTAGGTGTTTGAATATTTTAAAGATGTATATAACTTTTATATAATTGCGATAAAAATTATGAAGAAATTAGTCGAATATTAACTATATCAACATTGTATCGATGAGACCATTCTTGTATTTTAAAGTTAAGGTCCTGTTAATCGTGTGATGAACATTTCACAATTATTATACCTTATGATAACAACAAAAAATATCAAACAGGTGTTATAACACCTGTTTTAACGGCAATCGAGAGTTTAGGGCTAATTCAAACTCACCCCATTTTACTCAAAAGGGCCCTACTTTACAATGGCCTCGTAGAAATTACTGAATAACTATGATTACATAGTCGTTACGTAGAGAAATACATACATAAATAATATTTTAAATTGCAATTTTTCAAAGGGTTTTAATAAGCAACAATTGATTTAAAACAAATGCTCATCAACATTAGAACTTTACTGTCAGAATTCATTACCGAAACTAATTATTAAGTATGTCAACGCATTTCAAACGTATAATTCTCCGAATCAATATGTTGCATAATAATGTCACAAAATACATTTCCCATCTCACTCATTTCCAAGAGTTTCTCAACAATGGATAAAGGAAGCTATTTCTTAATAAAAACACGTAAAGTAACATAAACAATGTGTAGTGAAAGTGTATCTAAATATTCATGTCATCATTTTAAAATTACTTTATTTAATAAGCTAAGCTCAGATTGGCTTCAACTACCAAATATTTAGATTATAGAATATCTGGGTTACCAAATTAATGAAGTTACAAACACTAAAATATAATTGATTATTCGATAACATTTATAAAGAGGACTCAAAATAGTTCACGGAAGTTCGAATATAGGTAACAGGTTTCCGAGCGTTTCTTATGGCATTTTTTACCACTATGTGGCACCTGTTGCCCACTGTATTTCCAAACCAATTCGACTTAGGGTCCTTCAAGAAAAGAGCGTTCCAATTTTTAAAAAGCCAGCAACGCACTAACCTTCTGGCAATGTGTGTATCCATGGGTATCACTTAACATCAAGGGAACCTTCCCGAACCTTCATTCCTTTTCTTAGCGAACCTTCCATTCCCCTTTGTTACTTAAAAAAATTCGTCTTAATTAAATGTTCTACAGTCGCGGTTACATTAATAAAAACGAATTAAAATCTCCATAAACCACTGCTCTCTCACTAATAATCACATTTTGACAGAAAACAAAAGAGTTTTGAAAACAGTGAAAGTATTGTTTTAGTTTTAATGACCCATTCATTCGACACGTATTAAATGATTTGTTAGTCTGTAATTTGCTCTATGGTACCCAGAACTTATAGAATTAGGAACGTATAACCTATGTGTAGCCTCGTGACAATTGCGTGGTTAGCGGAGCGCGCTTCCCTTTCCTACTGCGCGTGACCACTCAACATTGACGTCATCGCGTGTGAAAATTTAACGGATTGCAAACCTATTTTGCTCCTCATTTGGGAAAGGGTTGCAGCATTATTTATCATTATATATAAAAACCATTTTATTATGAAATAAAGGTTGTTAAAACTTAACCCCTAATGAGGCAAACACACAAGGTGTTTCGACAGAAATTGAAACTAGAGTAAAGCGCGAGTTTTTTTAGAAATACAACGGAATATCAGTTCATCAGTTATGTTATAGTAATTTAATTAGACCTGCAAAAAATATATAGACTTTGTTTCAGATTTAGCATAAAACAAGAGAAATCTTTAAAAATAACTTCTATTAAAATAATGCTATTGATGTCTTTTGTTTATCAAGAAATACTATGAGATGAAGCATAAATTAAAAATGTTATTTCGTATTGTATCCTCCATTGTATAGGGATTTTGAATAGATAAGGCACAAATGATTTTTATGTGTATGTTAACAATAATGTCGTGCGCGCCGAACTGTAAATCCTGTCGGCTCATTGTGTATACTTATATATTTATACCCATTTGGGGATATTATTTTTAATGTTATATTATATAGAATATTTGTATGAGAATCGACTGCATTTCTAGGTTTGGTTTCGCGGGTTTTTGTTAAAGTTTACGAATTCGAATCGTTCCGTTTATTGAGAATATATAATTTTCTGTTAATAGAGTCATAATATCGGTAATTAAAATTTGCGACTTAAAGTTTACTAAACAGAACAAAATATGTTACTACTAGGTCACAAATCTTGGTAACGATTTTTATTTTACAAAGAATTATTATTTACGAGTTTAATTTATTTTATTTTAGTTGCTTTTTTGTTAGCTGAAGGAAAGTAGATGCCCCTACGCACTATGTCGGCTGAATCAGAGCGTGCGCACTTTCCAGACACCATCCACAGGTGGACTGGCCAATTATGACCACTTTCATCACACACACTAGTTATTGCACCCTTTCCAATGCAATGGTCTGTGAATCCAATTAACTTACGTAAAAATCTATTGTATGACTCTAATGGGGAATAGATTAGTGCTACCAAATCTTCGCTTTGTCATTTTGTATATAAATAATAATCGTTTAAATGTGACAGTCATTTGAAAGCTAAGTATTGGAAAGAAAATGCTAGAAGCTTTGGCAAATTTTTCTTGATAACATCATGAAATCAGATTTTGCAATTACATAAAATAAACCTATATTGAAGAGTATATTTTATTTTATTTATGCTCTCAAACACATTAATATTAGGACAATCAAATACTTATGAAAATATGTTATATACATGTGTGAAAATGAAATGAGAACTTCAGAAGGTGCTAAGCAGATCAATGCTACTTATTCAAGTAAAGCATATCTACTCTTATTAAAGCCTGGATGTGGGTTCAATTGTTTCTTGAAGGTATATCCGTGTTCTTATACCTAATGCATTTGTATTCGCATTTCTTAAAGATGTCTACAAGGCGAACGACTTAATTTATAACTGGCCGTTATAGTAAATCTTATAAAGTAGGCGCGACGTTTTCCGCAATAGTTTTTCCTACTGATAATTTACGCTCTGTCCATATTTTTTAGATTCTGATATCCTAGTTTCTTTAACCAATTTGCTTTAGTAATTTCAGTATTTTTTTGGTAATTTAGTTATTGTTAATTATATATATAAAAAAATAATCATAGATATATCTATAATTTTAAAATGTCGCAGTCGCCACAGATTCTGTACAGTTATGTCATGTTCCGGTGAGCGATATTTAATCGATAAATGCTTGGACTACTATTAAGTGGACAGCATCATTATTTTTTTACCTGTGATGTTATGTGCTTTTTCCTTACTTGTGTAATCTGTGGTGCCATTCTGTAATTTAGAAATTTTATTTTATTTATTTATTTTATTTCAAACTACTGTTGTGGCTACTGTGGTACTTTTACCATTAATTTAAAACAAATTTACCTTATATTGACACTAGGTTTAAATAAATTCTATGTCAATTCGTCCTTATAAAGACCTCGTTGACATTCAAATTGCTCATTTTTTATTCGTTAATTTATTTTTTATGTATTAAAACTGTATGTAAACCTTTAGGCTATGTTCACATGTAACGCGCGATAAAATTTGAAGAGAGTTTAGATGATGAGCGCTAATGCGCGTTGCGAGAGTACTCGTCAGTCTAGTTCGGTAGAACGTAGAAAATGGACGTGGAAGAGGCTATTATTTTGTGGTTTTTATTATAAAGAAAAATATAGAAAAAGAAAACGTACACATTGGGTTCATCCAATTTTGAAAAATAGACCCAGTTTGTTATAAATATAATTACGAAAATTAACAAAATTACATGCGATCGCGATGAAAGCGCGCGCTTAACTGAACAGCATACGGACATTACATTAATATCAAAGCGCGCGTTGACGCGCGATCACCTGCGTCTAGAGACTTTTGCTCTGAGCGCCGCGTTGACGTGCGTTAACGCGCGCTCATGTGAACAGTTGTATGAAAATACCACAATGTCTAGTCGCGCGATTTGAAAACGCGCGTCAAGTTTTTGCCATCTGAACATAGCCTTAAAGTTATAGATTACTAACACACACTAGCACACAAAAATCGGATGAAAATTGTCATTCAATATTTCACTTTCATCTTAAAACTAGAGTGACTGAGAGTTTTCTTATCAGATGCCGAGGAATTTACGATAGTTTCGTCAATTACATGATAAATTACTATTTTTTAAATTAGAACACATCGACTGTCCATACAATTGTATAGCAAAACATATTATATTCGAACGATGCATATTCGTGGTTCCATTTAGTTCTAACGGCTACGGCTTCTTAAGTTTTCCATACAAAAGTGTATCATTACTCTTCTATTTGATCGGACTTAGGCCTCAGTTCTTCTCGTCTCGTCCCGTTCGACGCCCTACATTTGAAAACCGAATAAATTATATTTAAACACAGAACATCACAAATTGTTTAAAATGAAGATTATAAAAAATCTGGTGTGACAGTAAAAGTGTACACAATCTATAGATTATAAACGGTTCCTATGATAATTGTTTAAAAAGTAAAAATGTTTGATAATTTGTATAGTGTAATTATAATTTAAAGCAATTAAATAATTTATTAGGTCATATTCTATGTTAGTATCTCGCAACTTAGTGCCTCACATTAGAAGCACCGTGCCTTTAAAAATCTAAGGGTTTACTCATGAAAATGACAGTTCGTGTTGACAAATTTTCATACAAATTTAGTTTTCGACTTTCTACTGTATACACTAAGCCTAAACTAAACTGTATACGTTTATATTTTATAAACGTTTGGTTAATCCTTTAAAAAAGTGAGTGAAGTAGGGTTTAAAGAATTGTGTAGAATGTATTACAGCTTTTATGAATAAATAAAATTACAATAAAGTCATGCATTTTATGTTGACGGATTGTAACATATAAACATTATAACGGATCGTGAAAGTGTATCAGCGAGTGCAGTTAATGATAGGAAGCATCCACGGCTCACGCTTGACCGATTTCATGCAAATTAGGCCTTTAGGTCCATGCTGGCTACTGCTAATATGAAAATTACTACTGAGCGGAAGTTATATGAACAACATAAGTACAGGCAACTACATAACCATAGATATTTTATATAATGAATGGAATTCCAATGTGTTGCTAAAATAACTATATATGTATGTATATAATATATATTTTAAACACCAATAATTAACGAAAAACTAAAAATAAATCATTACAAATATCAAAACAATTATTTTAATCTAATTCTTAATTAAAATCCAAAAATGTTCTAACAAAAACAACAATTCTTGTGGCAAGCCAAAACGCCATTTTTTACACATGACAGATAACTAACAATCTAAAATAAGTATTATTATTTCTTTACATACATATATTCACATTATTTTTCTTTAACAGACACGAAATCTTTTCTTGTGTATACTTTCGTGGTTAAAGTTTGGTAACTTTTCCCCAATGGAAGTAAATTAATATATTAAGTCGTATTCATGAATTAGCGTTGGTTTAAAATTAATTCAAGATAAACAATTAAAAACCGTAATTATAAATCAAACAACATTTAACATTCCTTTAGCCATATAAATAAAAAAGATCTGTGTCAATCGTTATTGCACAGATGTTTTTTATAGGCCGGCGTCGCGCCCATTTAAATGGGTGTCCATGGGCTGCGATAGCTGCCCTTTTTGGGCGTCTCGTTTACCCCTATTGCCCCTTTCCTATAAAAAAAGCCTTCCTGCCAGGATACAAAGTCAAATGCTTAGTCAGTTCCTACACTGTAAGAAAAAGTTAGAGTAATCTGTACTTATCTTAAGCTGTAGGAAGCTTTTTTTTTAAATAAAAAGTCTGTAGACCATATATGTATAACGTTAGAAAATTCCTAGAAAATTCCACAAACGGGACCATAAAAATTTTGCAAACCGCCAATTCAACAGAGCAGCGACTCAACACGCCATTTCTTGTGTTGTGTCAATGTCACAGATAAAAAACGAATTCCGTTCTTGTGTAAGCCAAATACAACTGTAAACGATAGTTCGCATTTCCCGGAGTTGTCTATGCGTTTCTCAGAGCTGTGACAACCGGTCAGCATGTCCGTGCTACTAAACTATATATAACATTGATTTGTTGTTAATGTAAAGTTATGATCACGACTTATATATTGCTTTTGTACATAGTTCTGAATAGTGATTTCTATTTTATCAAACGCTGTCATAATTTCTTTGCAAACCTCTTACTATAACTCTTTGGGTAAGATTATTAATAATACCCTCAATTCAACCAACTTGGAACTCCTATATTTGTAACACACTTTTATTTTATTTTACTGAAAGTTATGAAGTTCACAAAAGCGCATAGATCTGTGAAACGCACGCATACATTTTTGCTTTATTCACTTACGTACACAATGCAATTATAGAAGATCAATGTTGTTTTGCCTTTACCTTCACTACATATATAGTATATGTATTATAAATATGCCAACTTTCATATATGTTGACTGAATTTATCATAAACACGAAGCGGTAATTAAAAATTCAGCGACTTATCGGAGCGACGAAATGAGAATGCATTAATATTTATTAAAAATTATTTGCGATGCGCCTCGATCGAGTGCATACCGTCACTGCACTTCGTTCGTGCAACGTGAAATCCATATATTTTCTTATTACTAATTTTAATTAAAAATGAATTGTGTGTGATTTGTGTTTTTGTGAAAATGGAGAATTTATATGGTGTGATACGGACATTGAGTAGGAAAGCTTTGAAAAAGAAACCCGCTCAGGTATTATACTATTTTAATTATTTTTTTGTAATACATGTGTCTTTGCTGAGACATCATGGTACTTTACGAATAAGCCTAACTTAATAATAATAAGTAATTTAAGTCTAACCTAATTTACTAATAAGGATATTTAACATAAGAAAGTGTCCAGTGACACTTAAGGTAAGACAGTGTTGTGTTCTATTTTTTCACTTTATTAACTTTTTAATAAATATAATATTTGTATGATTTATTATATTTACTGTGTGAATTTTTATGGAACGTAAAGACAATTCATAAACACATTTTGTCTTAGAATAAAAAATCGCTAATCAAGACTGACAAGGAAACTTACAACAATAATTTCTACATTTCCGAACCAATTCGACTTAGGGTCCTTGAAGAAAAGCGCTTACCAATTCTTAAAAGACCGGCAACACACTTGCGAGCAATGTGAAAGTCCGTGGGCGTTTTACTATTATATATAAAAAAATGTTGATTAAAATTGACTCATTTCAGTTATTGAATGTTGTTATTATTTTAGTCAATTAAACATTGCATTAAAACACTTGTTGACCCAATAGCTGCTCATAAAAAGTGATAGCTGTAATAACTCATATCTCTACACAATCAATCAGTTACAATGCACTCGTCCCTTACATAATGTAACTATTTAAAAACTAGTGTAGCCGGTGCGTTGGACTAACGATTACAGGGACGGCGGCGTTGTGGTGCGGTATTTGAGGCCCCTCTGATGAACCAAAGAAAATAATTTTAGTGTGTCACTAATTGTTTTGTAAAGAATCGTTTCAAATAAAACATTTGTTTATTTAAAATTTAGATGTTAAATTAGCCCATCTATTTAACTGAATAGAACACTTTCGTCTTTATACACTGGCAGCGCTTTGTTGCCTAATATATAATTATTATAGTATTTGTTACTGCAGTTCAGTTCAGCTAATATTTTTTTGTGTTTGTGAAAGTAAATTTTTAACAGAATACTAAAGAATGCAATGTTTTAAGTGCAAGAAGTGCATAATTATTAATAAAAAGCATAAAATCACGTGTAATACTACAATGTATCACAACACTAAAATCTAAAGAAAATCTAATAAAAAACTAAAAGCTAATTCTAGGGTTAATGAATCACGATTAATAAAAGTAATTAATTTCGAGGTAGACGAGAAATGCTCAAAAAGAAGATTCTTATATAATTTAAAGACTGAGCTCGTCTGATTCAGTTCCAAAGCTGGATACTTTGCACAGTAAAGGAGGAGTGATGGAATTCAGTTTCAGGATTAGTCTGTCAAGGGAACGCACATCAAAACCACCGCCAGAAAGGAACATACAATTTTATTTTAAGTAAAGATTTAGGGTCGAAAATAATATTATAGAGAAGTTGTAAACTGTGCATTTGGCGCCAAATCTGGCTAAACAATTGAGTTTTCTTCGGAAGTCCGATATATGGTCAAATTTACAAAGTAAATATGAATCTGATGCATAGATTTTATTATTGGTATCCATATTAAAATTGTATAGATTTTTTTAAAGCATACTTAAATATGGGAGCTCAAGGTTAGGATTCGACGACTAAAGAATAATATAGAATTTTTAGGCTAGCTAGTTTAAGTTGGTAGGAGGCTCCACAATAACGGGGCCCCTCGCGAATTCAACCGACGCCGTGCATCGCGTGCGCATATCTCATTACTAATAATTACACTCCTTACTAAAACTGACTCTTTTAGATCTATATGCACTATTTCTTTACAAAGAAATGTATATTCTTTTTCATAAAATACAGTTATGGAAGACGAATGAACTGTTTTATTCTGGAAAATGTATATTGACAATGTCGTTCTACTTTCATATACTTGCTGTAATTGATATATTTATTTATTAACACTTCGTTAAAAGTATACAGAAATACAATTAAAATAATTAAAGAAAAAGGAGGGGCGGGGCAACTGGCGGCCTTATCGCTTTCGAACGATCTCTTCCAGCCAACCACTATAGACATATAATCAATTAAAAGTTGCGCGTACTGATTTTTAAACTAAAAATGTCATAATCTTCTAATATTTGTGTCAGATTCGGCGTAAAATGTGTCAAACACAAGGAACTGTGTTACTTTCGTGTAAAGTCGTTTCCTTTTTTCAAGTTTTTTACATACTAAAAGTACATGCGCGTACTTTTCTCCGCTACACAAAATGTGACTTAGCTTCGCTAGGCTAGACGCTGATCATAACTTATAATAATCAAATACAATTAGAACTTAGAACAATAATAATGAAAATAATTGTTCTTTTTGGACGCTTTTGATCACGCGGGACAAATGCACAAGCAATGATTAAAAGTGGCTGTTTGTTTTGCAATAAAGCAAGGAAATGCTGCCACCATTTAGGGTAATGCTCAGAGTTTTATTTATTTATTTAATTTCATGTTCAGCATTAGTCTTGAGTTATTAATGAGTCTTAATTATAGTTTAATTATAAATAACATAAAAATTATAGTTTTACTTACTTCTTCCCACTTGGCCATTCTAAGTAAGGGTATTCTTGACTCATATGCCATCACAAATTTGGGCAATGTGACCGGCCCATTTCCAATGGAAATGCAAATGCAATATTAATAAATAATACATCAGATGTTCTTCATATTACGCTAATAAATAGTAACTTCTGGCTAAACATTAGTTGTACGTGAGAGTTTAAACTTTGCAACATAGAGATTGACATGTTCATAATTCGTTCACGCTTTCTCGAACGATCTGCATATTTCTTGCTACACAGCATGTGTTGGTACAAGAAATCGCCTAATAATTATTTTTAGTAACTATGTATATTTCTTCAATAACACATCAGACATTTAAAGTATTCAGATTAAGCTCCTGTTTATATATTCACGGGATATCATAAAATTAATAAAAATATCACGCCTTGAGATGCGAAGCTAGCTATCTACATTGGCGAGTTTTTGTCTCTTTCTCCAGTTAGGTACTTTTCCCCCATTTTAAGCAGTTTAAAAAAGGTTTGTCCCTGGGGCAGTTATTTGAAAGTATTTGTATTATTTAGAGAAATAAAAATGCATCAAGTACTCTAGCGTGTATACGTATAGTAACAAAGTCACTAGCATATAGTAGTAGACTTCAAATATTCAAATTTTACAAAAATATGTCGTACAGAAGTACGCGTGTTATTATGACAATTAATTATGATAAATTATATGACATTTCCATACCTATTTTTATATGGCTGATTGTTTTTTTTATATACCTATAATTAATCAATCTGAATGTACCACTTTCTTTGCAAATAAACGATTTATTATTATTAATCATTATTCTTGCGTTTTTATCCAGATTAAACGATATTTACTACCAATAAAATTAATAACAATCAAGGACAAGCCTCTTATATGTGAAATGTTTTAAAGCATATTTTTTTCTTTACAGATACAACCAAAACCTACCACAAATGGCACGACCAACGTAAAAGACAGGCTACCAGAGCGAGAGACACGTGAACGCGAGACCAGGGAGTCCCGGGAATCCCGCGAGTCCCGAGAGTCCAGAGAGTCACGAGAATTAAGGGAATCGCGAGAAATTAGATCTGCCCGAGAGAGTCGGGAAGAGGAATTAGATAGAAGAACGAGCCCACCGCGAGAGAGGGAAAGAGAGAGGGAAAGAGAGATACACGAAGAAAGAAGAGAACAGCAACACGATGGCAGACACCCATTGCTGCAGTTTGCAGTTGATCATTTTAGACAGAGCCCTGAGTAAGTACTAAATTATCTCAATATCCTTCACGATCGAGTCTTTAAAGATTTACTTTTTATTGGGCGTTCAGCGCGGTAAGTCCAAGTACCTACTGTACCCAAGTTAGTAAACGCTAGGTTTTAAATCGACTGAATAGCTGGAAATTATAGAGATGTACATTTTCTCTAAATTAAAAAAATATTTAAATTAATAAAATATTAAATACGTAATTAAATATGAAAATTATTTTAAAGCGAGAATTATCTACATACATCGTACCAAAGACAATTTTACGTTCCATTCCACGGACGATAAATGCAAAAATGTTTACATGATACATTCCCGGCACATATTGCTTGGTGGAGGAATGTTTGCGTATGTACTTTGAATAGCAAAGGTATATAAAAACCTCTCTGCAAAGCATTCCTCGATATTAACTAGTAATCATAACAATCAAAAATACAGTATTTACAATTTTCTTAACCTATATAGTAAGAATAAAATAATTAAAATGAAAATTAAAACAAATTTAAAAAGTTTGTTCCCCGTAGTGTACCTTTATCATAAGTATTTATTTACTTAATAAGTGTACTACTTAATCGTATACACATATAAATTGAATACTCAAGTGTTTACGTAAACTTTCCCATAACCGCCTCGTGCTATTCCATGGCATTCCTTCATTTCCTTAAAACTACATATTTTTTACATTAAAGTTCATTCGACTCGCAATTAATGCGAGATAATATCAAAAGCGTAATACATACTAACAATGGATTATAAAGGCTGTAATAACGCGTGAGTTTGTTCCACATTACTATTTAGAAATTCAGATTGCGGATTTATAATTACTAAAAAAGTACTTTTAAAATCTTATTTCGCTTAAGGCCATAGTTATCTACTAATTATATAGTATTTAAAAAATCCGTTATGCCAAAAGTTCAATGTTCTTTAGTTTTTAAGGCATATGACATGACAGACCCGGAGATCGCATTTTTGTACTCTGTGATATTTATAATCGATGACGTGTGTCAACTCGTATAGAATATGTAATAGGTATAAAAAGTAATTGATGTTCGTTGGTCTCGCTAAAACTCGAGAATGGTTAGATTTGGCTAATTATGATCTTGAAATACTTGTGGAAGTGAAGGGAACGTTTAAACGGGAAACATAAATAATAATCAACGTAAAATTCTAAAAACAACAATTGAATTCTTCAATAAAAACTGTTCCTAGCTGGGAAATATTTGATGTCTTTTGTCTTATTAGAAATAAATTTATCATTTGGTTGTCATAGCTGTAGAAATAATAATATACAACTATATTAATTGAAACAAATCACTTTTATAAATAACAATAATTAAACCAGGTTATTAAATCATTTAAATAACATAAGAAAAAACTATACCGACTAACGACACACTCATGTACAAAATTTTTCTTCTTGATATCCTCCACTGACCTTGATTGAAGTGATTAACTCCTTATTTTCAATTACTATCCGTGCTCGAAGGACCAATGTTAATGCAGGATAAAGTGAAAGTTAAAACTAATTTATATTCTAAGAAAAAAGGGATTATTAAACAAAGATGGATGTTTTCTTGAACAGTGGTGTAATCAGAGTCTTATACTTCTTATACATGTCTTATACAGGTTTAGTTTAAAAATTATAATAAGTTTTGACAAAAATATATGTATTTTATACGAAGTTCACCGACTTGTTAATAAAAAAATATTAATGAAACAGATACAGAAATATGAGACCCAGAAAAGGTTGTACTAAACGTTTATTGCTCTTAAATGGCTATAATGTCTATAATAAAAAAATTCTGTTAAAGAGCTTTTCAATGACATATTGTCATCAAAACTGTGTCGACTTTGTATTGTTCCCAAGGAAAATCGTGGGTGTCGACATTTACATTCAATGCGATCGTTTATTTCTAGGGCTGATGCTTTTATTACTTAAATAATAAATACATAATTTTACCGTATTCATAAAAAAATCGAATCATCGACCAATCCCTTTCCGAGCGGCTCGATCCCTAGGCGTTGTGTAGAGATGTGGGGTCTCTCTGCATAATATTCGACCTTTAGCTCGGAGAGTGTTCAGAGGAGTTGTTCGGATTAACCTGCAGCTGAGTTTCATTATCGTTTCATATTTGTCGTTCCACAACTAAGCGTTTTTGCCGCGCGCTACCAACTGAAGTAGTTCCGAGCCAATTCTTCTTAGGGTCCTTCAAGAAAGAGCGTTCCAATTCTTAAACGGCCGGCAACGCACTCGTGAGCCCTCTGGCGTTGAGGCCATGGCCGGAGGTATCACTTAACATCCATGAGCCTCCTGCCCGCTTGCCTGTTCTATAAAAAAGTTAAAAGTTCTACTTTAGTATTAAAGTTAAAATACAAATGGCTATATAAATTAATTATGTAGAAATTTCAATCAAGGGAACAATTGCCTTGGCCAGAACATTAAAAATTACTGGTGAATTTGAGTTCTAAAGTTGCCTTGCTTTATATGTGTACTGACTTCATTTTATACTGAAAAACATTTACTTATTACGTATTTGTTTTGTGCACAATTCAAATACAATAATATCTTTAATAGTAATGTCTGAAAGTGCTGATGTCAACGCTGAGAATAAACAAATTACGACCTAATTTCCACGGCACAATGGCGTATAGCTTGCATTGTGTTGTGCATCAAACATTTCTGCTTACTTTACATAATTTCAGCTGTTATAACATAAACATAATACAGAATGTTACGAAATTCTCCTTCGTTTAATTAGTGCTATAATTATTTAACAGCAATTCGGTTTTACAATAAAAATGCCTATTGTGGGTAAGAATTTCGGTTGACTGTTTAAGTACCTATTACAACCTCGACATTTTCTTTGACGGCTCTTTTTCAAACTATGATTTATTAAAAATAGCTATCTATCAAAAAATTAAAACATTAATTCACCACCAAACCATTCGTATTAGTGAATTAGTGTGCACGTTAGTCTTAAGTGCTAAACAGTGGTAAGTGGATAAAAAGTACTACACAAAAACAGAGTTTCCTTCCTTTAATAGAGACTAAGTAGTATTGGACACTTTCTTATTTATAATATCGTTTTTAGTAAATAACGTTAGTTTTAAATTACTTATTATTACATAGTTAGACTAGGTTGTAATGTTAAATTGTGTCTTTGTGAATTTATAAAAACACTCACGAGTAAGGTATCTTTATCATTTTAAATCTTTTATTTTCTTTATCTATTACAATATCATTAATCTTTCCGAATGTGAAATGAATAATGGACGCAATTTGTTTTGTGATAATTCTACGATAAACGTCAGATTTTCCATTTGAATACTCAATTATTATAATAAGGTTTTTATAATGTCAAATAAATTCTTATTTTGAATGTATAAGATACCATAAATAACAAGTGTATTTTTTATTCCTTTTTTGTAATAATTTGTGTATTTCGTTTTATTAGACAAATAATTTGTTCCAGTACTATTAATCGAAAACCCCTTTCTTTAGTTTTGAGTTATAGTTCAAAGCGTCCATGTCAATGATCTTAAATGTAGGCCAAAAATTTTAAGTCAAAAGATTCGAAAAGCTCTATTTTTTGCATAATCTGTCCGATTCGGTAATAGTTTAGGCCAAGGCCGTGAAACAATGATCCGTAAACTCTTGGGAAAAACTGCAGAGCCCCAGTTAGTCTTGTGATGAGCATCGTTCGCGCGTAACGCATTTGACAGTTGACATCGTGCACTGGCTGGTTACAATGCCGTGCGTTGCGACGGTGGCGCGGATGCTCCATCGCATGCAAGTATTCCGAATGATATGTCAAATGTGACAGTTTGTTTTTTATGTTTTTTGTAAATTTGGCGCCATTTTAAAAAGCAGTGTTCTGTGAAGTGAAATTTAGTTGATAGCAAAATATTTACTGAAACAAGGCGATATGGTCCACAGACTTCATCCTGTCTGAAAGGCAAATACAATACAAATTTACATCTATCATTTTTGTCTAATGTGTTGTAATACTAGCAATTTCCTCGTACATCAATACGTTTATTTTAATTTAAATAATTGCAATAGAAATGGTAAGGTAAGGTCTTAAAGTTTTTATATTAAATTCACTTGAATTCATAGTAAACAACAAAATTAGCACATTTATTATTCTTACTTGAACCATTACAAAATATGATATAAATTATTTGTTAATAAACTTGTTGATCAAATATTACGTGTGCGTAAATTACTGTTCGCCATACTGTGCATATTCATAAGGCAATTAAGTATCTTCCAATATGTGAGCTCGCATATTAGCTATAAGAACATTCAATATTGCCATGTGAAATTACTTCCTAGTAATTATACACTTCACATGCGCCTATGTAACATGTAGGGCTGACACACCGAATTTTATTATTTTTTATCAGATAATTGTTTGTACTAACAGACAAACTAAAATTGTAGGCACGTTCATGTAAAAACAATTTCCCTTAATATTCTTGCTAATGTTCGTTTTATGTCCACATCTATTTCAAGACATTGTTCATATAACAGATTAAGATAAAACCGATAATTGCTTTTGGAAGAGAGAAGCAACCTTTTATCCATTTATAAACACTTCGTTGCATGTATACACTCATACAGTACAATTAAATGCGATCTAGTAATCACTTCCAGGCAACGTCTGAGAGAAAAAAAAAATTAGATAACGTGAACGCAAGAAGTGCAAAACTATATAAGACAGTCACTTAGACAAAACTACTGGAACGTTTTCATACAATTTTCTTTATATTAAGACTGTCGCTGAATAAAAATTAAATTTGTTGCACGAGGTAAAAATAATTACTTTATCGAAAACAATTTGTTTTTCTATCACATAAATGCAATATACCTAGTAGAGACCACAGGTTTGTGGTAGGGAGTATTTACTAGCTTATTTTTATTATTATATCCCATGGAGTCAAAATCTCCAGGCGACAAGCTTAACTGAGCTGGAAAAAAATTGTAAATACATGAAGCGATAGGCATCCCTTAGTTAAATAAGAACGTGAATAATTACAAAATATCGTGTACAAACAAACACTAAACGGTCGAATGAAATTCAAAGTAATTGATTAGGTCCGTTCAAACACTTTCGCCCGAATGCGTGCGCGCACCTCAGTTACCGGTCATCGGTCGAACGCGCCGGTTTTTAACTTCGATTTTCCGATACACTATTTAGGAATATCATATATAATCATAAAAGCTGAATCCGGACTTCACTCGAATAGGTCAAATAACGTTTTTGAAAATCGCTGAAAGAAATTTTAAGAGCAATGAACTCGAGTTTAATCTCAAAACTGCAATTTAGTGTTAGAAGTTAGTATTTAACGGATAAACGTGATGTGTTAAATTATTTTAATCATAAGTGTTGTTTTATAATGTCGATAAAAGAGGATTTGGCCGAGATGTCGGGAGACAGTCTATCGTGTGCAGGAGATGGTGATGAGGAAGAACACAACATCTTGTGAGAATAATAATGTTGCATTAAATGTCATATATATAATATTTATTATATATACATATTTCATAATTAATTACTGATTTGCTCAATTATTGCATATATTTTATTAAATACCCTGTAAGGCACTGTTTCCAAACCTATTCGTGCCATGCCCCACCTTAGCCTTTCTAAGATTCTTATGTCCCAAATATATAATTTTTAATATAGAAAGAAAAGTTAAAGAAATTATTAGGAAATTGTTATCGAATTTTAAATCACAAATTATTTTAATGAACTTTCGAATAGCCCCCTTAACAATCAAATTGCCCCCCTGTGGGGCGTGGGCCCCACGTTGGGAAACACTGTTTAAGGCATTGACATATTGTGAATGCTTTGTATAGCCATATTTGCTGATCAGTTATTATCAAGCAGATACTTTATTATGTATATTTCAAATCAATAGATTTTTGTCCTTTTTTCCGGGAATCAAGCCTGCATCGGGTAAAAAAGAAAGTCGATCCTCGATTGTGAGTAATTTGTATGGATCTGGATTAGCGCTGCGCCTTCTTAAGTTCTCAAATCATTTTTAAACATATTTTTCCCTTTACCTGCATATATTTTACGTTAGTAGTTGATACTTTACAGTACCATATTCAACATTCCTTAATACCCGGATTACTTAAACATTCTCTGCACAGACTATACAGATTGATATAGTTCCTATTTATTAGCCTAGCTTTAAAAGGTCAATTATGATTGGAATGGAAAGTTGTAAAGCAACCTACGACTATATAGCACTGCAGGCGCCATGACATTAATTTAATTATGTCAGTTAACTCGTGGTTCTATATTAAGCCTTTCAAAATTCAATCCTATAATTCATAATTCATCGCAAAGGGGCCTAATTTTTACATTTTTAAAGCGACTTAACTTAGGGTAAGTTTACATTAGCTTGAACGGTGAAGGAAAACATCGTGAGGAAACCGACATGTCTTAGATCCAAACAGTCGACGGCGTGTGTCTGGATCAGGAGGCAGATCACCTACTTGCCTTTAAGTAGTCAAAGATCTTAGTGACTTTAGTGATAAACTTACAATAATGCATAACCATCCTTAAAACAATTTAAATGCATACCCGGGATACAATTTTTGATTTATAGGAGAATACGCCGATGTTATTGACAGTGGATCCATGGAACATAGTATTTGGTTGCAAGCATCCTGGTAGTATACACTTGTTTGTAGGTATAATAGCTATGCATAATACTAAATCTCAAATATTTTTTGTACTTTGATAATTATCTATAACTATAAATGTCATAATAGGAAATCGCGTTGTAGGAGTATTCTCGTAAAACCGTTGCTTGAGAAATCTCGACGTTGTATGGGGGACGGAAATCGCGTTATAAGGATACCGGTTTATAGGGCGGATTACTGTATGTACGAGCCAAGGCTGTACATTTTGCTTACTAAGGCTTTCTTAGTTTTATAAGCGTGGCGATTTCCCAAATCGTGGGAGTTACGCCCCTTACATAGCAATTAAAATTTAACTATTTCGCTTATATTCTAATATTGTACGCGAGTAGTTAATATAGAGTAAAACTAAAATCCTCTATGAATTAAACCCCGATTACCCAGGAACCGTACACTGTATTTGATAAAAAAGTTAAAATAGTGCGGCTTAACTAGACTTGTTTAAAGAGCGGAAACATTTCCGCGATCTCATAAGATTTTCAACGCACGTGTCTTGGTTAGAGCGTTTCTTTTTTCTCATTGAGCAGTGGAGTTATTGACACCAAGTTATATAAAACCAAGCCTATTAAATCAGTGATTTTACTTAACTAAGCGGCCGAGATTCATTCGCTGTTTTTATATTATATGTTCATTGAGGAAAGCGATATTAAAAACCAACAATTTCAGGATTTCTTGTTTTGTTTTTGCTTTTGTTTAAAATAATATAAATAGCTTATCAATTCCATGATTTAAGGTTAAGATGTTAAAAAACATAATTTTACTTATAAAATAAAAAATAAATCAAAGGCACTACAACCTTTTTAGGTCTGGGCTTCAAATTGGTATATGTTTCATGATCATTTGACAATCTAATAGGCAAGTAGGTGATCAGCCTCTTGTGCCTGACACACGCCGTCGATTTTTTGGGTCTATGGCAAGCGGGTTTCTTCACGATGTTTTCCTTCACCGTTCGAGCGAATGTTTAATGCGCACATACAATGAAACTCCATAGGTCCAGAGCCGGGGCTCGAACCTACGACCTCAGGGATGAGAGCCGCACGCTAAAGCCACTAGGCCAACACTGCTTATAATTATACTAAAGACTATCTAAATAAAGATTGTTGTCTACTTAGTAATACTTAATACTTAGCCATTACAACTTATGCAAGATTACGTCAGTACAGTACCTACTAATTAAGTTACATGACTTGAGATTTAATTGATTATTTTTCCGACCCAAATATCGACCAATAGAATTGCACCATTCGACGTCACGTGGTACAACCTACATGGTATTATACTGATAATTTTTTGAAAATTTTCTCTGGTAGTTGCTTCAAGAAAAGTATTAAGTAGTTGTTTTATTCATTATGAAATTCTTATTTGTTAACTGTACATTTCGTCTCATGGTGCAATTCTATTGGCCGACATTTGGGTCGGAAAAATAATCCCCCGAATACCACACGAGCTTCAAAATTATCTGGCATTTCCTATATTATAAGTGATAATTCGCACAATAATCACTTGCGTTACAGGTAAAGAAGTTTTATTGTTTAATATTATCACATTCTCCTTGTAACTGGACACTGTTTTACGGTGTCCAAAATTTTGTTAATTTTAAAGCACAGTTGGCCTAGTCTCGTCAGCATGTGACTCTCATCCCTGGGGTCGTATTTTCGATCCCCGACTGTGCACCAATGGAGTATCTGTCTATGTGCGCAATTAAGATTCGCTCGAAAGGTGAAGGAAAATATCGTGAGGAAACTGGCTTACCTTAGACCTAAAAGTCGACGGCGTGTGTAAGACACAAGAGGATGATCACCTACTTGCCTATTAGATTTACAAATGACTATGGAACAGTTACAGAAATCTGAGGCCCAGACCTAGAAACGTAGCGCCACTGATTTATTTTCTTTTTATTAATTTTGTCGACTTCTATCTATAAATGCAATTATGTATTATATCTATAAATACAATACACAAGCCACAAAAATGTCTGCATACAAAAGCAGATCAAAGCAAATGCTAGGAATCAAAACTGTTGTCAATGTAATCGAATTTGTAAAGACAAATCCGAAAAGGGGCTTGTAAAAATAATATTTCTAATTTCTAAACAACTTTATAACCTCGAATACGTATACTATGAAAAAAGCGCATAAAAACAATTGGTTACGGTAACTAAACAACATGTTCCTACCTTCCTTCTGTAGGGAATGCGGATCATTTCCACTTTCTTGCGTTTGCGCATTGTTCGTTATTTAACGACGTATACGCTGCAGAACCTATTGAATTTCAAGTTAAGTTTTCCCGCGGTTTTACATAAGTGATTTCTCGGGATGGGTGTTTTACTTGATAAAAACCTTTATATATAATAATAATATTACTCGTAAAAAATAAACGCGCTCAGAATTTATTGTTTTTCTTGTATTTCGTCATAATAATAATTTTACCGTGGAGAGTGTTCAGAGGAGTTGTTCGGATTGATACCTGCAGTTGAGTTTCATCATCAGAAGACAGAACACGAAATTCCACCCGTATCACCTCGACGTCTATCGGCCCGAAACTAAGCGTTTTAAAGGCAGTTCTTGCCGCGCACCACTATGTGGAACCAGCTGCCCACTGAAGTATTCCGAACCGATTCGACTTAGGGTCCTTCAAGAAAAGACCGTACTAAATCTTAAAATGCCAGCAACGCACTCGCGAGCCCTCTGACATTAAGAGTATCCATGGGCGGCGGTATCACTTAACATCAGATGAGCCTCCTGCCCGTTTGCCCCCAGTTCTATATATTTCAAAATCATATTTCTTTATCTAATTGTAATCTCACTCTTAACCGCAGATAGCTATGTGTTACACAAAACTGAGACTAGTTTTAAGTACAATACTGCTGACATTTAATGCTTACTTGTATTCAAGTCAAATAAAGTATTTTTGAAAACCAATATATTGGAACTATGCTGACGTAACAATACATACACGCTAAAGTATATTAATTTAAATAATATGTATTAATTTTAAGATTTATAGCTTGAAGACATTATTTAGTATTCAGATGGCGCTAATATAAAACCATAATGAATTAAATATTATATGAATAATTTATCTATGGTTACAACTTTCCACCTAAAATATTCATATTTTTAATTAAACCGTACGATGATGTAATTATTTATAACCAAAGAGACTTTGCTTCCGTTTTCTTAATAACTAAAATATTATGTTTACGTAAACGTATGTATGTGTTTCCCTAGCAAAAGCATTTTGATTCTTATTAGTTAACGACGTTTTAATTACTGTACGTTGAAGTTGTCACTTGAAATCAAACTTTTCCCATCCTCTGTACCTACTTCTCTTACCTGCCTCCCCATTCACAATCACCCTATGACAATACGAACAAATGTGTATGTAAGAACCAAGGAAAACGTTGCCGAGCGTTATGAGGGGTACATTAATCGTGTATATTCGATAGCGTTTATAGTAACAATAATTAATAATAAATCGTTTATTTGCAAATATTATAAATTATATAAATCCGCCTAATCAGAAATATTAAAATTGGCATGCAAATGACATATTCATATCATAATGTTATAATAATAAGTTAAGTTATATATATTTGTTGTCAAACTTATGGTCTAAATACAACCCCACGCTACAAAGCCACCTTGTCTTTACAAATTTAATTACCTTCCCTTGAAAATATATGAAAACATGCGATATAAGTATGGAGGCAGTCAGGGGTTTGCCCTACGAACTGCAGAATATCTTCAGTTTGTCATTTTGAAGCTTTAACAGTTTGATTTAATTTGTAGTTCGTTTTAAATTTGAAATAAGGCTTAGAAGATAATGATGAAGTACAAAGAGAAAGAAAAATCATTATTATTATTATTTACTTAACACACTGCCAGCTTTTAATAAGCTGATGCGCGTGTATTATGAGATTTGGAGAAACTTATCCCAATCTATGTTTAAAGGTGTTCAAAGATGGTGCACTGATCACACTACATTATACACAATAAAAGGATATTTGGATTAAAAGAAAGTGTACTAGCCCCCACACTAGGATTCCCTGTGTTGTGGGCAGTCATTCTCTTCCTTTTGACATGTTTTCGGTACTTGACAATAATTTCTACATAACACATCCAATCACATTTACACTTAAGCTATTGTTGCAAAATAAGAATATTTTCTGTTTCAGCATAGGACAGGTTGAAAAAATGTTGTTTAGGATTGTTAGTGAATGTATACAATTTGGAATCGTTAGTGAAAAATTTGTTTTTGAGAAAGTAGTTAAAAATTAAAGGAGAAAAGCGTTGGGCGAAGAAAGTCCGTTTTTAGGTAGCTTATATGTACCCGTAGGTTTGCCTTGTTTGTGATGTGGTGTAGTCGGTGTTTGTTTCCAAAAAAGTCTGCATATTGCTATTAGGTAATTGTATAGTTGTCTAACCGTTCTGTTTCAATGTACAATTTTGAAGTTGAGTAGCGAAAAGGTTTCCTAGGATAATTTAATTTTCAGGATAATTTAATCACTCCTCCTCAATTTTCAGCAATAAAGACGATGCCGGTCCACCGCATACCAATATGCAGTAGATAATATCGACTGGCATAATGCAGTATACTTTTTGATTGTATGTGGATTAGAAGGTTTTCTAAGGCATTATTGTACACTTATGTTTGCGAACTCGAGAACAGAGGTAGTTTATTTGATTTCCCCAACAAAGCATTGATTCAATAATTATCAATAGTATGAAAAAAGGAATGCTAAATGCAATCTTTTTACTAACATTTTAAAATATTATCAAAATCGATGACACAGGGTTATTCAGCAAATTGTTTATTGAAAAGCAACAGACAGATTACTTATCGAGTGTCGAGTGACGATGATATGCAGAAAGTGTTTCGAAAGTGTAATATTTGTTTTAAATACTTGTATAAATCCGAAGTTTTTCACTTTTTAGACAATTTGCCTTGTCGAATTGTATAAAAAATGTATTACGAAATTCTTCCGTATCCAATTACGTCATTGACACATTTTCTTTTTACTACAAAGTTCTTTAAACCTTTTCATTTCCTTAGGGATTCCAAGTTTAAACCTTCCCTCTATTCTAAAGTCCTATTTTTATTGCAGATTGGAAGTTCTTAAAGCGGACTCGTCTCTAAAGAGCAAAGCGAAACGCAACGAGTGGACTTGGAAAGCTCAAACTGATGTCGTCAAATGGCAAGCTACGCCCCTGCGTGCTCCATTACTTCGTCTTCCCGCAGCATTAGCTCCACCGGCCTTAGAATGCTTTACATGCGTAAGGGCATACTGTGGTGATTTGCAACCACCAGAAAGAGCTATGCATCAGGATTTGACTGAAGTTAAATGTGTCTACACTGTTCTTATGGTATGTTGGTTGCGTTACTTAATACATCTGTCACGTAACTTGAATGTTTTAACATTCAAACGTCCTTTTGTCTGACTAAGTTAATTAATAATTGAATATAAAATATGAATACGTAATAGTTATTCTATTAATACAATAATTATATAATCAAAATTTCAATTATTACTACATTTTTATTATTGAAAATATACATCTTTAAAAACGGAGCCTCAAATCAAAAGGCAGCCTAAATTGTTAAAACAAATATCGCATATATAAATGTCTCTCAAATCTTTATCGTTATTGCCATTTCAGCATTGCCACGCAGTCCCAGAACTCCGTGATGAAGTCTACTGTCAACTGATGAAGCAGACCACGTCAAACAGATCCGCCACACCAGACTCATGCCAGCGTGCTTGGAGACTCATGTCAATTCTTGCTGCGTACTTTACCTGCTCAGATACACTCAGGTACATTTAGTAACTTTTAAACACATTAAAATTGCGGGAATAGAAAATACTACTCCTAAATGTTTTTGGTTTGCATGTGTATATAGTACACATAAATAGGTATTAGATAGGTATTTGACAAAATACTAAATAATTTAAGAGATAAGATTAATTTTGTAAGTCCTAACATCGTATATTTTCTTACTTGTATCGTTTACATTCACGTTCTCAGATTTTTTTGTATTTAAAGAAATAAAGTGTCAACAAAAATTACTCTTTTAAAATGAATTCCTTTAAAATATGTGGACTTAATATGCGTACAATTATTTTTTATTATAAAATGTATTGGTGAATACATTTTATTATTAAACTTACCACAATGAAAATGCTATATTTTTTTCTTAGACTTATGTTCTAAAATCTTAAACAAATATAAACGCGAATTTATTACCTTATATACATAACGCGACGTTTCAAGTGTTTTTAGTATAATTAGAAATTAAATTAATGTATATTGGTTCCTGTGTCAGGAGGATGCTTTATATGTATATTAAAAAAATAAAATAAATAATTGGCGCTACAACCTCTATAGGTCTTGGCCTCAGATTTCTGAATCTGTTTCATGAAATTTTTTAAATCTAATAGGCAAGTAGGAGAGTGATCAGCCTCCAGTGCCTGACACACGCCGTCGACTTTTTGGTTTCGGTTGTCGGTTTCCTCACGATGTTTTCCTTCACCGTTCGAGCAAATATTAAATGAGCACATAGCACATAGACCGAACCTACGACCTCGGGTATGAGAGTCGCACGCTGAAGCCACTAGGCCAATACTGCTTTATTTATTAAATGAAATCCAATTCTCATTCTATAATAACCACACGCGAACCACAGATTACTTGTTTATTAAATTCTATGAGCGCTATTACATGAAGTGCCAACTAAAATGCTGATGAGAGTGCTACAACTGGCCACACTTTCGGGGAGTAACTACGTCGATAGGTAGTTGCCTCGCTTATAAATCTAAGAACAAAAAGAACAAACATAAATAGTCCACAAAGGATATATCTACTTACAATTTTGTCTTTCTACCTATCCGTCTATGTATCTATAAACATTGCCTCTTTCATCAACTAGGAGACTACACCAACAAAAAAATAGCTTCAAGAAAGATTTTTGAATTGCCATGTAAAAGGGTAAAATAGAAATAATGCGGTTGGTGTTAAACTCGGTTTGTTTAATAACTAACGGTAATTATTACGTTTTTTTTTATTTAGGCCATTCTTAGTGGAATACTTGTCAGCGGCGGCAGCTGATCGGCGAAGACCCTGCCAAGGAACTGCAGCAGTTTGTCTCGCTAACTTCAGGAAAACCGTCCGATGTGGCGGACGCAAGAATGTGCCTAGTATTGAAGAGGTATTTTAAAAATAAATAACGTGTTACACAAGCTTAAAAGTTGTAATATAAAAGGATATCATAAAATATACAATACTTTTTCTTAACCTGAAACTGCCTGAATAATATATTTTTACTAGCTGACCTGGCAAACGTCATTTTGCCATGTATATCATTTATAATAAAAAATAGGGGTTGATCGTAGAGGGGTGAAAATTAGGGGTTGTATGTATTTTTTAATGCTGTATCATAAAAAAATAAATAATAAATAATTTATCTAAAAATTTAAAAAAATTATTTAGGGGTGGACTACCCTTAACAATAGAGGGGATGAAAAATAGATGTTGTCCGATTCTCAGTTATACCCAATATGCACACAAAATTTCATGAGAATCGGTCAAGCCGTTTCGGTGGAGTTTAACTACAAACACCGCGACACGAGAATTTTATATATTAGATTAAATTTCTATGCTTCTCTATTCACCGGTTTTGCATTACATTAATTAATTTTTTTAAACAATCGCAAAACACATGTCTGCCTTTTATTCATAGATCAGCTTTTATTGATATTTTATTACATTTTTTTAACAAATTTCCATAGTTAATTTTTTACAACCCATATTCATAGGTTACAGCAGTATCAGCCGGTCGCTCAGCCCGTCGCCAGCTGTACCGACTGCCAGGCGGCGCAGAACGAGTTGTCAACACACGTTGCGCGACTACCGTACAGGATATTGTTGATGAGCTAACGGAACTGGTGAGCATTATTAATTAGCCCGGCACAAAGAATAACTACCGATTTACAAAATTCATCATCACGATCAGCCTCTTTATTTGGTCCATTTTCCTCCAGTGAGCCCTGCACTGGGAGCCAACCTCCTTGACAACCACCAAGTCAGACCACCTAGGTGGGCGACGGCACAGTTAGATTTGCGAAATGCGATTGTTTGAAGATTACTTAAAAATAACAATCAAAATTAGTTTATCTTTAATAAACTTTATTATTTATACTAATCAGTACACCTATACAGACATCCTGAATTCAAATAAGAATTCTCGTGGGAAAACAGATTTCTTGCATCGGCTACCTTTTTATTTATTTTACAGAACAATATATAAACCGTATATATTTTTTAGAAAACCACTGTGTTCGTATAAATGTAACCAAGTCTTATTTAGGAGCACGACAAATTCATATAAAAATTGTTTTTCAACTTTCATTTATGTTGGTTAACGTTAGGCTATCTAATAACTGACAGAGTAGACAATTTATAAGCCGCCGTAGCATATACCTTAACGTTCTCTCGTCTTATACGTTACGTACTTAAATTAAATACGACATTCGTATTCGTAAAATTGATGAAATCAACGGTTAGTTTGTACTAATATCTCTGATAACGAAATATTTTTCAGATCGGCGTCCGTAGCGAAGCAGAACGCGCCGAATTCTCTCTATATTGCATTGTCTCCGGTGACGCACTGACCATGCCTTTGGCCAGTGACGAGTACGTCCTAGACGTGACCACTGAGCTCCAGCGAGCTCATCACCCCTTTTACCTGATCTTCTGCCGGTCAGTGTGGCACCACCCTCTGAGGACCGACGCCCCACCGCTGTATACTGAAGTGCTTTTTAACCAGGTATTTATTACGCAGTATACCAATAATCTAAATTTGAATTTTTGTTGTAACGAATAAACTCAACAATAACTGGATCGATTTAAATTTATTTTGCCACTACAATATTACATTATCTATATTCATTTCCAAAAATTTTTTTTTTCCGTTAGTTATTAAATACCAATGCCAACCGTACTTCTCCTATTTACCCCTTAACAGGCCAATTAAATCTTTCCTTAGTTTCAATAATATTTAACTGCTACATTTTTTAAGTGTTACGGTTTCTCCGATTCGATGAAAGAAGTTTTTATTTATACATTAACGGATAGTTAGAAAAAGATAAATTTTAATAGATACATATTATTATCCTTTGTGAACTATGTTTCGTACAATAATTAGGCTTGTTATAAAAACATCATTATAACCGTATGAACAATTTCTAGGTGGCGCCGGACTACCTGGAAGGTCTTCTGCTAGTTCTTCCAGGAGGTGGTCCACCAGCAGCCAACGTTATCCGTGACGCAGCCTCAGTGGCTGCCCTACTCCATAGAGCTGCAGGCCTGGCTGAACCCCCACATCCGAGAGACCTGAAGTTCCTCCTCCCGAAACCTTTACTGGCATTACGAGACCCCAGACCAAACAAATGGGCCTCCTGGGTAACTGCCGAGTGGCCCCAAGCTAGAGCTCTGTCTCCGCAGGCTGCTAAATCCAAAGTACTCCAGGTATGTTACCTCATTAAATATCATTAAAATGTGTTTTATTTCTGTTTTTGCCATACAAATAATATCACATTTGCTGCGTCCAATTACCAATCAATTTAATGCAATAGATTTTTTTGGAAACAAACACCGACTACACCATATCACACAAATCTCAAACCTATAAGCAACCCAAAAAGCGCACTTTCCTCGCCCAACGCTTTTTATTCATCAGAGGCCCTTTCATAAGTACATAGTTTTAGTAGAAATGATTACGTCAAGAGCTGTTAATATGGAAGAGACTGGCTATTGTGCACTCTTTTAACAAAACATTCTTAATTCTTGTGTTTAAACTTTTTTCTTTTATTTTCTTTATATCTAGAAAGTTGGGGTAGTCAATTTAGTTTTCGTATTTTATTTCTTAATATATGTAATAATTTAAAATAGGATTAAAATACCAAAAATCAATAGATGTGCTTCGCCTTATACGCGTTGCAGACCAAGAGCTAAGCTACGTTAGTTTAGCTTAGCTCGAATAGCTGACGCAATTTTCCATACGTCTGTGCAGACCGCAAACTATGCGAACTAAGCTATGAGAGCTAACTAAAATATGCGAAGCTAAGTTAGTTGTGTATGCCGATGCGCAGCTACACGAGCTAAGCTAAGCCCCTCCCGCTACCCCGCACACCCTTTGCACATAGTATGCAACACTGACTGAGCTTTGGGTTAGCTGTTGGTGTGCACGCTATTTATTTCTAGCTTAGCTTAGCCTAGCTTGCTTGGCATAGCTTAGTTTAGCCTTGGCATAGCTTAGTTTTCGGTCTGCAACCGGCTTAACATTTTATTACATACTTATTATTTATACTGGATTAACAAACTAACTTGACTTATTGAAGAGTTTGTAAATCTAAGTGACACTTATATATTGGACGTTATCGGTAACGAGAATGTTAAATTACAATTTACGAGTGCGGTCAAATCTAAAGGACTCATTTTGGCTTCAAGTGTGCTATGATTGCTAACATTTTGTTTACGCTTCTAATTATTAGCTAAAATATTATATGGTATGTAACTTAACTAATTGTTAGGTAACATAACTCTAGACAAAATCTTTTTTTTTTACATAACTTTACCTAGAACTTTTTTTACTTGTACCGTACTCTATGGAGATTCGTAGATAACAGATTCCGTTCCATTACAGGTACTATCCCGTTGGGCCCTATTCGGGTCGTCGTTCTTCGCCGTCCGTCGCGTAGGTGGAGGGGGCACGGGTGGCGAATGGCGCGAGTTCGTCCTAGCTCTGAACAGACGCGGCGTACATCTGCTGCACCCACACACCCACGATACGGACACACACTGGCCGCACGCGGAACTCATTTCTACTAGAAAGGTAATTATTTTATTTCCTTCGTAAATTTCCTCTTGTAGAATCAGATAATATGAAATTTAATAACTTGATTGAGTTAATAACTCAATCAAGTTATTAAATTTCATATTATCTGTCCTTAACTTTGCTAATTTAATTAATCTTTACTAAAATTTGAAGGCAATACAAATACATGTATTTTCTCGCCTTACAGGTGCGTTCCGAAGATGGCACCCTATTCTTGGACGTGAAGTGTGGATCACTACTGCAACAGAGAGTCACACGCCTTCAAGCAGAACAGGCACACGAGATCGCTCGTCTCATACGACAGTACATCGCACTACAGAGGGAGAGACATGATACTGGTAAGAGAGAGGAAATTTTACCTATTTGCATAGAAGCAAACCTTATTGAACTTAGTATTCGATTTTTAAAAAAAAAAATTGAACTTAGTATTTTTTTTTGTTGTCCTCGCTATTATGTTAGTGCGTATTTCGATATAAATTCTATAATTTGAGTCATTTAATTTTTTACATTAATCAGTCCCTAGATATCGTAGACAAAATACTCAGCGACAGGCGTGATTCACTTATTCAATTTATATGAAAATAATCACGTGACTAAAGGGTAGTTTTCGCAATACATAGTATGTTTTCTAAAGCTTAGGTGTCGCACTAAACTTAGAATCGGCGAAATTAATTAATGGTATATTTTCTTTACAGATATGAACAGCCAGTAGAGTTTGTGAACATAGCTAGTGTGCATACCTCAATCCGTCCAAATCTGTGGGTTGGGTTTAGACCTAAGAATTCCTCGCGCCATATTGTGATAATTTTAAGTGTTCTATCAAAAACACGTAAAATAAAATCTTTTTTTATAAATGACATTAAATTATTTTATCGGTTTTTTTTCCTTTTAAATTCTTGAGACTTTAGTGGTTTATTATGCTTCTTTAATTTTACCATGTTTTATAAGAATTTATCTTTGGTACCACCAACTATTTTACAGAAGATGACCCTTTGATTTTATAAAAACTATTGTGAATACTAGCTGCTACTCCCTTCCTCGCTATACAAATACTGCATAATTATTTTCAATATAAAATTTTCTGTCGTCTATATAATGTATAGGAAAGTGCACGGTCGGTATTAGGTATATATTCTGACCTAAGTTTGATTTGCAGAAGTTACTCTAAGAACGAGACTTAGCGCTAAGTCTAACTCTTGTTTGTCAAAAACGTATTGAATTTTGACACACGGGAGTCAATAATTCGCGCTAAGTTTCTAAATCTTACCCAAAGTCATATTGCTACTACTAATAGACGCGTCAACTTTCCCGAAGGTTTTAAATAGGTAAAGATAAAATTATCAAACGCAAAACATTGTTAAGCCAAAAATTAAATTATCTCAATATGGTTCGAGGTCCAGAGGAGTAAAATGAGAATAGGATTCTAGAATTCATTAAAATAGTTTACTTCTATTTTCATTTTAGTCAAGTTACGTTGTATTATATTTTATATAATTTATAGAGTATAACCAAAAAATATATATTGTCACAATTTATAACTTGTCTATGGAATTCGTATTATTCGTGTATAATATTGTTTTTTCCATAGATAATATATCGATAGTTTAAGGTGCTAATACGAAGATAGATCGAAGTACGATAACCCAGAGTTGTTTATATTTATTCGAAAGACAAAAAGTGCTAATTAACAATGAGCACCTAAATTTTGTGTAGCAAAAGGCCGAATAGGTCGGAGTCATGTTTATTTTTATATGAAATTTTATATTGTAATTATAATTGAATGTTTGTACATGTCAATAAAGGTATACAGTTTTATTAGTTTTTATTACTTTCCTATGGTACTGGAATAAGTCCAGAGTTGGACTTATTGTTAAATGTCATTAAAATTTCCCGCCTTCATTAATAGATTATTGTCAATGTTAACTTTATATGGGCTCTCTCGCTTTCGCACACTTGGTTCCCACTCGTTGCTTCCAAGTATTAAATAACAGCTCAATTAATTACATTAATTAGCTTTATTTCAACAGTTATGTTTATTTCAAAACCCATTTTAAATCGTACACTAACGCATATTTCTGTTTTTGTTTTTATTACTGTTCACATTTTTCATATTAATCGTATGCAGTAAACTAGTATAAGAACAAGTAATTTAAACCGCTTCATCGAGGCTCAACCAATCAGGGTGATAGATGTGATACCTCTGAGCTTACAAATCAGTGCGATGATGTCATACTGCTACTGGGAGCATCGGACCCAGTCAGTGGTTCTAACCACTACATTATAATGTAAGAGGATCCTCCGTTTAGGTTGGAGGTACTGGTCATCCTTCCTACACAGATGAGTAGGAAACTCAGGTGCGTTCCGTCATATTCCATTCCGAAAATTTTATGGTTGGTTTTCAATCAGTCGAAAAATGCTTTAAATTTATCACAATTCAAACAATATCCTTGGTTTCGCTTAGTTGCCTGTAATATTACGGTGATGTGTCGTCAATAAGTATAAATAAATTGCCAATTTTAGATAAGGACCAACAGAAATTGATGACAGAGATGGTTTGTTCCATTAGCTAGATTTGCTTAGGTAAGGTTTATCAATTCGTTATCCAATACACGAAGATTATATGAAATTGATTGTTGATTTTCAACCCCAGTGCTACGTGAAGGGTTCGAAGAATCTAGAAAATAATTAAATTAATAGTTATTATATATCTTACAGTTGTTTGCACCATTATTAAGATCTTCGAAATAAACTTAAAGTTAGGTTAAAGTAGTAACTTAGGAAAATCTAATACGGTTGAAGGCTCTCAGTTTCCGAGATTTTAGTCGATTGCAATGGTACTAGGCTATTATTGAAACATACAATCTTTATTCTATAGTAAAATCCCACTACACCAAAACCAGTATAACGCGTTAACAGACATTTTTTTCTTCAAATTTTCATATTTATCGTTCCGTAACCCACCGAGCCAGATACAGGCGTATTTCTACGTCTGTTTCATTAATAATTTAACGCACGTAAGCGATCAACCACTACACCATAACGCCATCTTTCCTCTCTGTATTTTGTTTTGTTTGCATAAATCATTTGCAGCACTCGGCAGAAAAGCGGTCTTGGGCGCTAAAGATTTAATTAAAGTAATTAGTGACAGTATTTTGTGTGTCGTGATTAGTGTATTTCTGCGTGTAATTTGGGGTTTTTAGTGTAACTAACTTCCTCGTTGATTTATTAAAAAAAACCCTTGAACAGATCTACGGCGTTTTCTATCTAATTAGTATTTTGCATTGTCGTTCTATGTTAAAGATTCAGTCACATTGAGGTCGATGTTCAATAGTAACTCATTTTCCGTTACCACTAAAAGGAAGTATCTGAAGGTAGCGATGAGCGAGCCTCGGTTCCCACGAAGCGAGTAAAAACTGTCCTTTGTTTGAATTCGCAAGGCTGTTTGAATGGGGGACTTAATAAAGTTGAAAAAATACTTTTGCACTCTTGTCCACTGACAAAACCTACTCCGACCGTGTCCACAAACAGACCTGGTGGGAGTTCTGGGACATTTTATTATTATTTAGCATTAAAATGTGACGAAAAGAGGAAAGAATTTGCAAATATTTTATTTTATATATAACCTGATGTTAAGTGATGGACACTAAATGCCAGAGAGTTCGGGAGTGCATTGCCGGCCTTTTAAGAATTGGTACGCTCTTTTCTTGAAGGATCCTAAGTTTAATTGGTTCGGAAAAACTTCTCTGGGCAGCTGGTTCCACAAAGTGGTGGTACGAAGCAAAAACTGTCTCTAAGACGCTCGGTTGTGGAACGAGGTGATACAGGTGGAATTTTCTGCAATTTTGCATTGATGTCCGAAATATGTCTCGCCTACAGATTCGCAAATTCTAAACCTTATATAACCCAACACGTATAGGAATTCCCTTCGATTTTAACGAATCTGCTACCAGCTTGGTTAACGCGCAATCTTTATAACGGGTTCGACTCCCATCGTAACTAACTTGGCTTAGCAGGCCTTTAAATAAAAACATTAAAGAAAAGTAGAAGTGTATCCATAACTCACTAGCTAGTAATGGGACCTTCAAACTTCAACAAATGATCGAAGCACTTTAATTTAAATTGATACTGAAACGGCTAAACTATGGTATATAATATAGTATTTATATACCATATTATTATACTTATGTTTAAATCATTTCGTACCAAGTATTTTATTAAATTCGTAATTACCAACTTGTCCAAGAACAAGGCCCAAGCGTGAGAAACACATATCAAATGTCTCACATTATTATTATATTTGTGTTTTATTGTGCACAAAAACTAATTCTTAGAACTCAACCCGCGATAAATGATTAAGGGAGTTTTGTCCTAAAGAATATTTCAAATCATGATTGCTAAAATGTCTTCTTAATTTTGGAGACAGGTAAGATGTTTTCTATCTGGAAAATTAATCAACGAAAAGAACAAAATGTTTACGTCTAAGTACTCCCTTAATACGGTGAAGGTTTTCCTTCATCGTAAAGAAACCAACATAACTAAAACCCAAAACGTGTGTAGAATCAGCTAGGGAAGTAGGACGCTGGGGTCGGACTTACAAGCTAGCCGCAAGAATTTGGGGATGATTAATATTGGATTATGTTGGGGTTGGTTTACCCTTTTAAATGACACCCCCCTTACCCCGCGGAGACGCTTAGTTTTTTTTAAAAATGCATTTTAAAGTGCGTATAAAGGAACGTGATTTTTTGTATAACATATTTATTGTAGCGAAATATTGTTGTAAAATCAATTCGTATTTTATCAAAATACAATATTTTTAATGTTATATAATGTTATGTTGTTTATAGTATTTATTTATAATTACGAATTTTTAGTAATATTTATTTGAAACGGAACGAAACGTCACATTTCACGAAACGTCATATAGCGAGCGTCTTGTTATGCGTTTGATGCGCCATTCCGTTGCTATCCTGCGTACGCGAGTTTTGTAATCCCGAGTTTTGATATTTTTTAACGACTTTTACTTGTTTCTGGAACCTTAACCTCTGGTTTTATTTATGTATCTTCATAATATCACCAAATTTCATTCTTATTTCTAGAATACACTAGTTAGTGAGATTGTCCATGATCATAACTTGTAGTCGATCATAACCAAAACCGAATCAGAGCACCCCACTATCCACGTGTTCTTTTCTGCCCTACCCCTAGAGTGTATATAAAAAATCGGAGGCGCGGAGGAAGAGCAGCCCCTACTAAATTGCCTGTGCTTTGGTACGCAAGGGTGGAGGGGCTGCATTTCCCGTAGCGCCGGAGCTGTCCAAAAAACCAATTATTATTTAGATCGGTTAGGTTAGGTTAGTATATGAATATTTGGTCGCCGTAGGCGACCAAGACGCCGAGTTGCCGAGGCTTGAATAAACAATTATTATTTAGGTCGGAGCTGTCCAAAAAAACAAATATTATTTAGATCGGTTAGGTTAGGTTAGTATATGAATATTAGGTCGCCGAAGGCGACCAAGACGCCGAGTTGCCGAGGCTTGAATAAACAATTATTATTTAGGTCGGAGCTGTCCAAAAAAACAAATATTATTTAGATCGGTTAGGTTAGGTTAGTATATGAATATTTGGTCGCCGAAGGCGACCAAGACGCCGAGTTGCCGAGGCTTGAATAAACAATTATTATTTAGGTCGGAGCTGTCCAAAAAAAAAAATTTTTATTTAGATCGGTTAGGTTAGGTTAGTATATGAATATTTGGTCGCCGAAGGCGACCAAAACGCCGAGGTTGCGCAGGCTTGAATAAAATGCCTGTTGTTAATTGTGTATTAATATTTTTTTTACGCTGGGGCGGAGGGAGTTGACTCCTGCAGCGCCGGAGATGTCACAGAGCTAGACCCCCTCCCACAGACCATTGTAAATAACTAAATAGCGCTATTCTAACCTCAAAACTTTAACCATGAATATCTCCATAACCATGGGGTTCCGCATGTTGGGGATGGTACAGGGGGGTAGCAGTAGACCCCCCCCTCTCCCCCCACCCCCAAAACCCCATAAATCCGGCGGCTAGCTTGTAAATTTTTCCCATATGTTTTTACACTTATACTTATCGCTAATTCTCTTTAAATAACACCATACATTTTAGTATACATATATAAGATATTCCATAGCGATAGACCAAGTTTTTTGGTTACAAAGGTTTTAGTGTGAAACATAATGATCTTGACCTAACAAAGCCTGCATTAAACTTCATTGATAGATTTGAGGGACCCATTGGTTAGCGCACACGTTAGCAAAGCACTAAATATTACGCAATTTTCTTTGAAGATGCACGTGGGTTGATGTTCTCAGAAACTCAAGGCTTACAAACGCTGTGTTAACTATTATTGCGTTTTTTATTTTCTTTAAATAATGGATTTTTTATTTCCGTTCAAAAATTGGTGAACTGGCAATAACATGTTGTATCATGCCGCGTGTCAACGCATTAGACTGCAGCTGATGTAGACCAATCATAAGCGAACGGAGCGCACAATCGTCTTTCGTTTCGAATCCTCGCCCATGCAATTGTTCTAATACAAATTCCATAACATATAATTGTGATATTATCAATTTTAACATATTTTCACGCTCAAAAGCCGTAAATATAGGGCCCATAATCTTGAACGTTCCTCAAACTAATTTCAAGAGCTGTCAAACCATTTTTCTATTCGTAGTTTGACATTTGACAGTGCTCAATGGAGTTTGTGGCTAGAGTTTACTATTCGAATGGAATAAACGTTCGTTTTATTTTGAAAAAAGTAATTATTTATTCTGTTTATCTCGTCATTAATTAAATTATCTAAAAAGTTGAAATAAATGTATTTTAAAAATTGAAAAAATATTATTATAATAATAATATTTATAAAATGCTTATATACAGTCACATTTCAAAATATAAGTAAATATTTTAAGCATTGTGTTTACTATTAATGTGGCAAATTCTCACGCTATGTAACCTCCGTTCACATGTTAGGTATTATGACCATGCAGTGTCCTCAAGTTGTCATTATCTTATTATCTTCAAATTAACTCCGACCGTTTAATCTATCGAGCATTGAACTACGGGATTTCCCATAAACAAAACAAAATGTGAAAAAGTCGTTTATTTAAAGTAATCCTAATTATCAATTGTATCTTAATTTACGTAAATATAATACATCGTGTGAACTTCACATTGATAACAATATAACATCCTTTTTTACGAGAAATACTGAGCACTCAATGAACACAATAATAACTAAGGCGTACTTTTGGTAACATTTGAAATTATAAATAGCATTTAACAAACAAAAATGATCACAAATAAGTCTATGAAGAATAAACGAAATGTTTTTAAGTCCCCTTGTCGTGGTTCTGTGTAGTTACAACTTACGTGGCGTATGTTTAGAAGGTCCCGAGTTACTTTCTCAACGCAACAATCTTTCAGGTTACAGCACATTTACTGCGCAGGCAAGGACATTTGTTCAAGATGTTTGCCGGTATCTGTAACGTGCGTTGGGATTTCGCCTCAAACAAGAACATACCAGTAATAATATTAATTCTAGTACATATCATCAATTTGTAATTCATGAATAACAATATATATACGTATATTTTATTACAACGAGACATCACGTTCACGCAACTACACGGTTGCAACTAATAACTCTACAAATAAAATTGTACATTACAGACCGATAAAATAATTTAAAACGTATAGTTTTATATAACGTATATTAGTTATATATCATATGTACATAGTTTATGTTATACTTAAATCGATATAAAATTGTTTTATACTTTTCAACCATTTTAAAAATGAAATAGATACTAGGTTATGTGTTCTTTCCTTTTAGCCAAATTTGAAACGCATTTTTCATTTCGATGTGAACAATTTAGTTTCATAATAATAAAAAATCATACAATTATTCTTAAAATTACCTCGTAACTTTATGTGAGTCGGAATATACGTGACATTGGACGGACAATTATCACACGAGAGAATTAATCAAGTCAATGACTAATAGTAAAGTCATTATAATTACTTTGTTCTCGACCTTACTTTAGATGTCAACCAAATTGGTTGTGTACAAATGATTCTTTGGCTTAGCAAAACAAAAGAATTTTACATGACATACGCTAAAATTTAATGAACAAACTGTTCGCTACAGTAATGTCTAATAGCTACACACATTAACAACTTAAAGCCAGTATTGTACCAAACTAAAAGCGTCTAATAGAATCAGTAAAGGCTTTGAACATAGTTCAAATGTCAATGAAATATCTTTAAACTATACAATGCGCTAACATTTCTCACACTCTTTAGATATTTGAAAATTAACATGCATCATTGAGCTACCCTATTAATAAAAACGTAAGTGTTATCTCCTTCCGTCAAATTTCATTTACACTGTGATGAAAAGGGACAAATGAATTGTTAAAAAGCACAATTAGAATGTTTTTATTAATAAGAAGTCTCCAATCTTTTTTAAGTCCTTCCTAATTGATCTTGTTCATTGCGTTGGACTATGTCTTGGTGTTCTTAGTTCCCTCTTTTCGGGCCATCTATTTGCCGTGTACTGGACATACCCTGGGTCTGTAGGAGTTCCGGAAGCTCTTCCCTCGTCGTTCACTTCTTTTTCCTCTATTCGCTCTAAGGGATAGATGGCTGGCGTATCTGCACGTCGTGACCTGAGAGTTTATTATCAAATAAGAATTCTACCAAAAGTACCATTGAACAGAAGGTTTATCAAATAAGCACAATTTGTTTGTATGCTAATCAAGCTCTAAAACTCTTAACTTACCTCCCAGAACCTTTCAAGTAGTCTTCAAGCTGTTGCAAAGTGGGAGTTGCAACTGTTTTAGCTCTAGTAGGTGATTTTGACTGTCTCTTCTTCTCATATACCGGTGACATTTCATCGTACAAATCCTTTAATCGCCCTGTCTTTACCTTCGCAAGAACAGGTGTCTGCAGCTCAGGTAAGTACTGCTCTTTAACCACTTTTCCTTTTCCTTCTAAGCTCTCTGCGTATTCTAAATAATCTCTAAAGTACTTCTCATTAAATTTTGCTAACTCCTGCTCGTAATGTAACCGGTCTGGAATAACTAAGGGATCAGATAATCGAACATAGTTTCCACCTTCAATATTTCTTAACGACCCGAATTTAGATTTTTCCAAATTATCAATATCTAAATCATCAAGTTGTGATAAAGCACTTTTGGGAGATTCAAATACAGGAGTATCTGCCTTTTTAGTTTCTTTACCTAAATCTAGGTCTTTTGGTCTCTCTGGAAGTTTTCCATTCTGTTTGTCGTTTGGTAGATGACCATTCGTCGAGGGCTGAGACAGAATTGAGACTTTCTTCTCGCTTTTTGGTGACTTCACAGGTTCTGTTTTATCTGTCTGCGAGGGCCTTGTGGAGGTGTAGACCCTTGGGCCCATCAAATCGAGGAGAAAAAGGGCTGCTACCGCCAGTGACAGAGCTCCAAGAACTGCGGCATTTACGGTTAGAGTGTCTGGGATTGCGTCTAGGGAAGCTAGCTCTAGACCACCTAAAATAAAAGTCTATGTTATGAACTTAAATTACGTACAATTTTAAAAAACAAACAACAGTTAACATGTACCTACTATGTTCTATGTTGCAAACAACGAATATAATACATGTTGTATTTATGCTTTTTAGATATATTAAAGAATCCTTACCCAAAACTAAGAAAAACAGCAGCCCAAAACCAAGGAGAATTCCCTCCAATATACGGCGTCCTCTAGGTATCTCTTGAAAGGCTCGAGCGAAGATGAGTCCAAATGTGATAATCACGTAACCTGTATTTATGTAGGTGTTTCAATTTAATTAACGCACTAAAACGTATTTAATCATTAGAATTCAATAGATAAAAACTAATTAAATGCGAGAGAAAACTAATTAGATGCAATAAGATCTTGAATCTTCTTTGGGGCAAAGAACATTTTAATCCACTTATGAAATTTTAGACTCAATTACGATATAGGTAAAACATCTGATCTTATGTTATACTCACCCCCATATGTAGCGTCAGCAAATGCACTCCCTGAAGAGTCCCAAGTGATAGAATTTAGCAAAGACCATTCACGAGATAGCTTTTGTAATAATAAGGCAAGTCGTGCTTCGTCGTCAGTCGATACGCGCTTTGCAACCAAGCATGCAACGCAGAATAACTGTAACAATATACTTAGTTGATAAATTATCTTAACGTATAGATTCAACCTATATTCTCTTAAAATCTCTCTTCTGTTTTTGTTAAAAAATATTTTTTAACAAAAATAGAAAGTACAGCCGCCAGAATCTTTAATTTGTTGCTAATTAAAGATATTCAAATCCGAGGTCTGACTCGTAAAACGCACTAAAAGTTTCATTGTATCTAATAAATTGTTTGTTTAAAGTCTAGTAACCTCCCAATATAACATAAAGTCGACTTATTTCTGCAATTGATATCTCCTGTTTTAGCCTTCTTAATTGCCTACCAACCTGATACAATTATTGTTTCACCAGAACCGAAGCTTGCACCCGGATTATACACCACGTGCGTTTAAACCACAAATGCGGTTATATTAGACCGAATTTATCGGTATCGGTATTAAGTTAATAGGTATTGATTGTATTAAGAAAAAAATTATATGAAAAAAATTGCCAAACCTTCGAGTATGTATTTTTTTACAAAAGAAACGCAATTCTTAAGATTTAATCAGCAGTAAACAAAAGCCGTTTTAAACAGTGTGTCATACGATTATGAAGGAATATTAGTAGATAAACAGCAAATTATAATCCGAAAGGAAATGTCACTAACATTTTGTTGAAGACAATAGACACGAATACAATGGCTGACGAATTCGTTACTTGATTATAAACAAGAATACTTGACCGTTTGAGCTTTGAGACTTGGCAGTAGGCTTACCCTGTAACTTCCATAGAGACCACGAAATACCAAATTTGTGACACTACGAATATTGAAAGAACTACAGGATACTGAAGTTTCAACCTTAGATGGTGTGATACTTATTTGAGCTGATTTAACAATTTAGAGATTGGAAATCGGAATTAATTTTACAGAGTATCTGTGCTGGAATACCACTGTATTATTTCATAATTATTATCTGTTAGGTAGGTACGCGTCTTGGTACATCAGAGGTCTCTACGAGGTATCAACAATGCGTATGTATAAATATTATGTGTAATTGTGTTGATGTTGGCTAAACTTTTGGATGTTATAGGTGTAAATATAGGTAATGTTAGTTCAGTTGGTTGTATAGCATTAAAATAATAGTCGCAAACGCAACAACCTACATGTTGCGCAAGGGCCAGTGAGAGTGACATTGAACAAACACGTAGCGTCCAAGCGCTTACATAACATGACATATTCTCTCAAATACCACAAAATCTTTAACACAATTATTCAAAAGATTATACTAATTGGTTACAATTTATAGCAACAGAGAATCCTATATTTATGAAAGTATTAAATAAAATTCAGATGTTATGGTCAGTCATTCAGACCCAATCAAAAGTATCATTATTTCTATAAATATTTCACAATTATGTATAGGTAAGAACAAGCCCCTTAGATAGGACATAGACACGCACAGAATACAACAGTGAATTGCCAGCTTTACAATAAGGAAGGAGTAGTTCTCTTCTTAATCGTGTGTATTTCCTTCTAAAGAACTCCGCTACGAGCCGTTAGTAAGAGTTGGCTAGTTAAAATGTTCCAGAGAAAGCAAGGGTATTGTGCATTTAGTAAGTTATTTGTGATTGATCCGCCAAGCCGTCAGTTACCTTGACTAACGAATAACGTTCTATATGGGCGCAAGGCCCATAAAACTTAGCAGCAGACATAGTTATGCATATTTTATAAAAATGATTCCAGGATTGACTAACTTGGTTATCGGTGATTAATACAGGTAATGATAGTCTTAAAAAACAAAAGGAAAACCGCAAAAAAATATCTACCTGCAAAATTTATTTAGCTATGTACGTCACTTTTAAACGATTTCTAGTCCAGACTAATTGAATGTGGTGTTAATTGACGATTTGTGAAATCGTGTCACAGTTCAGAGGTAATTTGTTCAATGAAGCGTTAGTGTCATTATTAGTCCAATAATTGGATGATTATTAAGAGGCTTTATTGTAATGAGGTATATCACTTAATGTTACGACTTTTTTTGATTGAATATCACAATGAATTCTCAACTCGGGGGGGAACTCGGGGTACCCTCAGGAATACTCAATTTAACTTTGAACTTGTAAACAAGTCAAATTCAGATCTTCGTACCAACGGTCTTTGTTCATACGTAGCCACAAAGTTGTCGGACTATATATTTCTAGAACAGACGCAGATCTCAACTATGCATACAAAATATACATATAAATGCGGTGCATGCATTAAAATAGTAAATTTATGTGTCATACATTCAACCGCATATACTTATGATCGTTACATCTCCACAAAATTGTAAATGGACGATGTCTCTTTACAACTAAACTACAGGCGTCTTTATTTTTTATTTAGGGAAATTATCAATAATGCCTAAATAAAAATCGATCAATCGAAGTTTTATAACCATTGAAACGAAATTGCGAAAATTGTATATCCCTACATCAAAAATCTACTGACTCTACCTATTTCACGCAAAAAATACCTTTTTCAAAAACCCATCACCAATATTCATTAACAGGTACAAAATTAAAATTTCTTGCATATTAAGTAAGCCCAACACTAAACAATTTAAATATCTTAAGAATTATCGCATTATTTTTTACATGCTAAAAAGTACATTGTCTTGCGACCAATCTCGTTTTTATGCGCAGAATATTTGTTCACGAAATCAAAGTCTAGTATTTAATAAAACCCGTCAACCTAGACTCGTGTATCAACACATTCTGTCCGCTTTACCAAATACTACCTATCTGATTATGTAATTATAATTAACAGCTATTTTATAGGATAATAATAAATAATAATCATTCAAATTGCCAAAATAATAAATATTATTCATTAATTACTTCGTCTTTAACTAATTTACCACGCATTAAAATTGAGTAGTTTTATTTTTAAATATTAAAAGATCTTCCAATACAGGGCCCTAAGGGTGATATTCGGAGTCGATTTTTAAGTATGACTTCCGTGAGTCAAAAATGTATCGGATTTGACATACAGAAGTCAGCTGCTAAGTCTTGATTCTTGAATCTTTTCCATAAAAAGAAAATAATTTCGACTGTTGGATCCTAGTTCTATTAACTACTTATAAGCCCCATTTTATTATAGTCATGAACCTAATCAAGGAAAACCTGACTATGGTCTCTAGCTAAAGTAGCAAAATTTGTAATTACAAAATGTGAGTTGTTTGTGTATTTGTTACTGGTGTTAATGAAATACTTAAAATATAGTTTAACGTATGGACGTAATATGAGACATGTGAAATTTCATTATAAGTAGTAAAAAAACAAATTATATTAAGTCGACAATTGCCGCCCATGGACACTCAATGCCAGAGGGCTCGCGAGTGCGTCGCCGGCCGTTTTAAAACTTTACCAGCAGTATTTTATTACTATGTAATATAGTCGTGTAGTAGAGTTGCCTTTAGTGGAAATTACCTCAGTCATATTCTAAATAGATAACTACTTAATATTTTCTTCAGTAATTACCACCTACTAACACGTAGAAAGTTCAGATAAGATAAACCGAGTATTTTACGAAAAGCAATTTGCATTTTTTTTTTACTTTACAAATACATAGTAGTATTGTATTAACTTGGGTATTACTTGTTTTCCATAACTTTATATAAATGGTCCTATCAAAATTCGCAAAGAAAAGAAATTAATATTTACACTTGCCTAATAAAATGAAATAAAGATGGAAATATTATTTAATGTGTAGATTTCATGCCTCACTCTGTCACGGGACTTAACACTTTATACTATTTCAATCGAATATTACACCACCGTATGGCCAGCAAACGTATGTCATAATAAACAAGCTTTTGCTAATCAGATTACGCAAGTTCACTATCAGTACTTACAAACTCGATAATCTTGAGCGCGACCCACTTATCGAAGACTGCCATCGCAGGTCTCTACCACATAAGTCACTCACAAAATGCTGCACCACACAAGCGCGCGCGCAACACAACGCATACCGACTGGCATTGAGTTAGACCTCTAAGGTAGAACCAATCGTCAATACCATGTTTTCATCAATAAATCACGCATTGGCTTGCTTACATCCTCTATTTTGAAGGACAAAATCTGTTCAAATGTACAATTAATAATCAAACTTATTACAGTAGGTATATAAAAATTTCAAAGACCTAGACTAAGGAGAAATTCTGGAATGTGAACATATTATATCAGGTATTTTACCTTTTGCTGATAGTGATTTAGCAAATGTGTAATTAATTAAAAAAAACAGGCGTTAAATGCAAGTTTTGGTTAGATTCCCCCACTACTATGCCGACAATACTATATATTCCTTTGTGTTAAAAACAGCTAGAAAATTAGGTGTAACCATTTGTGCGATTAATTAAAAAAAACATGCAAAGCTCCATCTAGGCTTGGAAAATTTAGTCGAGACTAAGTGCTTTTTTTATATAACAGGAACGGGCAGGAGGCTCATCTGATGTTAAGTGATCCTGACGCCAATGGACAATCAATGCCAAGGACTCGCGAGTGCGTTGCAGGCCTTTTAAGAATTGGTACGCTCTATTCTTGAAGGATCATAAGTCTAATTGGTTCGAAAATACTTCACTGAGCAGTTGGTTCCACATAGTGGTGGTTCTATGATAGCCACATGACAAAATCCAATGCGGTTTTTTTGCCGTCACTTTTAGCGTACGTCTCGTATTGGAGGATGATTTATTGCTAAACATGTATATTGTCGTATACATTGCTCATTCAAAGCAAAAAGGTGTTATAAAAGCTCAGTAACTCCCAATCGAAAGCAAGCGTGCGTATCTATAACATGTCGTACCATTAAAACAAATAAAACACCAATAGCCAAAACATTATACTTAAATTTATTAATCAATTTATCAATCATCATGCTATTAATTCCCCACAGCAAGACAAATTTCATTCATAAAAAAATCAGCTTAAACTCAAATTCATGAAGCTGAACTGGCTAAGAAAATGTTCGAAATTGATTCAAGTCGGCCCTGATTAAAACTTATAGTAAACTATAATGTATTGAAAAAACATCAAAAAAGGTGCAGATTGTTGCAAATACATATTAGACATATAGTCTGCTGTGCTTAATTCATTCTAAAATATGTCTTAAAATATATATTGATGAATTATAAAATCCTGCAATTTAATAAATTAATCGAGATTCCTATCATTTAATTGAAATTAATAATTAAATAGCTTAAAATATCTGGGTGCAAGAGATACTTATTACGAAAATACTTAAATAATTTGCTGAAGAAAAGAGACTAGTACAATTTGTTAGTATTCTATTTAAAAATTCAGGTTTGACTGAAATTACTCTTTGTCCTCATTAAATTAGGTTAGCTTGATTAAAACTTAAAAATTTCAAATCAACAAAATTCAAAAAATAAATGTGTAATTACTATGGTGGTAAATGTTATCTTAATATATTTTAATGAATATATTGTAAAATAATATTGTTGTAATTCTGTTAGTACAAATTATCTGGCATTAGTTAAGTTATCTCTCACACCACAAAAGCCTTATCTAATCTAATCCAATCCATACACAAGCTTAAATCTAGGGAACAGAAGTTATCCCTTATAAAAATACAAATTTGTTACTTTTGTCTTTTGTAATATAAAGAAAAGAGTTATGTAAGCTATTTTATACTATATTAAAAAGGCACTATGCAAAAAGTTACGAATCTGTTTAGAAGTTAATAATAACTCTTATCTTAGTTTTTTATTAGCTTTATCTTTTCATATATTAAAAATAAAAAGTGTATGGATTGGCCTTAAAACTAATAAAATTGATAATTCATGCACAAAAAAAGAAAAATTAGCCAAATGGGTAACTGTCTAATACAAAATTAAACAATTTCATTTTTTATCAATGCAATATTAAGACAATGATTGTTAAAAAATTACAATAAAATTAAATTGATGTTAAAAATTTATAGGCATTTGATTAATTAGTTTTGACTCATAAAAAAACCAATTAATATTAAACACCAAATTTTTAAGATAAGTAGATTTTTTAGAAAAAAGTGTTAATAAAAACCTGTCTGGTGTTATAAGCTGTATCAACAAATTTTCTGATCAGATTATTGAGTTTAGCTCCTAGTTCAGGATTCATTCAATAAGCATTGTTTCCCATGCAATAAATAAGGTAATAAATAATATTTATCCCCAAAAAGGCAATATGAATGCAAATTAAAGTTGCATAACATTAAATTTTGGCCATGCCAGACGTATTACACAGTTACCCGTGGCAAAGTGATTCACTCCTGTGGCTTCTTGTCGCGTGGGTCTCGCAGCGGATGCTGAGTGGTCCAAGGATTGTAGTCCAGAGTTTTGTTCTCTGTGGCCCCCCCATCCTTCCAAGAGTTATATGTTCCATTAATATTCAAGGACCCCATATTGGATGTTACGTTGCCCAAAGAATGAGACCAGCTGTGAATGTATAAACAATTAATTTAAAAGTGTTAATCACATCTTAATGGTCCTACGGAACTGTATAAATAATAAAAATTCAGTTAAGTTTATGGAAGAACAGAGCTTCTAATATACCAGATGTTTGTGTATCTCCCTGTATATGTAACATGCTTAGTGCTTGGAAATGAGCCAATGATACCCAACACATGATGAACTGAGCCACTGATAATAAGTGCAGTTTATATTATTCCACTTACTTATTAATAAGCCCATAGTTTTGACTAATCTCTGGGCCACAAGCTTCATCCTGGAGTGGTATTTGTATGGTTTTTTGAGGAGCGGGAATCGGGTCTGCGACCGGAGCGAGGTTTGGGGCGCTCCTGGCACGCTGAGCTTCGTATATCATGAGGAGACGCCTAGTTTGAGACCAGCGCTCGAGCGTGTACGACGCGGTCGCAGCAGGAACCAACTCATCGCGCAATTGGTAAATCTCCACACCGCGCTCTGGCGTCCAGCGACCAACCTGATATATGGATGCAATCAGAAGGGTATAAATCTCACATCTAAAATAACATCACATGAAATCTAATATTTAACAAGAATCTTATTAAAAGGTATCATACTTCAAAAATTTAAGCATGTGGGGTCCTACACCATGAAAAATTATGATTTTAATCTCTGTTAAATGCATCTCATCTGTACACAATAGCATCTACGAAATACATTTTTGACCAAGTTATAAAAATACTAAGTTTTTCATACAAAAAGTTTTAAATTACCTCACGGTACTGTCGCAGCAGGTGCGGCGACTGAGGCAGCGACCAGTCAACGGCGGGACGAGCACCGGAGCCCCAAGCTGCAGATGCGGCCGCTACTAAAGCCTTCCGCGCCATGGCAGCGCCGCGGTGAGACTTATACTCCACTATGGCAGCACAACCGCCGCCAGAGCGACGGATGCGCACCTCGTGGACCTCTTCAGTGAGAGCATAGAGCAGACGAACTATCTCTATGGAGGATGTGGTTGACGGGATGCGAGATATGAAGATGCGACAGTTATTCACTGACGGACACACACCTGTTAACATATAAGCAACACATTTTCACTGAATCATTATTAGTTAGAAAAACTTTAAAAAAATTAAATCACAAGGATATTTTTAAACTCTAAATTATTTAAACTCATTGACTAATATTATGTTAAATAAAAAATAGCAATCTCTCGAAATTGCTAAATTGTAGTTGCTATATGAGATCGCCGTTTACAAGGGTAAGTTGAACAGCGTTGCCAGATTTCTTTTTAGTCAAGTCGGGATTTAGGCACTTTTAAAGTGAAAAAAACGGGATTCATTTGAAGTTTTTAAATATTTATGCTTTTAATTGAGTTCAAATCACGTTTTTGTGACAATATACAGCGAAAATAGTCACAGAAAATTTATTTAAATCAGATTAATATAGTTAAATAGTTCTTATTCATTTTCTGATTAAAAAACAAAAAAAATCAAAATAAAAAAAGTTTTATGTATTAGAAAAATATAGCATTTCAAACAATACTCTGAAGATTGAGGAATTCAAATTGCAACTTACAATAAGACAGTAATTTTTATAAGAATTACTTATTCATAATATTTCTATGAAGATATAAATTCTTTAAAAGATTCATTTTTCTCTTTAAAAAGACGAAGAACTCTTCACAGGATAGCTGCAGATTAAACTTGATGAGTAACTCTGATTTCATTAAATTTACGTAGCATTTCAAAAAGAAGGCGTTTTGACTTAATATAAAGTTTGAAGATAATCCCGGTATTTTTTTTGGATTCTGTTAAAAGAGTTGGTACCAATATTGTGTGGTGGTGGTAGTACACACTTCTTATTGCCATCGAATTATTCCCGAAAAGCGGGACTAAGCCGCGCGGGACATTTCATTTTGATTTAAAAATCGGGACGTCCCGCCAAAATCGGGACGTCTGGCAACGCTGAAGTTGAAGCAAAAAAGTATCAGTTATTTTCATATATTTAGTTACAGCCTTAATATAATATTTTAGATGAAATTAGGATGATAGGAATGCATACCAAGTTGCCAAGATGGACGAATCAAATAGTTGTTAAACATGCAAATAGCATTGCTAGCGGCAGCTGGAGTTGTGTACATGGCAAAAGCATACCTGCAACATAGGAATAGTTTATGTATAATAAAACAGTAATGCAATGCATACTGCTATTTTCATGAGAAAAAGTATTATTTGGCAGCTATTTCACACAGTAAATACAATGAGGTATTATCTTATCCTGCATAAAACACTAAGTTATATATTTAATTGTATTTTATATTATGAATATAAGTGAAAATTACCCCCTATTCCAACCAGAAAAGTTTATCATGAGGCGGAACTCGAATAGCTCACCGGCCTGCTGGAACAGTGGTACTAAAGTGTCTTCAAAGCAGTCATGTGGAATACGACCAATGAAAACCTGAGAAGTTTAAGTAACATTAAATGCCATAATATCAGCTGGTGCCAGCGACTTCTTTCGCGTGGAGTTAGCACGCTTATTTAGAGACCTTATTCGTGACACATTACATTTTTTATAAAATATCTTTATACATTAGTTTCATCGTAAATACTGCTTCGGCTAATACCATGCTGTTTGGTGGTTGACTGCAACGCACAGATAGCCTTGAAAATAGGATGAATTACATATATAATTACTGCCGCAATATTCTCTGGAGATAAAATAAATATGACTTGACGAATTAACAGAAGATTGAAAGTTGAAAATGTCTTTGCCGCCAGGCGCCATTTTCTCGCTTAGGATAGGTAAGCGTCGGTTTCTCCCGCCTTTTTTTCAATCCCTAGGAATTTCCAAGGATTCGTCGTCACGTTTATCATAGATTAATCGCACATCAGCTATAAAGATAACGAATCAATTCTTTAAACCTATCATTTTCTTATGTATTCCAAGAAAACGGCGTCTGGAGACCATACTTAAAGGCGCCATCATGGCGCCACCAGGCAAGTGCCTTTCAAAGAGAGATGACCAAGGATTATACTATAACTTCTTACCTCACACTTCCTAATAGGTTCCGGACCAACCCATGCATGGGGTGCTTTTCTGTAAATCCTTTGCCCATTGATTTGAGTTAATGTGTAGGATGTATTTTCAGTTAGAGACAATAATCTAGACGCTAATTCATACTGATTTACTTCACTAGACGGCATTACGATAAATATAGATTTTAATCAATTTATTCTTAAAATAAAATTAAATATTTCCCGTCAGGTTTTCACTCTTTGATGTATAAAGAAAAAATGAGATCGTGTCAATCAACAACTAAAACAAAAAATGGCGCTAGAGCAGCTAATGTAAACAAAATGGTGGTAAAAATTAGGAATGACCTTGACACAATTAAATCAAAACAGAGCTTTTTAATTTACAACATAGTCGGAATATGAGCATAATCAGTTTATCTCACTAAGTTAAATAATATAAAAATCATAAAATATTAATCAAAATGTTGTAAATAGTAGCAAACTTAATGCTTACTTAATTTACACGATTTTGTGATAATAGGTTATGATAAAGGCCATCGCCGGATATTCCCCATTATTCGATTTGAATTAAAATATAGAATTTTCACATTAAAAAATAAAAAGCAAGAAGTTTGTCATATATTTGCACAAATGTAAATAAATATATATATATATAATTCCACCTTCTAACTAACCTAACACCTGTGTTATTATGTTGCAAAAATTTATAATTTAACGTATATTACATTATTGTATTTCGTTTTACTTCCGTTAGGATAACAATTGGAAAATAATATAGGTTTAAAATTCCATATCCAATAAATTATACAAATAAAATGTATTAATTTTTCAATTAGAATTATTTGAAAAATTATAATTCAATATACTTTTTCAAAGTAAATGATATATTACAACAGTTTTTATCCGCGTAAATGAACGAACAAGGTACATATTTTAAAACTGAAATTCAACTGCAAAGTAGGAATGAAACTATGAAACTCCAACTTAAAAGCGCAATGGAAAAATTTAGAACACCGCAACTCTTCTTTGTTATTTTACTTGTATCAAGACTATTTTTAAGTTGCATACGTAAAATCAAAATGCGTCGAGTTTTAGGTGTCATTCTCAATATTTGTTGTTTAGTGAAATATTCTAGCTTCTTTTGATTCATTAACTTTATAACTGAAGGTGTAATAGCAGTCATTGCTTCCAATTGGATAGCACTTATTTCTTGTCTTGGTATACCTAGAAATAAACCTCAATATAATTATATTCTTCATGACTGCATAAGAAAATTACTCTTGCAAAAATAACCGTACATATGAAAAGTGCGTTGAGTCTACCAAGTTCATGGGAAGACCATTTATATGGTTCGCCGTATGCATCTGGGTGAGTCGCTATTCTGTATAGAGTCTGAAATATAAATACAGTTTTTAGCCATGGCGCAGTAACTTTATTAACGTTCTAACTTACTGATATAGAACAATTTTATAAATAAAAGGAAACATTTATTTTGTTTACGCAAGAATGTCCCGTGGTCAAAGGTGAACCACGCTTGTTGTAAAGCTTGCGAAGCTCCAAATCAAACACATTTCAAACAAGTAAGGTGTAGTTTCTTTTAAACATGTTGTTGCGTCGTTAATTTTTTTATACAAATATTTGTCGTACACGGATTGAACGTTTACGTTCCATTCTTTGTGATAGTAGAGCTACAGAGCCCCAGCAGTCTGACCTAAGAGTAAATAATTTTGAAAATCTTTAATCACTGTTTTTGTAAAAAACTGGGTTCTTCGACACGGGAGTTTTCCTTGTGTCACTCTTTTCATGTAACTGTAAAATTTTCCATCGTCCATCAATTAAAACGTTTACAATTAAGAATGCTAAATAATACTGTGTATAAACAAGCCTTAGTTTGTTTGACACTGCATCTATGCAACTTCCCAAGTACGTCGACCGTTAATTCTTTGAATGTTATTGGTGATATTTTTGCTAAGTCGAAATCCGGGAACCCACACAACATATATCCTAGTTCATTTATGTGAGACCCATTCCTATACCACATATTTCCATAGTACCTTCTATACGCCGCGACAAGGACGCCTATCTGAAATGTTTTTCTGTTTTAAACCCAGATTCTGTCAGAGATCCAATAGTGGATCTTACAAAAATAAATATAGATTTAGCTGTAATTGAAGGGTGTGATGTGTAATTAGTTTTTATAATACTGTGTTGCAGAATAAACAGGATAAAAAGTGATAACACATAAGACAAGGCGGTATAGGCATAAGCCTGGCCGGAATATTTTAAGAAAGAAGTTGAAGTTTAAATATTTTCCCGTCATAACATCATATTTTTCTTGTTTTTTCTAGTCAATAATAACTATGTACCTTACGGCTGCTAATCTTCAAGTCATTTTTCGAAAAATATTTAAAAACTGAAGGATCGCCGAAATTAACATAATACAGATCTTCTTCAGGAACGACGTTTAATAGACTACCGAATGCTAAATATTCTCGTCCTTGTAAAAAAGCCGTAGTTTTTCCATCTATGGGTAAATTGTTTCACAAATATTTAATTTCACTTTCTTATAATGTCTAATCACTAATTAGGTCTGGGCAAAGCGGACACTACTTTTAACATTAATTAATTACTTTACTATTTCACCTTAATTTAATTAATATATTTTGTGTATCTATGTTTATGTTCCAAAAGAACTGTAAGGACACAAATGTATTAAGATATCTTATTTTACCAGTAATAATATCCCAAGCTAGCAAAGCTCTAGAAATTGGTATCAACTGCTTTTTTGTGTGAGCAAAAATGTGTAATATGGTTTCAGAGTCCAATCTTAAAAATGAGTTTGGAGGTCCAAAGAATATCATATCCATAGAGTTCTCTACTCTGAGTCGATTATCTAATTCATCGTAAAAATCTTCGCTAATATATTCATCTAAAATAAATTAATAATGATATAGAGAGATGTTGAACAATCGTCGTTTTTAAAAATTGACGGTGAAGGGTGGGACCGGTCTAACTGACTTCGATGAATGTTCTATAGTAGAAATCAGCACCGTGACACTTTGTTTTTTGTTGAATAGAAATTTTAGGTACGTGTGAATTATAATAAACCTGATTCTGTAATAGCTATCATCGAATTTTTTTCGTCTTCATAATCAACCTCTAACTCTTCTATAGACTTGGTATGCAGCTCGATACCTTTGACATAAAAAGTAAAATATGTATTTATTATCAATATGGGTTTAAGGAATTTCATAGTTTTGATATAATTGATATTTTGATGTACCATGAAAATATCTAGTTGGTTCTCTTATTCTAACAGATATAGATAGATATACTAAAATATAAGTTTTTATTATAAAAAAATTCATTGTAATATGTATTTAAAAAAATTCAATTATCGTAGTTGTAGTTTAGTTTTTCAGTGTAGGTAATTGTTAGCATAAGTTAAGATTCCCTTTTTGTCTTATAAATTTTATAATAGTGCCATTTAAATGACGGTTTATATATGTTAATCACAATTCACAAAACGGTCGGCTTTTTATGATTGAAGATATATAACCTGATAATAATAATGAAAAAGGATTAAGGATGTAGCTTTGTATCACGGACACGGGTTAAAAACTTAAAACTAGTAACCGTCATCAAGAAATCAATTGTCAACATTCAGCACAATTGTTGAGTGTTCACTGTTCAGTGTTGGCTGTCAACAAAAAGATAACCAGGATAACCTAACTCGCCGTGTACAGTGTATTCGTAAAATATCCTAGAAATACAAAGTAATTATCAAATTTGATAGATACATTATGAAAAATAGCGTATGCCTTTAAAACAACTTTATGCCTTAATTAGCAATGTTCTATGCGCTATATACCAATAACTAAGATATTTAAATAGTGCTTAAAGTTATTCACGATTTTTTAAGTTTGTTGCTAAGTTTGTAAGAAAATGGGTATCTTGGAAAAGATATCTGAAATTGAGAAAGAAATAGCAAGGACTCAAAAGAATAAAGGTAATATTGTATTCATATATGCTTCTAATAACAAAATATTGCTTATAAACTGTCTTAGGTTATATCATACTGATACATGTTGTTTTCTAAGAAAATAGTTTTAGAAAATGTAGACTATTTTGTAGAGTTAACTAACTAAATGATTGGTTAATGCTCGGTTTCTATGGATCACAAAAAATGCTAAACATTTCTATATTGTTAGTATGTTACATTTCGTCTAGACACATTAATTTATTTTGTTAAAGTTACTTATTTTATAATATTATTCTTTCCTACACTATCCTAAATGTGATAAAATTTCTAAAAATATTTAACAATTTGTAGCTACTGAATATCACTTGGGTTTATTGAAAGCGAAACTAGCCAAGTATAGATCTCAGTTGCTTGAGCCTTCAAAAAAAGGTGGTGACAAGGGAGAAGGGTTTGATGTATTAAAGTCAGGGGATGCTAGAGTAGCCCTGATTGGCTTCCCATCAGTTGGTAAGGTAAGATAATAAAAATTCCAAACTAGAAGTTAAGTGATAGTGAAGCTAAAGCAATATAAAGTTTTAAAATTAGTCTAAAGTCTAGCTTAATATTAAACTGTACAGTGTGTGAATACTTTTTTTAAATAATAATTTAAAAGCTTAAGTAGATTCAGGGTTACATATATGAAGATTTAGTACTAATACTTAATTCTCTGTTTATTGAATGTTGTGGTGTTTACACATTCTTAAAAAACTAAAGAGAAAATGTTATGTATGTAAATGTCAAATATTGCAGGTCAATAAAAATGTATTTTACTAGTAAGGTTTTGTAATGTTCTTAAAATCAATGTATTGTTATTTATTTATTACATATATTTATGCTCATAAAACATATATATATATATATATATATATATATATTATATTAAAATATATGATTGTTATTCTTGGTTTTAGTCAACTCTGCTGTCAACATTAACTCATACACACTCAGAAGCAGCAAGCTATGAATTTACAACCCTTACCTGTATTCCTGGGGTCATTGAGTACAGGGGAGCTAACATACAGTTGTTGGATTTGCCTGGTATCATTGAAGGTGCTGCCCAAGGCAAGGGTAGAGGTAGACAGGTAATAAATTTATTGTATTTAACATATTTTATGCAAAGCACCATAGTCTTTTAAATATATAGCAATGTTCATCAGTTACAATGTTCTCCTGTAATAAATGATTATATCATACACTAAACATTTTACCCTATGTTTGATTTCCTTTGAGAGAATTCTGAGGCTCATAAAACCTTTTAATTAAACCAGGTGATAGCAGTGGCCCGTACTGCCGATTTGGTGCTTATGATGTTAGACGCCACAAAGCCTTATGTGCATAGACAACTTCTCGAGAGAGAGTTGGAGAGTGTTGGAATTCGGCTGAACAAGAACAAACCAAATATCTATTTCAAGGTAATTTTAATTAATTTAAAACAAGATAAGAACAGAACAGATCAATTACATTATAAACATTTCACTAGTCATGCTTAATTACTTTACACCTGATACATTCTACTGTTGAAAAATATATAAACTAATTTTGTTATTATAATATGTTACAGGTAAAGAAAGGTGGGGGTTTATCATTTAACTCCACCTGCCAATTGACCAAGGTGGATGAAAAGATGGTGCAAATGATTTTACATGAATATAAAATATTTAACGCAGAGGTAATTAAAAAAATCTTTATGTTACATAGCTTTATAACAAAGACAAATTCATCAGCATTGTGGTAATTTTACTCATATTTTTAACATTGTATTTCTGTAACAAGTAAAGTCAACTATTGGCCCAATTTAAACATTCTTTGACTATTAGAATGTTACATTACCCATGAGTATTATAAGGTAAGCGAAGTTTTCCAAAGCCAAGACAGACGTTAGTAATAATAAAAATTCTATCTAAATACTTATGAAATATAGAAAATATTGGTAATAAATTCCAGGTGCTATTCCGAGAAGACTGTACAGCTGATGAACTGATAGATGTTATCCTCGCAAATCGAGTGTATCTGCCCTGCATTTATGTCTACAACAAGATTGATCAGATATCCATACAAGAGGTTGACAGGATAGCGAGGCAGCCTAACTCCATAGTTGTCAGGTAAAACTGTAATGTACTCATAAATTACTCAGTAGTAAATATGAAAAAGAGTTATTGAATGTTCTTATTTTATATAATATTTAAGGTGTCGCATTCATTTTGCTTAACAAAAAATTTGGCGTTTCAAAGAGTGTCCGAGTGTTAATTGCCAATTGAGAACTGCCAGTAAATGTAAATTTTATACCATTTTATGTGTTTTATGAATGCTTATAAGTTTATCTCGCTTATTAGATATTGTAACCCAGGTTGGGTTGGGGCGTGGGGATGCATTTCATTAGCAAGATTAATAATAATAATAACATAATCCTTTATTCAGACAAGACAAGATAAAATTTTGCTTAAGCTAGACTATACATCTTTAGTATTGAAAAAAAAATAATCAACTTAAATATAGTTGAATATTTACATTCCCTCGACAACCTTTTCTGATTGCCTTTTGTTGGCAAAGGCCTCTTAGCAAGATTAATTTTCTGCAAATTGATTGCCTAAACCACATGCTTTTTAAATATATATTTTCAATTTCTACTTCAATATTATATCTATATTACTAATTTACAAAAAAACACAAACAAATCGTAGCATTGTCGAATAAAAACAAAAATTTGCGCGCTCACCTTTCGTAAATCTTTTAAATAAACCAGACACTCCTGATCAAAAATCCAATCATTTCTACACATTTTGGGCTTAGTAATAACAATATTTTTATAAAATTATCGCAATTACATAGTTCGGTCACGTTTTTGCTATCCCTGTACACACCATATTGTCTTCTTTATCCTCCTTGCCACCTTCCAATCCTAATCACGAAGATTAACATAATCTTTTGTATCTGAGCTTGAATATATATATAGCTATACTGTTTTGCTTTATCGATTACAATGAGAACACATCAATAATTATTTTAATTAGGAGAGCAACAGTAGGCCTCACTCTTACAAGCAATCTCTTCCAGGGAAGGAAATAATAAGCAATAAATCCATAATAATATTAAATTTTTTGTGTTCCAGTTGTAACATGAAGCTGAATTTGGACTTTCTATTGGAGACACTGTGGGAATATCTCGCCCTCATCCGAGTATACACTAAGAAGCCAGGACAGCCACCAGACTTTGACGATGGGCTTATCTTGAGAAAGGTATCATTGTCAAATCAGATATAAAATGTAACCAATTATCGTGTAAAACCAAAAATATGTTTATTATATACATTTTGATTTGGCAGATAGAGCATAGTATATCTATAGAATAAAAGCAGTCTTAAAGCTGCTGTGTCCGACTTAGAATCGTCATAAGTTATTTAAATATTGCAGTGAAATTTAGAAAACGTTGTATATTACGGTCCTCAGGTCTAAGGCCCCTATTTTTTTTATTAAAAGATTGACATACTTGACTGACCTAAAATACCTATTGTAATTTGGGCATTATATTCGTAAAATCGATTTCTCTTTTGTTATGAATAGTAAGATAGGGATTTTAAGCTACAGAGTAAACATTTATATGAAAGTTCACTTGTATATTACATACTATTTGCTCCTAAGTTAATTAGGCATCTTGATAAAAAAAACTAATTCGATTGGACATCAACACTTATTTTCACAGTATAGTGGTAGTAAAACAAATGGTTCAAAATTAAGCAAATTAAGGAAAAGTGTTTTGACAGGGTGTTACAATAGAACACGTGTGCCATTCTATTCATCGGACTCTGGCTGCTCAGCTCAAATACGCGCTAGTTTGGGGCACTAGCACCAAATACTCTCCCCAACGCGTCGGAATCCACCACACCGTTCAAGATGAGGATGTTGTGCAGCTCATCAAAAAGTAACACCATGTATACTGCCCCTGTAAGTTTGGGCTCTTGGGGGTTGCCTTTAAATATTATTTTATGCTAACTATTGCGGAATTTAAATATATTCAGACCGAAAATTCAACACCTTTTTTGTTCTTTAGTTACATAAAAATCCTATGACAACACCTTTTTTTTTATTTTTTTGTAACGGCCCGCACGGTTTGTGCATTGTGGCCCAGGGTCAAGACAACACCTTAACAATTAGTATAGTAGTAAATAAGTAAAGTTTGATTTTGACAGTTTACATTATATTTAAGTGTTTTATAAATTACAAAACAATCAGGTAACTTTAAAACAATCTCTTGTAGACTGTGATTTCCAATAGGAAGTATGCGCTCGAATCTAAATATTACCCTAAAACTATATATGAAAATGGGTGAAATATTTTGAAACTATCATTAAATGCACAGACCTCTTTTCTAGGTTTTTTCCTTTTATTGCGTGACTCAATATCTAGCCAATCTACGTGCTGACTAATAACTCTTCACGACGGAAACGTTGAAGTATTTAATTATTTCTTAAAATTCCAGAATACATATCTGTATACTTTTCAGTATCAAAAATAACTTGTAAATCCATTCAGGCATTAGTTGCCTTTACAATAAGTATAATTCCACATTTCTGGCCTGTACTATATGCCCCTTATCTAAAGAACATGAAACATCACTCTAGTATTGGGCTCTATCACAGCTATATAAGTCATAGAGAATAAAATAAATTGGCAGATGATAAGCTTTAGGTTTGATTCATGATGAGAAAACTGTATGTACCTTAAAAACATGTTTTGCATAATGGTGTCATTCAGAAATTATCTACAGATAAAGAAAACTTGGGACATTGGGTTTTTACATTTTTATAGTGTTGGTTTTTTATTGAAAAAGAAGTTGTTGAAAAATAATATATATTATACTATCTATGCTGTATAGAATTATCAAGGTAACCATTAAACTTGACTTTTATTGGCTTATTAATTCATATAAGTAACTCTTTTGTATGTAACCTTTAAATTTCCTATTTATCTAAACACACTTTTTCTGTTGCCAGTTCTCTTAAGTAAGCTAGCAAGACATCTGTAGAAATCCACTATTTTAAATTGCAAGTATGATAAATTAATATTAAATGAAAAAGTCCCAAATAGGATACCAATTAAGGGCATTACTAAGATTCAATAAAAATGATGATACAACCCTGACTTGTTTAGTCATCATTTCCAAACACAATTATTTAGTTATCTTTTTATATGAATTATATATAAATATAAATATGGCATAAATTCAGTTTAACATTGAGTGTGGAATCAAATTCACTATTTTCCTAAAATAGGAATAATTAGTGACTCTAAGAATATTAACATTGAGTTTTATATCAAATTTGATTCACATGGTATTCTGTTAAAATATAGTGATTTTTTATTTTATTGAAGTTATACTTCTTTTGGCACTTTAGAGAAAAATGATGTAAGTGAATTATTACGATGCCCCTCTCCCACCGCACACCGTCGCAAAAACCAACACCCAAAAGTTAGCTAGTCAACATTTTAGTATTTTTGAAGTTATACTTAGGGTGATGAGAGTAAATTTTTCTATTGTTAGTGTCGTTTTTTCTACAAATGTAGAAGGCGAAAGAAAATTTTTTAAATTTTTTTTATCTTGTTACGCCAAAGAAGCATAACTTCTAACGCGTGTACACGCACGTTTTTTTTATTAACATTTCAACTATTAAAATGGTCTTTACTTAAATAATTTAAAGGCCAGCAAATTTCTCTAAATAATTGCTTAAGAAACTGCGATTTTATTGTTATTAACTTGTATGCTTATTTCAGTATTTCAATTTAATTGGCTGGTAAGTTTACATACATTCAATAAAACAATATCTTTTTTTGACATACCTATCAGTGCATTGCAAAGTGTGATAAAAAGCAATAAAATTAATATAATATATAACAGCTGCACTGCTGATATTACTTAGCCATAATTAAGAGTTATGGGCGCTAGTGTAGTGTTTATTCAAGGAAATTTTTTCTTTGATTTGCTTTAATAGCATAAATGGACTCATTAACTGAACATCTTTCAAGAGACAGATTGAGCTTTACCAATTGAACAAGTAAACTAATGTTAAGCAGTCAATGTAAAACAAATAAAGTACTCCTACATTTAGGTGTAAAAATCAGTGGGGCATAGCCATATGCATAGAATTTGTGATTTTTTATTCATAGAAAATATCACTTGTATATATTTGCATTATATATAATGTTCTACAACAATTGTTTTATTTTCTTTACCTTACTATTTTATGTAATGTAAAACTTTTTTCAATAAACCCATTAGGGACATGTTATATCTCACTTGAACCTCCTACTTCTCCATATAATACCTTAAATAAGACCTTTGTTACTATTATACATGTTTATTTATCCATAAATTAATATTAACAAATAAAAACAATCACCTGCTTATGTTGACTATTATAAATACATAATCAAATAAAGACACATCTTAAACATTAATTAATCTAGTAAAGATAATATTTTCTTAGTTATAAATTATGATATATTATTCTGCGATAACAAATCAGCCTCAGCTGTCGCAAGAGCCCAACGGTGGTCAGTAATTTCCAAAGCTTCCCATTCTGCCTTAAATGCTGCTTTTGGGTCTGGAGGCATAGCCATTGCTGCACCTGACATTTGTTCTTGCATAACCTTAGACTGATCTGCAGCTAAAATAGTCAAATTATGTAACAAGAATTTAATAAATCAAATGAATTAATATACATTAGTTTCAAACCAAATATAGCAGGCCTAAGTTATTTCTACTATAAGTACTTACCATTATTTTCCCCAAGAACCAAAGCGTAAATAGTTCTAAGTCCGAATACATTGAGGAAATACCATGACGCGGAGGATACCCAAGATGCATCTAAGTATGCTAACTCCACACCACGCTGCAACATTGGCTTAAATCTCAGGGTCAAGGGAAATGGAACCTTTGCTGAAAAATACAAAAAGGTTGCTACTGTTTTCTTCTAAAATTTTAAAGCATTTAATTTCTAGGGTTATCAGAAAGATACTCCAATTATATTTTTTTTATTTAAATTCCTTTGCATAACACCATTGACCCTACCAGACTACTTGCAAAGTAAATTAAATCTAAAATAAGACTTACTTGTAAGGAAACCACTGAACATCCAATTAATCCAACCACCAATAACAATCATAGGCAAAACATTAGTGACATTGCCCTTTAACATATCTGTCATCATACCAGGGTCAGTCATAGGATTCTGAAATAAAGTAAAGCCATTTTTAGAACCTCACAATGTTATTGAATAAATTTAGAACCAATTACTGGTTCAGCCTGTTTATACCTGAGCATTTGATGGTCGTTTCTGTACTTTAAAATAACCAGTCTCTTCATTATTAAACCAATGACGCCTCATAGCAAACGACTGACGAGGTAAATACTTCCCATTTTCGCGTAGAAGCCGAGCACGTATCATAACTTGGCTAAAAATAATGAATAAGGTTAGGCTTTTATTTATAATATTTCTACAGCAAAACTTCAATGTAATTTATATTTACCTATCCTGCACCTGAATCAATTCAATTTTCTTCTGCGAAGATAGTATTATCGAAACATAATGCCTTACGATACCAACCAAAAAGGTAATAACTACGATGGGCAGGAACACCCATAATCTTATTTTAGGATCTAATAGAAGTTCCACCATTCTGAGTCAAATATATCTCAGAAGTTAATGTTCAGTTGCAGTTAAATTTAAAGTTTACCTAATTTTAATTATAACATAGAAATAAGAATATTGAAATGCAATAGTCTGAAGTGTCAAGTGCTAATCTTAAATCAGTACAGCGATGGTTCCCAAAAGTCAAAACAATGGTTCTCAAATCTGTCAACTGTTACCCGTAGATAATGTATTCTATTCTCTATTATACTCGGTGACCGTAGACAAAATGATTTGTCAAGTTTAATTTTATATTACACGTGACGCTAAAAAATAGGGAAAGGCATAATAGACCAGGGTCGATAATTTTTGAAATTTATAAAATACGAAAATTTTAGCCCATCCTAAGGGCAAAATTTTTTTTAGGTCACTCAGGTATATATAAGTTATCTTAAAATAGTAATAAATAGGCATCTAATTATAATTTAAAGAAGATTCATAGAGAAGTAGGGAAGGGGATGACGGGTCTGGGCGTTACTGCATACGATTTTTTGCATTTTCTGAGAAGATTTACTATAGTAATATATATATTTTTTTACCATAGGAAAGTAGAGATTTCAACGAACTGAAAGCACACCAACTTTTTAAAAAAAGCTGATATTTTGACGGGTGAATTTTAGATTGAAAATTAGGGTGCATTTTCGATATTAATCTAAAATAAGGTGAAAAAGTTATTATTTCAAATCAAATAAATTACAGCGTATTAAAGACATAAAAAGGTAAATTTTCACCAAATTTCGTGGGAAAAAAAAATTGTAAAAGATAAAAATTAAAAACCAAAAACTTGGCTTTTTTAATTTTTCACATAAATTTTGAGGTAATGTGAAAAATGTGTAAATACAAAAGTTTTAGAATTTTTATTACCTAAAACTTTGCCATTTGACTTTTTTCCATAGGACTTTTAGTTTTGCCGGAAATCGAGATAAACCGTTTTTTACCCTTAAAACTTCCCTTTTCCCTTCCCCCCCTTCCCCTTCCCGACCTCAGATCGCCCGTAAATTATTTTTCCTTTAATTTTTATAATATTCCCCTCCTTTTCCAATAGGTTTCATCCTACTATTATTTTTTTCACTTTTTATTTATTTTTAAAGGCTTCTACCCTGGTCTATAATTTCTTTTTCTAAGACTCTGCTATAACTCCCATAAGACAAACCTTTTTTGACATACGAGTACGAGTTACATAGTTCGCGCTAAGATTAAGATTCAGAAAATCTAAAATGTATTAGAGTTTTAACAAACTTACAATTATGATTAATAATTGTGACTGCCACAAACTCTGAATGTTCAAAAAACTTTGTAGACCGTAGTGCGTACCCTAGAAGTTAAAAAGATAATAAGAAAAGAAAATAGCAAAGTGAGCAAACAAACTCAACCCGTTTTGTATTTTATCAAGCATTTAGTAATTTTAATTATTATGATTTTACTTCTCAATCTTTTATTCATAGTAATTTTTTTATCTTCAAATGAATCTCTCCGAATGGCCCGTGCCATACATAATAATTTATAACTGTTTACTGTAGTAAATACTAATTTTTTATCTGTATAAATATAATGCATTATTCAAATTGACTTCATATATGCTGTGGCTTTAGTGTTAGCGAAAATATGCGTAATTACGCGTTAATTTGAATTTTGAACCACTACGACACAACCCTGAACCCACAAAGTACATTGAATTGAAGTTATTTTTTCACTCGCCTTCAATATTAAATATTTATCAATTAATAGATAGAATTATTACAATAATTATTAATATTCGCATAAAAACTATACTCAAAATGCCTCGTAAAAAAGGACTTCTGACCTGCGCTACTGAAGAAATTAACATTAAAAATATTGGAGGTATTAAAGAAACAAATGTCCCAAAAGAGACAATAAGTTCTGACCTAAATAAATATAAGTTTGAGAAGAAACCTCATATTAAAATCGAATTTGAAGAAGAATCTCCCAAGAAAGAGGTAACAAGTATATGGATGTAGCAGTTATTGTCTAATATTTTAAATATATTACGTTTACACACGTTTTACAACTTTACCAGCTACAATATTTTTTTTTTTCAATTTATTATATTATAGCTTTCTGAGGGCTTATGGGAACCTTCTAACTGGCAAGAGTTTCTTGTGAATTTGAGAAACATGAGAGCCAATCATGATGCACCAGTTGATACAATGGGTTGCCATATGTGTATGGATGAAAATGCTTCACCTAAGGTAAAAAAACATCTAACATTTAGTACAATCTTAGATAAATAAACTAAGATATGTATAAGTATCAGATATATCTACTGCTTGAGTGTAATTAGGACAGAAAACATTTTCTATAACATGGCGACCATTTTATAAAAGATATTTCTTTACATGTAATTATATCAAAGTCAGAGTACATATTAATACAACTTTATTAAACCTTAACTATGGTTTTATTAAAATTAAAAACTTAAACTGCTGCAATTCTACATTATTTGATGTTAACAACTACCACCAAAAGTGGCAGTACATTACACATGTGTGTGAATATGACTGTCAAATTATTCTAATATTTCTGTAATTATAGGAAATAAGATATCAGTCATTAATATCTTTAATGCTTTCGAGTCAAACTAAGGACCAAGTAACATTTGCTGCTATGGAGCGTCTGAAGCAGAGAGGCTTGACTGTTGACAACATCTTAGCAATGAGTGATGAAGAATTAGGAACACTTATTTATCCTGTTGGGTTTTGGAAGGTAATAATGTAAATCCAAAATATAGAATTAAATTTTTACAAATACTACATTGTATGTTTCTAATTAATTTTTAGTAAAATATATATTTTTTAACAGACGAAAGTAAAGTACATAAAAAAGACAACACAAACTTTGAAAGAGCAGTACAACAGTGATATTCCTGATTCAGCGGAAAAATTGTGTAAGCTTACTGGTGTTGGACCAAAAATGGCTCACATTTGTATGAAGGTTGCTTGGAATAAAGTCACAGGAATTGGTAAAAACCTTTTGTTTTGATATTTATAATTTTTTTATCATTCAACAGAAATTTTACAACTTGATTCAGTAGCCAGCCTTACTTCATACTTTTCTCTTAGTCATATATCTCCTTAACAATGCGTATAATCTTTTGACAGAGCTGTGTATATGAGAAACACTTAATCTGAATGAAAAATGAACTTTATCTATTTCTTGGAGCGTAAGAAGCGTGCCTCTGGCTTCTCTTGTTCATGGCAACTCCACAGACAAAATAAAGAAATTAAATAAATTAACCTTACTGGTTGTGTTGGTTTTCAGGTGTGGATACACATGTACATCGGATAAGTAATAGAATAGGATGGGTCAAGAACCCAACAGCTACACCTGAAGACACAAGAAAAGCTCTACAATCCTGGTTACCATTTGAACTGTGGAGTGAAGTAAATCATTTAATGGTGGGCTTTGGACAGACAATATGCTTACCCATTGGTCCTAACTGTGATGAATGTTTAAATAAAGACATATGCCCATCAAGACTTATTAAAAAATCTCCTAAAAAGACTCCAGCTAAAAAAATTAAAGAGAAAGACAATGAGAAGCCATTGTCTACAGGAAAGACTCCAAGAAAATCTCCTAAAATACTTCCTAAACTAAAAATAGAAAAGTCCCCAATAAACTTAAATGTGAAAAGTCCTAAATCACCAACATTACATACTACCAAAGAATTTACGAAATCGCCAACAAAAAGAAAAGCTGTAAAGAATCTCAAAGAAGATTTAGAAGAATGTACAAGCAAGAACTCAATAAAACAAAAGAAGGATAACCACAATAAACAGGAATCAAAAATAAAGGCCAGAAAATCACCTAGACTAAAAATTACTGGAAATAACCACACTGCTTAAAGTTTAATAAAAATTAGGTAACTGTATAAGAGACACTCATTTTATTGAATAAAGGTAATTGTTGGTCTTGTCGAATGTATAAATAAATGTAAAGATGATGTCTAATATTATTTTAAATTATACCTTAATTGGTAAAATGGCAAATTTTTATTTATACAAGAGCTGTTGACACATTCTAAACATGAAAATAATTGTAAAATAGGCTGGAATCCTGTTACTTAAATGTATTAATTATTACAATTTGTACCAATCACCAATATCACGTTATAATCATGAATATAACGAAAACACAATACCTTTATAAATAAATTTAATGTTTTTTCCTATGATTTTTCTTTTTTGATTTATCCTTTCTTTGTTCATTCTTTGCTTTTTTCTTTTGAGTTTTCTTATTTTGTACCCTGTCTAGTTTATTTTTCATTTGAAAAACTTTGCTCTTCTGCAATTTTTTGGTAGCTTGTTTCTTTAGTAGTTGTTTAACTTCTTTCTTTGTTTTTAATTCTTTCTCATCTTCTGATTCCACAGATTCATTTTCCACGTCTGACCCCATGCCTGGAACTTTATTAAGAGTATTTTTTTCCTTGTTAACATTTACATCTTTTTCTTTTTTAACTCTTGGCCTATTTTCACCAATAACAATATCTTTCTTTTGTAGTGTATCTGATGAAAGTTCCACAATTTTAACATTAACATCGTCATCTTCATACTCTTCTTGAAGTATTTGCTCTAAATCAGGAATTGGCCGTGAAGATACAACAAGTTTCTTATATGATTCTTTATTCTAAAAAATAAGCATAAATAATTATTCTTAAAGCAATAATAAAACTATTCCACTTCTTACAAATTACATACCTCTTGCTTAATTCTTTTTATTTCTTCTTTTAGTAAACGCTGTATTTCTTCTTGGGCTTTCTTTTTGCGTTCTAATTTCCTTTTACGAAAACCACACAAAAAGTCCCTGAAAAAACAAGATTAACAATAACTGAAAAACGGTAAATTGTTAAAAAATACTTTCTGAATATAATATATATGTGAATATTACTTTCTTTTGCCCTCATCGAAGACAACACTAATTTTCTTCTTTTTTTCAGAAGTCTTATTTCGGTTTTTACCCATATTTTACAAATTAAAACCTATGTCACGCACAAATAATGTGTCATTCCAAGGCAAAACCACTAACAAGTAACAACTAGGAGTGAGACGTATTTACCATACCAGGTTTGTAAACCAGGGCTTTGCTTCGAAGGACGGCGCCCTGGTACGGGAAGGAAATACTTGCAAGTATGAAAGTATTTGCTGTGCTATCGGGCGAGAAAATACTTGCATAGGAAATCGATCCATCTTATTATACAAATAAGAAGCAGAATCGTATTTGCAACAAAAAATACGTGAAACTTGCAAGTATTTTTTTCACTGAGACCATTATGGTCTTTATTCTTAAAGTGACACGAGTCAATTTCCTATGCAAGTATTTTAGTATTTTGGCGGCGCCGATAAAGCCGCGAGAAATACTTGCAAAAACTAAAGTATTTGCTGTGCTATCGGGCACAGGGCTAAAAAATACTTGCATAGGAAATCGATCCATCTTATTATATAAATAAGAAGCAGAATCGTATTTGCAACAAAAAATACGTGAAACTTGCAAGTATTTTTTTCACTGAGACGATTATGGTCTTTATTCTTAAAGTAACACGAGTCAATTTCCTATGCAAGTATTTTAGTATTTTGCCGTGAGCCCTTCGTTTACAAATAACCGTCATATACTGATCAAAATAAGGAACATAATTGTATTAACATTCAATAATCGTAACTTTACTCTTTCTTTTGACTAGTTCACGCTATTCATTCTTATGTCTATACACAAAAGACACATAATTGCGTGTACAAAAGTATTGTTTTAAAAAATATACTTATGTGCCACTTAAAGTTTGTTTATTTCAAGTAATAGTTTAGTTTCCGTTTTTTTATTTTTTGTCAGTTGTGTTTTGAGTGTGAGCTTGATACGTCAACTACTAACCGTGACCTAAATTACAAGCAATTTTTCGGGAGTTTATTGATTTTAAAGTCAATTTTCGATTTATTATATAATATAAATTAGTGAGTGTATAAATGTATAAAACTGTTATTTTTTTAATACTGTGTTTAGTTTAGTTTCACGAGTTTAAAGGACCGACAATTTTTGAACTCGAAATAGGTAATAGAGTGTAAATAAAACTGTGATTTCGTCATTAGATAATAGTTAAGTTACAAATATTTTTTCCGAAGTTTATTGAATTTAAAGACAATTTTCGAACTATTAATAGTGAGTGTATAGATGTATAAAACTGTTATTTTTTTAATTCTGTGTTTAGTTTAGTTTCATTGAGTTTAATGGACAGACGATTTTTGAACTCTAAATAGGTAATAGAGTGTAAATAAAACTGTGTTTTCGTTATTAGATAATAGTTAAAATACATAGTTAGATAGGTAGAAACTTGTGCTAAATAATAATATAGTCACAAACCATGGCTCCAAAGAAAAGTTTGGCTTGGGATCATTTTGTGGACAAAGGTGAAAATAAAGCTGAATGCAAAATGTGCAAAGTCATTATCTCATACAAATCAGGAGTGTCAAACCTTACCAAGCATGTACAAAGAAAACATATTTCCGTTAACTTAGTGAGAAGGGAACAACAAGTGGATCGTCAAGAAGAACAAGAGGTACAGGCGCATACTTCACAAACTGCACAAATTACGGCAGTCAATACTGCTATACAAACTATCGCATCTAATACGATAAGGTCCAATCCGAACCCATCCAGTATTACAGCATTCCTTCGGCGCGATTGTCAAAAAATAAAAAAACAAATTGATGATCATTTAATGAATTTGTTCATATGGGACTTACAGCCTTTTTCAATAGTAGAAGACAAAGGATTTCGCGAATTAATAAATTTTGCTTTCCCAAATTATACAATACCATCACGAAAGTATTTCGCCAATAATTTATTGCCGGGGCTATATGAAGAAATAAAGATAAATACAAAAACAGCTTTAAATGAAGATGCAAAAAGTGTATGTTTAACGACCGATATGTGGACGTCACGAAATAATGATTCTTACCTAGCCGTTACGGGTCATTACGTAGATAAAAATTTTATCCTTCATTCGGTTTTACTGGAATGTAAAGTATTTGAGAGCAGTCACACGGCACTTCATATAGCACAAGAATTAAGAAATGTGGCTCAAGATTGGAACATTTTAGATAAGGTCCTCCTTGTAGTGTCGGACAACGGGGCTAATATAAAAAATGCCATACTTCAATTAGAATGGAGACATTTTGGCTGTTATGCACACACACTTAACCTAGCAGTACAAAAAGTGTTATCCCACTCAAACGTAAATAGCATAATAGGCAAAGTAAAAGCCATAGTATCCTACTTCAAAAGAAGTAATTTAGCCTGGAATAAATTAAAAAAGTACCAGGAGCAGGCCAATAAAGTAGTGAAGAGGCCAATTCAAGATGTCGCTACAAGGTGGAACTCCACATTTTACATGATAGAGAGGTTTGTCGAACTGAAAGACGAAATCAAATGTGCTTTGAGTAATTTAGACACTGGCAATTTGATTAATCTTACTACATATGAATGGGACATTTGCCAGTCTTTGGTAGTAGTGTTACAACCATGTGAAGAAGTGACAAGAGAGATGAGCGGACAGAAGTATGTTAGTGGAAGCTCGGTTATCCCCTTAACGATTGGTCTTACCAACGCTCTCAAAGAAATCGCAAGTCAGACATATCGGCAAGAAAATAATATTGACATTTTTCCTGATGAAGTGGAAATGTGTCGACAGGATCTGCTTTCAGAAATAGGCACGCGGTTTTCTAATTTGGAACAAAGCCGAACTTATACCGTCGCTATGTTTTTAGACCCGAGATACAAGTTATACTTTGAGAACGAAAATGTTGCAGACAGCACTAAAAAGTATATTGTGGGCTTAGTAACCGCGATGATAAATGAAAATGAAAAAAATCAGTCTTCAGCATCCACTTCTAATATATCAGATAGCCAGGGGAAAAAAATCTAACAGCCTATTATGGAAACACTATAATAAACAAATGCACAATGTGCGGCCAGCTGGCACAGCCAATAGCAGAGCCATAATTGAGACGCAAAAATATTTAGATGACACAGTTTTGTCTCCAGACACAAATCCTTTGGAATGGTGGCGAATAAATCAGCAAATATATCCAAATTTAGCCAAACTAGCCAAAATTAAATTAAATGCAATGGCTTCTAGCGTGCCTTGCGAACGTCTATTTTCAGTAGCAGGGAACATATTGACGGAAAGGAGATCCCGACTCGGGAGTCGAAAATTAGAGCAATTGTTGTTTCTCCAACAAAATAAAAAATGATGATTGAGAATTCTATATATATATATATATATTAAAAAAAAAGTTGTACATATATAAAATGAAATGAAATCTTTTAACTACGCCTGCTAATACTATATTTCACAACTAGCTGATAAATGACCGTAACACTATTAGTAGCAGACAGTCCTAAGCCTGTGATTAACAAAACAAAGTAGGAAGGAAAGATTTCATTTATAAAAAGCCGTGCAAGATTGCCACCAAATACTTTCAAGTATTTTTATACCTGGTTTTCGTACCTGGTATTTTTACATACTCGTACTTGGAAGCCCTGGTATTGAATTTTGCAAGTATGTCTCATCCCTAGTAACAACTAACAACACATGTATTTTTAATTTGTACTCCATCAGAAATCTAACCTAAATACGTCAGTTGTCAGATGTCAATATCAGCTGATATCATAGTGATGTAAAAAGAAAAACCGAATCGGAATTAAGAATGTAAATTCATAAACAAAACCACTTTTGTATATACGAGATGTGACTTGAGTATGTATCTGAAAATTCTAATACGGATATTATACTCAAACTCTAAATCTTTTCCTTTATATACCATAATATTGAATTAAATAAATAATTTTAAATTAA